AATCCTTATATCTTTGCAAGCGATTACGAGTTAATCGGCCCCCGCTCGACAATACCTCAAAAGTACATGTTTGAAACCTGTACAGTGCTTGTTTGGTCGGTAAAACCACTGTAAAACCGAAAGCCTTCGATAGTTGCAATTATCGAGCTTATTGAGATTCTCATAGATAGGACGTACTCTTATTATTACGATACTTTTTTTCACCTCCTTTAACCTATCTTTTGTTTTTTTCCTCCCACTCGATACGATACACGTGTCCTGTTAGAACGTACCTTTGATAGTGTTTAAATGTCGTTTAAGCGGTAACATAGCGTTTAGTGTTCGAAACGAATTTCAAGCTTGCTCTTGGAATATTTTCGACGAGTAAGTTTTCGCGACTTTGTGCTGGTCTCCTTGTCCCAGTGTCTTCACCGTAGCGAAACAGGACCAATCGTGTAAGGTATAGGTTAGGATGAAATTCGAGGGCCCAAGACACGTTTAGACACATTTGGACACGTTGTCCGAACAAATTGATATGCTACTATACATGGTTTTCCTAGGAATATGAGAAGAGAAAAAAGGAGAGAGTGAGACTGAGAGTGAGATTGTATGAATCGTACCCTATGGTGATCGTGGATAGAATTCGTTACGTAACGTGTTACGATTAATCGATACATCGATACAGAGGCGACCAAGTATCCTAACCAATTGGAATAGACGGACTAGTTAGTATACACGTGCTCGAAATTGCAATCATCGGAAACATAGTTATATATTTGTTGATCCATTTCTTCGTTTAATCGTTTGTTTATTTAGTTATTTATTCTTTTATCCCGTCCCTTACCTTTAAGGTACGTTTTCACGTGACAGTATATCCTGATTTTTTACGGTCATGACACTGAATGTTATGATTCTTGTCGTCGTGAAAATTAGATGGCGTGACATAGTTTACAGTGTCATACAGTGTCACGACAGTAAAAGCGATGACTTTTACTGTCACATGAAATCGTACCTTTACACCCGTTTGCGCGAGGATTAAAAGTAAACGTTGCTGTTGATTCCAGCCAAGATCACGACTGTCCATGATACGAAATAATTCTATGCAAAAAGGGGATTTTTCTTGATTATTTCGCATGTCGCGATTAGCGAGTTTGAAAACGGCGGGTTCACACGATTACCTCCAAGGACCAATACGCGGTTAAGTGAAACCGTATCTAGTCGGTGCTACCAAATATCCTGTATCGAGTACCTAGTCTATATCGCTGCGTAATTGTACGAATGTACCAAAAACGTGTAAGAATATATATCAAGGTTAATAAAAATATTTTCACTTAAAACAACAACGCAAACCACGCTTGGTACCCTACGGTTACTTTCGTTTGAACGGAACGCAAGTTCAATTTCTGTGCGGTAACACTCCGCAACACGGAAATCTCGAGACCCTGGGAGTTTTATCATTGACAAAAGAAATTTATTATTAGTACGTGACACATAGATGTTTATTTATCTTCCCTTGTACGTAGAAACGCGATGCAGTTGGTATACCGCGTTCCCATCGATTCTGGTAGGACGATATGGTTACTCTATTATTAACCTCTCAACGGGAAATCACCCTGTGGCTGTTGTGTGAAACACTATTTATCGGCAGCATCGTTAGGACGATGAAACGCGGCAGATTGACCTTGATTCTATTCGATGATCCTTGTGCGAAACGTGGTGAAACACAAGTATTTATTTGGCGAACGTTTTTCGCTGATCCTTGGCCACGACGAGTTCTCGGTCGCGTTTGACTTGGCAGCGTCTATCCTTAAAGGAACTTCAGGCAATGTGCGAAGTTTATTGCCAATGACACGTCCGTATCTGTGTTCGTGAAGTGGTTTTGCAATTCAACACGATCCCCACGATTACGATTCGTCTCGACGTGATCGTCCGACCATCCCAATCCTAAAAGCTATCAATCCCAACGACTTCCAGTTTCGTTTAACCCTTTAACGGCCAGTGTGACGTATAAGTCACATCTAGGAAATCATATTTTCAGGGGTTTTGTCATGAAAATAAAGGTATGGTGCACGTATTGGCACAATTTTCAAGTTCACTCATCGTGTGAAATGATCTTTTGAACAAAAATTTTTTAAAATATTTTAAATGGATTGGTTTAATACCTATATTTTCGACTTCAAAATAACAAGATACAGTACGTATATCAGTCTCATAATTTCGAAATAACGATTTAAGGGTCAGTTCGAACTCTGTAGACCATCTTCCTAACCTATGCCGATCGGAACTTCACACCAAACAAGGAGCAGGTATTTTCAGAGACGATGCAACACGCGGTACTTACTTATACCCGCGAATGAATTCACGTGAACAACGAAATCATCTTTCAATCGATATCGTGATCGTACGAATCGCATAATGACTACGTAGTTTTGATAGATCGATAGATACCACGTAAAAGAACTGTTACTGTGTTTAAACAATTCCATTTGATCGACTATCGTGTCACCGTTTGTGAAATGTCCATCACCATTTCACCAAGACCAACATTGTATTTTGCATCTACGATTGCGGTATATGGGCTCTTTGCTTCGAACAAAAGCCTCGTACGCCGTTTGTTGGTCTTCCTAGCTGATAAACGATATTCATCCTTTCCATTCTACGCGGATTCAAGGTCCCTCGACATACGAAAAACCGTTCGTTTATTTCGTCTTATCTCGTTTTACGGAACGTGTTTTGTCTCTCCCTTTTAGCGCGCGCGTTTCGAACGCCGGAAGGTGTTTACAACCCTCCATGATAAAATTAGAACTGTACTGTACTCTATTCTATTCCGTTCGGACGTGAAACGATAAAACGATCTACGAGAAGGATCCCCAGTTCGAACCCCCATTTTACACATGCATCTTCCAAAACGGAGACGAACGATCCGTTTGTGCGTTCGTATCAAGTTCGCGGCGAAACAGGTCAAAGAAGAAAATAAAAAGCAAAAATGAAATCGAAAAGTTATTGTTTTCCACATAGCGAAACCGAACGGCGAACGCAAAGATGTTAAATCGTTTGCAAAACATTCACGTGAACGTGTATAGGGAGGAAAATGCTCGGCGTGCCATTAAACGTCAGGCAGCTGCCAAACCAAACAAAACCGTCGACACGATTCGCCCGTAATTCGCAGCTAAACAAGAGCTATCAGCCGTGCTCGAAAGCTTCGCCGACGGGCCAACACGAAAAGAATATTTATTACTTTTCCCATTCCGATCCCACCTTGGGAACACAGATCGGCGAGACGCGATAAACCGGATTTTTTCTTTTATCGCGAACTCGTACGAATTCGCGCATAAAACTCTATTTCCGTCGAATTTATCTTCTATTTATGTTCCCATTCGTTCGTCGGTCTAAACGGTATTCGGCCCTTTCAACTTCTCCCGGGAATATGTATCGGTGATGTGGCCAATTCTCGTTTCTGCATCCACCGTTCGATCCGGAAGTGATTTTACAGGTGCGCCGCCGAGTCCTTGTGTAATCGTCGAATAAAAGGTAAAGCCGTGAACGATGATGATCACGGGCACAAGGAACGTGATTACCTAAAAATAAACGGTTGCGTAAAACGAAGGGAGCGCCTCGTGTATCGGTCCCCGGAGCTATCTCGCGATTATCTCACGGATGCCAATTGTTCTTGGCTGGCTGCTCGTACGTATGTTCTATCGAACGACTCGAGGGACTAACGCGTGTGGATACTGTTCCAACTCGATCGTATAATAGGTTAATTAGGTAACTCGAATTTGTTAAGCTTGAAATTTTCAATTACTCCGTGTAACGTATCCATCAACCAGTCCTGGAGAGGATCGAAACGTTTTGAATGGAAATCTGTACTTCGAAAGTATACACGTATGGTGAAAAAGAAGGAAGAAAAATATACACAGACGATCCACCATCGTTCTCAATGGTTCTATTCGCCTGGTCCCCTTTCCCCTACCCTGGTTCCATCCCATTCCGTTCCGTTGCGATTAACCAATTAGACGGTCTGTCGATCTGGACTTACGGAATCCGAAGAATTCGTATACATCGAGTGTTCCGGTGTTGCAGCATATTCTACCACGTTTATTTATCACCAAAGTACGCACACACACACACACACACACACACACACACACACACACACACACATCGGTGTTTTGAAAAGCGATCCCGTGGTCTGAGAAAATCCAGAGATCATTAGGCTGTCAACCTGTCGAACCCCCGTGTGTATACGTGCTCGCGTTTGCCGGAAAAAAAAATACGTCGGTGCCCCGATACAACGAGGTCGGTCGAAGCGTATTTACGATGCACACCTCTAATCGGTTTGCAAGCTACGCAGCTCTCCCTCCATTACCTATCTATAGAACGGTGTCACTATTAATACAGACTCTATTATTAATAGAGGGCGCGGCGTCGTTGTGTTGGGACAGTTGTAATTTTCCTGATGCGGCGCGATTCACTCCTCCCCCTTTCCAACCGTTGAAACTCCGCTCCCTGTTGATCGTTCCCGGGCCTATCAACCGTTCTCGTAAACTGATTTATCGGTTGACACGTTGCTCAGGGTCCTTGGAACAAATGCCTTTTTCAGGTCACGACGTTCATTCGTGTCTTTTAAGATCACGAATGTCGTACGCAACTGACTGAAAACTACGAAAGTCGTAAAACTTTTGGTCAAACGTTGGCCTCGAAAGATGGTACCCGTCACGGATTCAGTTCCTGATCGAAACTCACTTCTTGATTAGTTACTCTTAAGTGATCAAGAATTGGGTCTGTAACAGTACCTCATTCTGAATCACTATCTAAAGAATAGCCTCGTGGAGTCTTTCGGTTTCATCATTTTTAATGATTCGTGGCGAACCACCAGTAATTAATGAATTATCGATTACGCTCTTTTACGGTTTCGATGGTCCTTGGAGTTGGGTGCACCGAAATCGGTACATCATTTCGACATCGTCTCTCGCACAAGAGGAAGAACACGGTAAAAGTGTTCTTGGCTTTCGATGTTCCAGGGCGGACTATTGGAAATCCCAAGGTCGGAAATTCTGCGATTTTTGTAAATGTTGGATCGCCGACAACAAGCCCAGCATCGATTTCCACGAAGGCGGCAAGAAACACAAGGACAATGTCGCGAAACGTCTCAAAGAGATCCATAAAAATAGCGCGAAACAGGCGAAACAAAATAAGAAAATGGAGGATGACATCAAAAAGATGGAGACCGTAAGTGTCTTTTATCTTCCCTTCTCCCAGCAAGCTACCCTAGTCGTCTTGGCCCGAACGAATACCTAAAGGAGGGTTTAATGTTTAGGCAGCTATGGCCGCTTACCTGAAAGACGTCGAGAACAATACGAGAGACATGACCGCCGACAGGATCATCGAGGAAAAAAGGACCAGAGGAACGACGAAAGACGTGCGTGTGTACACATCACGAAGATATTTCCTCTTGTTCGGTACCATGATAGCACGACCTCTAACGTCTTATATTGCTTTCAGACGTCGAGTTCGAATTACCCGCCAGCGGCTAGTTCCGAGGACACCGCCCCCAGATTCAAATGCAAACCTTATCAGGTAAGAACGATCGCTGAGATTAGACAACAATGGAATATCAACATGGAATGTTGCGTCTTTCAGTTTCCCCAGGAGATCGACCCGTGCGATCCAACGTTGTCGCGAAGCAAAGGGGAATACCAGCACAGAATCCACCAAAAAAGTGAGGGCAAGCCTCAAGGAAAGGGTAAATCGAACAAGGGAAAGGGAAAGGGGAAGAAAGCTCAAGAAGAGGATCGCCCGAAGAAACTGCCGAGAACACTTTGGTACGAGGCCCTCAGTCCGGAAGGATACACTTACTATTGGCACATCGAGACCAACGGTGCGTCAAATGACCCTCTGTGTACACCACGATCGTCCCAAAAGATTCTCAGTCGTCTTATCTCGCTGTGACCATTCGAGTAACCTTTCATTGTTTTTCCCCCCCCAATTTTTATATTCACGCCATTCCAGCTCGACAACTGTGTTTCCTGTGGATACGCACCTTAACAATTTGACTTTCACAGTGGAAAAGGCCGTACATAGTCAAACATAATTTATTTCGTTTTTTAAATGTCATAATTCGTCGAAAATGTGTGCGTCGAATTAACCATCAACGGTCACTTAATCTTTTGGGGTTATCGTTACCCCCGTGTGACCGTTAGGGTTAATAGAGGCTGTTGATCTTATTTTGAATTATCCTGCGATATTAATTTTCTACAAAAATTTGGTAACGGTATTTAAATAATCCAGCCTGTTTGCAATGTATGTGTCATATTTGGGTGACAAGGTAGTCACAGTGTGGAAGCATTTAGTAGCACGCATGCTCGTTTTTTTCCGGCCAGCGCAGAATCCGTTTGGGAGCCGCCCGATGAAGGGTACATGACGTTCGCCGAGCAAGAAGAGGAGGCAAAGGAGCAAGCTATCCAGGAGCAGTTTCTCGAGCAATTGGAACAAGAAGAGGCGGTCGTGAACGTGGAGCTACTAGAAGAGAAACGGGCGAACGCTGAACGGGAAAGGCTGAGACAATTAAGGAAACGAAGTGACTCGCCTGAAGAAACGGAAAACGAACAAGTAGCGGATGGAACAACGAAAACTATCAAAGAGGAAAATCGACCGTACAGAAGGGACTATAGTATCCCTGAAAAATCACATCCTTACGGGCCTTGGCAAACCGTTCGGAATGTGTAAGTATTCGATGCGTTTTTCGCTGGTGTTTAGGGTATTCCCGTAATCTTTCGATGAACATTTAAGAAAAAAAAAAATGTTTCAGCGTCACGACACCGATAGACCTGCAGCTGCCACAACAGAAGCAGACGCAGTTGCCGGTTTTCGAAAAAGCGGAACCACCTCGCCCACCCCAAAGGATATTCAAAGAGAAAACGATCACGCAAATCAACACGGGCGACAGCGACGAGGATGGCCGACCAACCGCATTCAAGAAACGAAAAATCGGCAACAAATGTGTACGAAAACGATTAAACGACGACTGATAATCGTACCTATGGGATCTGTCTCTCGTACCATTCTCTTTTTTTGACTACTCGAGACAAACGAATCCCCATTCTATACTGTGTATAATATACTTTTCGTTTACTCGAGATAATACTCGAAATCTTTTTATCGGAACGATAACACTTTTCCGGTTTATTTGCTACTTCATTAAATAGCATACCGAGTTTTATTTACTGTTCGATCGGGTTCCGTTTAATTACGGTATCGATATATGTTTACAAAAATTAATTTCCTTGCGAAATCAATTTTACAAGAGATCAGTAAACACGTTAACTAGGTCGTCTATTACGTACGATTAAATATATACAATAAATATGTTCGTGTGCATGTTCCTACCGTATATACAACTTCCCTAAAAGAACGAAACCGCAGTCTTCTTTGAACAAAGACTCGCTCGAAATCAACCGTTGAAAAAATTATCAACCGATGTTCGTGAAGGTTCTCGATATTAATGGAAACGCGCGACAATTCCTCAGAATCAGAAAGTTCAATTAAGAATTTAAATTTGTTCAGGCGGCGGCATGTTTTTCTCGACGATGTCTAACTCGCGAGACACGCCGTTCAGTCGATTCAGGATCGTCTGAAGCGGCTGACCCTTTGTTTCTGGGATCAGCGCGAAAACAAAGCCGAATGTGGCCATGCAAAGGGTGCCCAACAGTAGGAAGCATCCGTGCATCCCTAGAAGGCCGACCAGGCTCGGGAAGAATTTCACCACGAGAAACGCCGTGATCCAGACGGAGAACAGTCCCATGGTTATGATCGAACTGGAGATGTCACGGCTGAGTATCTCCGAGGAGATCACGTAGGGGCCCGGGCCCATGCCCAAGTTGAAGGCGATCACGTAGACGGATAGCGCCACCACGGGGATCCAATTGAAAATGGTGACGTCGTACCGAAGCGTTTGTAGGTAACAGAAACCACCGAGCACGTAGTGACTCGTGCACATGCCCAAACACGATATCAAAAGCAACGGTCTTCTGCCGAGCCTTTCCATCAATGATGTGGACAGGTACGAACCGAACACTTGTATGGCGCCGACGATGATCGCCGAGGTGTTGGGCGTCAACGAGCTCCCGGATATCCTGAATATCGTTTCCGTGTAGCTCACCTGTAAATGTAAAAAAAAAGAAACATGTATATACAATACGGTTCAGTTAGCATGTAAATACCACGGAATTACAGAAGTATTGGTTTGTTTACCATAGCGAATATACCGCAGAGTTGTTGACCACCGAACAGCCCCAGCGTGATGATCAGTCCCCTGACGGTTGCTCTGTCTCTTATCAAATCTGATGGTTTTATACGTTTCCCAGAAACGTACAGTTCTTTCGCCTCGGCCCGCAGACGCAGCATTTCCCGTCTCACGGTCGGCTCGTGGCCCGCCTTTAACCATCTCAACGATCTGCGGGATGGAAAACAGAAATGGTAGAAAGTAAATCGAATGTAGCCATAAATTAGAATTGCAGAGAGAATTCTCCCTACCCCTAGGGACAAGGTGATATCACATAGAGATATGTAAAAAAAATTGAATAACGAAAAATCGGTTCTCGATTTTTTTAAAGACTGACTCGATCCACAGAAAAATCGAGCAGCATAGAATCGAACATCCCTATCCCAAAACATTTGCTCACCTCGCCGCCTCGAGAGGTCGATTCCGTCGCATCAGATACACCGGCGATTCCGGGACGAATGAAAAGACCGTCAAATACAGGAACGGCACCGCCAGCATGACGATCGCGAACACACGGAACGACAGGACCGCACCGATTATGTAGCTCAGCAGAATACCGCCGTTCAGGATAAACACCAACAAGCTGCCCAGCATGCCCCGTATCCGATCGCACGAGATCTCGGACACGTAGAGCGGCACAACGTACAGCGTCATCGCGCTTCCTACACCCGAGAAGAAACGGGCCACCAACAGATGCGCGTGTTTTGTCGCGAAGATCGTCAACAGCCAGGATACGCAGACCGGTAACGCCGCCAGGCATCCTGTCACTTTACGTCCGAACCTCTCCGTTATCGTGCCGACCGTCAGCGTAACGAAAGCGGCCGTCAAGCACATGATCGCGGTCAACCAGGACGCTGTCTCGTCCGTCATTGGTTCTGTGCCCACTGGTGGATTTTCGCTTTGTAGCTGCGGCATCACCGGCGATTGCCAACCTATCGTCATTCCGTACGACAACGTCGAAATGTTCGCTGAAAACAGAATTCGAATACATTCCCTTTTTCTTGCAGCTTTTTTTGATCGTGCTCCACCTTAACGCCTCAAAGATTCCCCCCTAGGATAATAGTAAACCGAGTTCTGAAAAAGTTTAATAGCTGCTACTAATAAAGAAGGTATATAGGTAAAACTGTTGTCGATCAGGTCGAGAATATCAATGATTAGATAATTGCCCCCCAAAATATTCAAATTGCCCCTCGGCGGGAAATACTGCCTTACAGGATAACGTTTCCCTCGTGTGTACGACTTACTGATAACAGCTATGAAAAACTGTCGAAACTTTCCAGGCTCGACAGCTTCCTGCCCCTGTGTCATGTTTTCCTGTCTTTCGTGTTGATCATCGATGTAGAACGATTCCGAGGTACAGTGTGTTCGCACCCCTTTACACAGATCTTGTTCTTGCGATCGATTACCTACTTACTGTCGGAGATCGAATACCCGCTGAATTTATACGGGATCGGTAGTCACCCCATTTACCGAACTCTAACGAATCGAATCTATCCTTCTTATCTTTCGTTTCACCGTCACAGAAACGTAAGTAACATATGTGTGCCTGCTTACTTCTTTGTATACTCGACAAACACGCTGCGTCTCTGGCTTTGCTATCAGCATCCTCGACGCAAACCTTTCCTACCTTTTGCTGCACGATCTTTATCCCGCGAGTGTTCCAGTGATTTCGCAGTATCAAAATTTTTACGGTATTAATGAATCGTTTCTGTTTTATTTTCGAACCCGGAGATCTCGTGGTCGGTTCCACGTGAGAACACCAACGTAGACGAACAAAATCGCTTTATAATTATCGTCTTAACATACTTGAATGTATTCGCATGTGATTTATTATCGGTCTACTTTACAAACTCTCTCTGATGAGACTAATTTATGATAGGCGAAAGACAGTTTAGTTTGGTATTTGCAACCGTGATGGTACTTCAAGTTAATTTATGTATTCACCACATGCATATTGCATATATAGGTCTGTATATGGTAAAAATCTTTAACGTAAACCGTATACGTGTTTGCTGGTTTGTTTGCATAAGATCGCAATTTCCAGACGATAGATAATTCGTACGCATAATGGTTAACAGCCGTTTGTTAAGAAATCGAGGACCATGTTTGGCCACTGCTCCATGAAAATGATAGTCTACAAGAAATCGTTGCAGGTGTTAACCATCAAATCAATAACCTGTAATCATCGTGAATCTCCAATGATCGCCACCGTTAGAGGATACTTGATCTATATTGCATATCAGTTATACGAACACACACACATGCATAGATACACCCATTGCAGAGCGCTGCGCGACTGTGTCAGAACGACATACATATCTATCTATCGCTGAGCCAGATAACAGCTGAGCAGGTATTTAACCTCGTAGAAACGTCCTTCGATATCGATACGTCTCATTCATAATTAAACATTCGTATCACTTCTCGATAACTGTTACTGAATCGTTGGAACGAATCGATATCGAGACATTTATCCTTTCTTTTTCGCTAAAAATGTGTCGTATGCTGTCCGTCCACCTTTGGTGCATTCTTTATCAATGGCGGCTATTTCGATGCACGACACTTAACGACGATGACTTTCTACGATAAACAACGGATCTTTCAAACTCTTTCAAATTCGACTTTCGATTATTCTGCATCAACAGACATGGACGCATCGTCTGCAAAAGTCAAATTCGAAATCGTTCTGGATTCTTTGTAACGAAATTTCCCCTGTTCCGGCAGCTTTACGGTTATTTTTTTCGTCTGCTTGGTATCAAGATTGAGGGACAGGCTGGAGACAGCTTTCAATGTATATTTCAGCAGTTTTAGGTATATTTGTTGAAAGTAATATGACATATAGGCTATGTTTATTTTAGAAAAATGTACTACCCTGTGATATCAGCATATGGTGGACTCACATTGATATTTTTTGACAGTACATGTATCCTTTTCTGTTTTCTGTTTGGCCATTGACATGTAGATACATCGATTTAACTAACTTACAATAGGTTCAAGAAAGGAACATGGCATGGCATTGCAGTGGAACTACAAACCAAGAAATGGTGATGAAGTTAAAAGGCAAGATTATGCAAGGGAGTCAATGTAAATTCTTTATGATATTTTCTGGCTTACATTAAGTATAATTACAATAATCTACTGCAGAAGCAGGTATTCTGTCGTCAGACAGAGCAGAGGCATCGATGCTAGCTGTAGACAGGGGGAGATATTGCCATGAACCAGAACCATATATTGATCGTCCAAGAAGAATCGGATTCAATGTAACAATTAGTGCTCCCCACATGGTAAATAGACAGCTTTTTATTCTAAACAGTTCAGAAGATCATTGAACCTCTTTCTTCCACTTATGTATGGCTATAAAATGTATTACTTCATAGAACTTACTAGAAACTCTAAAATATTTTCTTTTAGCACGCCTATGCCTTGTCTATTCTGTCTGATCAGTTATTCGATGGAGCCAAAGCAATGGATGTTGGATCTGGGTCTGGTTACTTGACAGCTTGTATGGCATACATGGTAGGCTCGCGTGGCCGTGTGATCGGTATCGATCATATACCCGAACTGATAGAACTCTCCATAAAAAATGTACGCGAGGATTGTCCTCATTTCATCAAAGAAGGCCGTGTTAATTTCATTGGTAAGGAAATATGAAATTAAAGGTGTATCGTTAAGTTTTATTCGTGGATACATATGTTGGATAAAAGAGCAAGACGCGATCTCTCTCTTACAACGTTGAGACATCTCACACGTTCAAGAGATTAATAATAACATATATATGCTCAAATGAAAAATACCCGTAATCCACCTACGTGGAGTAGGTCGTATACCTTGTCACGAAGAATGAAACGGAACTCTCTTCACCAATTGCGTGACTTTGATGTGCATTATATAAAACGCTAAACTAAAGTCTAACATCAGGTCATTGTAAATGCGCCTAGTGGGAGACGGTAGATTGGGACAACCTGCTGATGGCCCTTACAACGCGATACACGTTGGAGCAGCAGCTGAAACTTTACCTCAGCAGGTAAATTATCCTCGAATAATTAAAATAAAAAAAAAAAAAAGAAGACATTTGTTGAGTAGCGCACAAGTGTATCCCGTGTTACAGTTAATAGACCAGCTAGCTCCTGGGGGACGACTAATTTGTCCGGTAGTTTCCATAGAAGGTTTCCAAAGGTTTCAAGATCTCCTTCAAGTGGACAAGAATGCCGATGGCACGGTCACGAAGAAGAAGCTGATGCAAGTTTCTTATGTACCTCTAACCGATCCGGCTACACAATTGCATAAAGATTGATGTACCATTTTAAAGATTTAGAAATTGTTTAGGAAATTCTTAACAGTCGTCGATAATGGCAATGATCGACGAAATTCAAATGAAATCATTTTTTTTCTTTCGCGCAGGTCACGATGTTATCAAATTAGCAAATTTTTCCCTAAAAACATGTATCAATAAAATATATTTTCGGTACATGAAGTAATTTTCATATTAAGTACGCGATAGACCTCACTGCACACGATGTAGAAAATTCCCGAACAGTTTCAGTTTAATTTAGTTTTACAAAATAATCTGGTAACGAACTCTTGCGATACACGTTCAAGTTTTGTAAATGATATGCAGGTGCCATCTTGAGGCAGGTCAGCGATAGTAATTGGTTAGTAGCTTGATAGATTTGCCGTAGATGGTGCCACAAGTTTCCGTGAACTATTTCGCCGGATTTCGACGATGTCTGATTCGCTGAGCTACGCGTCATAGAAATCCGGCAGACGAATAAACAAATGAAATTGAAAACGAGACAACAGACAATTCCTGGCGCGCAATGTTGATTCGAAAAGATTCAGCAAAGAATATGACATCGTTGGAAACAATATTTAATCATAATTTAAGTGGTTTTTTTTTTTGCAGTTTTCATTATCGAACAATGTGTGTCGATCGCTCGAGTCTGCAAAATAACCATAATATATTACAACCTAAGAAATGCTCCCATTTCGGCCGATAACATTCAGGTAGTTGAAATGAAACAAACAGTTACACATGTCTATATATTTTGACAGTTAATGAATCAGTAGACTTTAAAACGTAACGACAATTGGTAAGCCAATCCGAGCGTTTTTCACAACCCTTTGATGTCGTAGATTGTAGATAGTAATAAAGTGTTTGCCTCGTGCAACCAGCCGGGTGGTATACATGCGCATGTATGTGCATTCATACAGCGGAACCTAACCTCTTGTGTAACAAAATCGATGCATGTGCGAGATGTACCGGACCAGAGAGCTCCAACATTTAATTTTCATATAAAAATTGATTACTCATCGCGTTTTCGTTGAGAAGCCGGTCAGTGTACCCAAAGAAAAATAGTTTCCAAAGGTGAACCAAAACGTATGTCGGTGGATCGATAGATACGGGCGGATTTAAACAAAAATTTCCGCTATAAGTAAATGGAAGCAGCTCAAAAATGATGGATCGAAGTGTCAGCAGTCGACTGAAAATAGACGATAACCAGAGATGCGTTCGAAACATCGTTCAGCAAAATCTTTGTACAATGAAACGAATTCAAGTTTACAATCCAGATTAAAGGGGATGTTTTGATCGCCTAAAGGAAAAACAGGTAACAGATTTTTTGTAATCGTAATCGTTTATGCTTCCGGGAAACGTAAATTCATTTCCCCAACGTAATGATCGCGGTATTTACTCGGTAGTCATTCATTATGAACGTTTTCCGAACTTTAAACCGTTTTTTACATCGACTTGACGACTACGTCTCGTAAATGCGTATCCTTCGAATGATTAATCTTTTTTTTTTCGTATAATGTTGTCGAAGTTGCAGAAAAATAACGATTAGATTAATACGTTTCATGTGAACGCGATAGGGCACGATAGAAACGCGATACGGCGCGTCATCATATTTCCAAAATGACGTTTGACCTTAGTTACGTAAACCTTATCGAATCTCCTAATATTGTCCAGTCATGATGATTGTAGAACATGTACCATTGCATAAGAACAGGCGTCTGTGCCAATATACAGCAGTAGGAACATTTGTCACGAAGAGACTGAACGAGTTTCTGTGCAATACGTCTATATATTGCAAAGTCAGATGCTAGGTCTGCCTTGTTTTACATCGTATATTCATAAAGGTGTTTGGCCTTCATGGAATAGGGCCGAGCTACAACTGTCGATCAATGGAAAATTACAGGCTAAAACAATTTATTCATTCAGTTTCTGGGCGGAGTCGATGATCGAATTATCCTTAAAATCGTAGGATCCTATTACATTGGAATTCACGTAGTTCCTCGTAGCGAAGAGAATGTGATTGATTCGAGGTTAAGACGACCAGTGTTTACGGCTCTGGGGGTCGACCTTCCAACGACTATATATCTAAAGGCTCTAACAAGGAAATGATAAATAGGATCGATAAGAGTTTACGGTTCGATACGCCCGCAATTTTATGGGGAATCGAACGGTGAAAGGTATATAACCGGTTTTTTAGTCAGCCAGTTAGATTATGCAAAGAAAGTAAAAGAAAACGATTGGGTGATTCGACGCTCGACCTTCGCTTTTGCTTCGAGTCGCGCCGCGTGTGTACGTGAAAGTCACTCATCAGTTTTTCTAGGTAGCACAATCGATCGGTAAGGTCAATAGGAAAAGGACCGTGGTGTTGGAGAGATCGAAGGTGTGTGTTCAGAGAACTCGAGTCGGAAAGACCGCGTTTCCAGGAAACCACTGTGCATCGTACGTAATGGAATGACAGAGTCGGTTACCTGTGTGTGCCTTCCTTAACGATCATCGTTAAATCAAGGCAAAGCATGCGTGTAGTCTTTGTGCCGGTCGGAGGATCGTTGAAAAAAAAAATAGAAGTATGTCGCCGCGCTACGTATACGACCTTCCCCGATAGGTAGGAATGTTCTCCTCGTGGGAACGGGAAGCACGCGTCACGTCGTGTTTCGTTCGCGGTTTCAGTAGGACTCCAACCGTGCTTGCGGGAGGTTCTCGCGTCAGTGAACGTGTCCGTGTGTGTGTGTGTTTCCAATGTAAATTGGATCCAATTGAATCCAATTGGAATCCAATGGAATTTCGATCAGGATCGTTTCGTGTTATAGCTGGTTAGAGAACCGTGAATCCAGTGTTCTGGACTCTATTTATCTCCACATATTCGTGTAATATACCGAACGATTCACGTGCACCCACAGAACAAACGATTCCCTGTTTTGTCGACGATGGAAGTGCGCGCGATACGTGTTCCGTGAACTCGACGAATTTTCAAATTTTCATCGACGACACACGTGTACGTTAGTGTCCCTGGAGTGGTAACAACGGAATGTGTTTAATCGCCGCGCACAATTTCACAGTAATCTTGGACGTCAAGAAGGTAAATGGACGGTTTCTGGTCGTGTGCCGCGCGCCACGCTGTGTGTACTGCAAAAGAACGAGGGTTCGTCGGGTTCGTTGTACGGGTTCGCTCGGCGTGTCACGCACGGTGTTTCGGTTCCGGTACGATGCCCGGTGTAGGAAGTTAAATCGTTTATAGAATTCATAGTACATATCGGATTTCTTATGCAAACCGAGACACGTGTGACGTCGTCCCAGCGACGACCGATAATCGTCCAAAATTAAGTTCGCGCCACAGAGTTCACCACGGTCACGTTCTTCCTCGACTGCGTTCGCACATGCTATTTATTGGTTATTCTGATTTCTCACACGCCGAGAGAATACACACATAACATCAAGTTGAATTTTTCGTCGCAAAAGGAATTGATATTCGCGTGTGATGTAAACGGGTAATTTTTAGATCCAGCGGCGTAGGACAGTCTATTTTCCGTAGAACGTACGACCAGTTTCGTTGCGACTGATGAAAATCGCCGGCAGATCGGATCATGTTTCGTCGCGTGCTCAAGATGAGCTATATCCGATTGCATCGTAATCGACATAAACGAGGCCACTATGTCCACTGGCGTAGATTCTAATCGGTCGTTTCGACGATCTTGTTTTTTTTTTATATAATTAGGAATAGTCTCTTTTAGCTCCGAATCAGGGGGGTCCTGGGCCCAGAGTCTCACTTTCTAGGGGGCCTCCTTCGAAACCTTCCCTTTCGTTATCATTAGATGGTATTTAATTTCATTTAGAATAAATCAAAATTTTTCAAAGTTTGTGGATTTTATTGTATGTTTTATTACAAAATTTTCCCCCCTCCCCCCTCAGTCAAGGTGGCCCTAAAAGGTTTAATTGGCCCAGACCACAGAAATCTTAAAATCCCGGCCTGGCCCCCTTAGAGTTGATCTGACAAGAAACCGAACAAGAACTTTTCGATTAAAAGCAGTACTTCTTTTCCAGTAATTGTGTGTAATTATTCCGTAAAAATATCGTAAAGGATTATCCGGTCTAGACAGAAGCGACGCATCGGTCATTGCGAGTCATTATAATCGATGTTGAATAAAGATCGGTATATCGATCTGTTGCATATTCTGGTATCATCGTATCGCCATTGATACAAAGACATGTACTAAATACACGATTCGATCGATCGTTTGTCGGTTTTTTCGCGGTTACACATCGGAAGAATGACACGGCATTCAGCTGCGATAGTAGTGTCGACGCAGATATGGAGTGATGATACGGTTCAAGAGTACACACGCTATTATCTCTTTAACCATTGAAAATGCGGAAAAATATTCTACATGAAGGTCGTTTGATTCCACGGAGTAAACTTCGCAGCATATTTCAATCTATTTTTTAATTGTTATTTACAGAGATTTTAATAAAAATGTAATTTTTTGAAATGGAATTATATATTTATATTATCGCCATGTTATTAAGCATCTCAAGGCGAATTCAATGAAAAAATTTAATTATTATTAAAATGTCTGTAAATGACAATTAAAAAAAAATCCAAATATTCTAAAAGTTTATTCCATCAAATCAAACAACTTTTATATGAAACATTTTTCTGCATTTTCAATAGTTAGAAAAATAATAACGTGTACCTACACCACTTAAACCGGACAATACTGTACGCACAGAATTACGACAGGGATATGAGAATACGCAACAAGTAGATACCGCCGGGTATTCGTACCGGCCGTTAACGTTCAATATATCGGAGCCTTTCACCGGAAGTATTTTGAACCGCGGACGGCAGACGCACACGTTAGTTGCTACTTTGAAAATTATTTTCCCGGAAGTGTAAGCATAAATCATCGCATTGTCACTGATAGTGAGCTCGAAGAGACGTTTAAAAAGAGTCACTGCCGCGATACACTCGATATCGAATTAATATCGCGTGTCATCATCGCACGCCGACGCTTGTGCAATCTCGCGCCATCGAAACGTCTCCAAAGAAAGCACGGGATTTCAATGCTGGGTATGGAAAATTGGTTCATAAAAGCAGCATAAGCGACATCGACTCACATTTGCGAACACGTTAAAAAATGTATGCCGTTCGTCGAGTATCGATCTCTAGTAATTTATGAAATTTAACTCGTGTTTCAACGATCGGCGTTTCCATAACTGAAAACAACTTGTATTGTGTTCGGTCTGTTCGTGGAGATTGTTCCCTGGCCGAGTATCTTTATTCTTCGTTTGTTTACGAATCTACACACGTGTCTCACGGCCTCTGAAAAGTCTTCTCATCGTTTGTTGCAGTTCGCGAAGTCGGAGGTACGATGCAAAATTGTTCCGGCGACGAGCAGAACGACGTCGTCTACAAGGATGTGGTTATCATAGGTACAATACATACCCTCACGAGCAAACTCGACTTTCGCTAGGGGAAAAAGCGGCGTTGGTGAAGGGCCTATCATTTGGTATTGGGAATTACTGAAATTTGTACGAAATTAACATTCCATTTAACATTTATTTCAGTACCTAAAATAAATATACCAAGTGGTAGCAGGCTCTTCTCCTACGCCACTTTTTCCCCCAGCGAAAGCAGAGTTTGCTCACGAAGGCACGGTGTGTTTAACGGATTCGCGATTCATGTTTTCAAAAGTTTCGATAATTTTCGACCTGTCAGTCGTTGAAAGTGGATTCAATCGAAATGAATTGGCCTAGTACTAATACTAACGTAGTTAGTAGCAGTAGTATTATAGCTCATTGGTTTTACTCCACTTCAGGAAACGGACCCAGTGGAATATGCCTTTCTTACATGCTCGCCGGGAATTGGCCGTATTACACCGGCGAGCCGCATCCGGGGGACGAAATGTTGACCGCGAGACTGCACTCGAGCACGAGACACGGGAACGAGGAGTGCGGAAACGGAACGGTCGGTACAACCGGAATTAGGCAGGAAACTGATACGAATGGGACGGCGGGCAATAGGTGGCAGAGCAGGCTGGAAGGATGCGAGATGAAAAGTCAAGGAAGGGGTTTGGCGCGTAGCACGCGAAACAAACTGGAATCCCTGTCCTCGGGGCTGGAGGGTAGAATTGGTGGCCGACCGTTGTCAATTTTAATGGATCAACTTCAGCATCCCTGTGTGGACATGGGTCTCGATGTTCCGTCTCTTTTAACCTGGAAAACCGCCGAGCAACATCACGAGCACAAGGTGATCGACCATGTCGTGCTCGGTAAGGGTCGGCCCGGTGGCACTTGGCAGGTAACGGAACATCTCTCGATTACCTCTTGTAGGATCTTAATGAACGCGTAAACCTTTATCTTGATACCCGACGAAACCCCGTTTCCAGTCGATGGATCCTAACGTACTGACCATCAGCTTGAACCGATGGATGTCGTTGCCCGATTTAGATATCAGACAGTGGGAGAAGATGATAGAGTCTGAACAACTTTGGAACATGAGCTTGACAGAGGGCGGAACGTATGCGCAAGAATTTCAAGAGAAAACGACCGGATGTAAGACAGCCAGTAGAATATCCGTAGGGACGGTGGCCGCTTACTATGACGACTATGTACGGAAAAAGGGATTGGAGCAGTACTTTCGTTGGTTCGTTCCCGTCACTCTTAGTTTTTTTCCTGTTGTTTCACGTGTAACGTTGGCCCAATTTCTGATTTTTATCGCAGCGGGACTGTGGTCACGTCCGTTAAGCCCGTCGGTATCTCGCACGGTCGCGAGGAAGACTCTCAATACGGATGGACGGTGGAGGGTTTTGAGACGAAGACTGGAAAGCGGTTTCGATATCGTTGCAAAAGAGTCGTACTCGCGACAGGCACCACCGACTCGCCGAATCGGTTAGGTATACCCGGCGAGGAATCACAGACCGAGTGGGTCACGCATGATCTGAACGATCTCGAATCGAAATTGGACCGACTCGTCGATCGACAGAACGGTACGTGTAAACGAGAATCGACGACTGCGAATGATTCAACCCGATGTACCCATCGAACGTACCAACGAGCGCTGTGATTCCGTTTCAGATGGCGAACTCTTGAACCGATTCGCGCCTGTTCTGGTAATAGGAGCCGGTCTGAGCGCGGCGGATGCGATAATGGCTGCACGTTTTCGAAGTATACCCGTGTTGCACGCGTTCCGTGACTCCTCCACCGAATGGAACAAAGCGGACGACGAGAAAACACACCACACCAAGTACGGTAAACTCCCGGGTCTGCCCAGTTCAATGTATCCCGAGTATCATAAAGTTTACGAGATGATGGCGGACGGAGGTACCAATTATCCTCTCTACAAAGCGTTACCAGGATATACGCTCGTTCAGTTATCTTCGAACGGAAACGATCGTATTGGGGGCGCTGCGTCAGACTTCCGAACGGTCACGATGTCATCACCAGATGGTCAGCTACGTTTGTTTCGAGTCTCGAACGTCGCAATATTAATCGGTTAGTGGTCATCACATTTAATAGATGCTCCTCGAGATTATCGTATACGGAATCCACGCGCCTATATAACGAAGAAACGTTTTTTTTTGCTCGCAGGGTACAAACCCGATCTGTCCTACCTGGAGGGAGGCGGTACCGGTCTCGGGAAATACTCCGATAAACCTATAGACGGTAAAACGAACCCGATCGAGGTCGACGATTTCACGTACGAGATGATCAAAGCACCGAGAACCGGTCTCTACGCCCTAGGCCCATTAGTTGGTGATAATTTTGTACGTTATATACTTGGCGGAGCGTTCGGAATTTTAGCACACATTCTGAGTACCTCTGCCACCTGAGACGTACTTTCCATAGTTCTGTCGTAAATTTGTATTTCATTCACCGTTCCGCACCTACCGGCCGATGGAATGTGAGAATCGTTGCGTGCACCCGTGCACGTTCATTTTACTGACTTCTCTTTTGTACTGTCAACGATCAATGATTGAGTACTATCACAGACAATATATACGAGTAGACATTTCATCCAATGTATTTTTGCGGCCCACATTTCGAGATCGCTAAAATCATAGGGTTTTTTTATGGTGTCGGTGCTACAGTTTAGGTGGGCCACCAATTCCCATAAGATGAAAAGTCTATTCGTACACCTCGTCGGTGGTGCTATTATAGAAAAGTTGCATTTGAAATTACCTGCCGGTTTTCAGAATACAAATCAACATGCGAGTCGCAAACAAATGTACCGTGTTCACACGGTATCTGAGATAGTGTCTCTGTCAAATACCGAATTCGTTCAACGCTATTCGAGCAGACGCGGATAATATATTACAATAAAAAATTGCACGACGTCAATAGCATTTGATGGTACTTCATTTGTCAAGTATCACTGTCGTTATGGTGTTCGGATATATACATACATGTATGACTACAAAACGTTTCTTACATTCGTTCTTGGTTATATCTGTTGTATCATATATAACGAACTCAATTTGTTGGTGTGGGTGTTCGTACACATTGTACAAACACACGAAAAGGCGTAATAAAGGTGTACAGATACCTGTATAGACAATTACATGTACAAGGCAGACGCGAATAAGGAATGCGGTTATACTTCTTACGTAGTATTTTTTTAAATGCTCGATCTATGTATGTACAAAACTCCTAGATGTCTGAATAACGCATTTGTTAGTTGGACGTTAAATGAATTACGTAGCTATTATGTATATGAAAATATACGTTTCTCTCAGTCTGTGATAAAAAATAAAAAGGTTCAATACTGGTGGGTAAAGTTGTAACGTTAAGTGTAAATGAAGAGTACACACATCGCCTAAACGAAAATGTTGTTATCGATCTTACTGTTTATTAACACACGGTTTTGAGCCAATCGAATAAGATATTTACGTCAACATTATGTAGAGCTGTAACGTTTCATATCGTGCGTTTAATTAAATATTATTCATTTATTAAAAGGAGAACGACATTTACATATACAAGCATTATCCTCGAATACAAGTACTTTTCGTAATGGAAAAAAAAGACGATCAAAAAATGCTGTTCATTCCTTCGATCTTCATTTGTTACTGTATCCTAACATTCGGTCGGAAAATATTATCTATGACGACACTGGATTTATTTTATTTTCGATATTCGTTGGGAACCACATATTCGCAATACCACATAAACACATTTCTAGATACGAAATGCTCACGCGATCGTACTTACAATACATACATTGAACCCCGCTCAATTTGAAATACATTTATGTACGAGTAGTATGATTTACCAAACAAATGACACTGCACGCGATTCATTAATAGTGTAATGATTTCAACAGACTGTATCGTCGAGAGATTAAAAAAACATTGATTCTTTTTATATTTCAGAGCTGCACGGTTTTGCTTTTACGTGACATTAGCTGTATATAATACAATATTAACTGTTTTTCTTCATTATTTTAACGTTGATTCAAAAATGTATAGAGTAACTATTAGCACACGTCGATAATTACACGCATGATAACGTCTGTAAGGCGTTCGAAGTAACTGTTCTTCTGCTTACGTAGTGTTTTCTGTATTTATTAGAATATTATAGTCTCTCTATGTATAGAGTAACTATTAGCACACGTCGATAATTACACGCATGATAACGTCTGTAAGGCGTTCAAAGTAACTGTTCTTCTGCTTACGTAGTGTTTTCTGTATTTATTAGAATATTATAGTCCGCGCAGCATACATGCTAAAACCATTGTCCATGTTCCCATTCGCGAAACATTAGGAAATAACAACTATAACTGTGTATTTGGGGCGTACCTGCCCAATTCGTATAAACTTCGTGTCTTACGTTTTAAATACAACGAAAAGAAAACTAACTAGAATAATAGTTCCTGCAAGGACGACTATACAGTACAATTTTCTATTGGCTCTTTGATAAGAGTCTGCCTTTTTTAATTGTTTATAACCTTCCTGTACTTGTACTTGTGTTTGTTCAATATTATAATCGATTCTATCCAAGACGGTGCCCTGATCCTGCACCATATTTCCTAAATCCTGTTCAGGGAAAATTTCTTACTTAAAAAAATCTCGAAATGCGTGACTACGATACAGAATATTTTCTTTTTTTTTTAATGAGAAAACGGTACCACAGCTCGTGTCCCTTACTTTGAATATGTGTCTGAGATCCGCGATACTCTGTACTATGCTGCCAATTTGTTCCTCCCTTTCCATAGCAAACTTCATTCTATCTTCTGAATCATCCAACTGCAAAAGTACAGAATCTTGACGTTGTTCGTTGATGTGCCAAGATTCTGCGTTCGTTTCGTTCGTGTCAACTAACCACGTGTCGGTCGTAGTATTATTTAAGTATATCGATTGATCTTCCGGAAAAAATTGATTACTTCTCTCTTCCCTTGATTTTATCTCTGAAATCGTAAAGATTACTCCGAAAATTCGATTTTTCCTCGATAACACGGAAATGAATTTTTAACTCGTACTAATTAAACGTGAAACGTACGCGTCAAATAATGGTTCTGAGCGGATCTGTATCGAAGACCCAGCTCTTGCAAAGCAGTCGAAAGAGCCATCACTGCACTCGTGGCTAACTGTCGTTCCACGGGTTTGGTAGCGTGCCTAACCGCGGTTTTTATACTTTGCACTTGACGGTAACCGTTTGAAAACGCACGTCCTATTTCTCGCGTCAGTTGTTCCATTTGCCTTTCTTCCTGCAGACATGTTTTTAACGATTTGCTCTCTAACAATTAAGTAATCCAAATAAATCTGGGGGATTGCGTGGATAATGTCGTACTGAACGTACGTCGGACTCTCGTTAAGTTTCGATAGGGCGATAAAGTGACAAGTATACCGCCCGTTAAATTTATCGACAAACCTGTGACGTATCGTCCAACGTTGGCCTGGTTAACTGTTTGCCGTGTAATTCTATTAAAGTGTCTACTTTCACGCGTAATCTACTTAAAATATATTGCGTCTCCTCCAAGGCATCTATCCAAACAGGTGGTGCGTTATTTTCCAGATTAATGTTTCTTAGTTCTACGTTGTCGGAGCTGCCATACTCCGGAGCCACCAGTGCCATTCGATCTGATAGATTCTGAAATGATATATCGACGCCTGAAAATGTTTAAATCCTTCCTGGATGTTAATTGCTGACAATTTTCAATAATTTAGAGGTTATACGTGTCATACCTGTTCGGCATATATGTGCTTGCTTTGCAAAGTATTGTTTCGCATCAGAACGAATGGTTCGGTTAAATTTCTCATAGCCATTTTCTATCGATTTTTAAGTCTCTTTAGCAGACTGTTCACAACACTTGATTACACATACTGAACGGCTAAGCGCACCCCAACTAGACCATTCCTGTCAGTTTACCCCATCTGTCATCGTTAAAACAGCTGATCGATCAGTAATACCATATTCGAATCGTAAACTTTCTTTGTTACTAGCTGCCGCTGGAAATAGGGTTGAATCGATACCACCAAGGTATCGATACTTTTACTCGTAACTATATATATGATAAATAAATATGTACTGCATCTTGCAAACACGGGGTCACTTATGCATGCTCCGGGGGTTCTACGACCCCACTTACCAAGCTACTACACAGTTCTCCACGCATATAAAAAATTACAACTGGAAAATTTAGATCAGAGTTTTATTAAAGATACCAAGGCAAAACTCATTTCAACATTGTATCCTATTCACTAATCATAATAAACATTTTATTCGGTATAAAACGATTTCTTTAGTTTATTCATCGCAGATCCGTTCATAGGTACCGTTATAATACTTCGTTCCTCTTCAGGTAGAGCTAGATTTATTTCGCTTAGTTTCGATAATCAATGGTTTGGTTGTATAAAGATTTGCAATAACCACTTGTCTCTTAATAAGTTCAAGCGCTTCCTCTCCTTTCTTGTAGCGTTCGGTAATTGTTTGTGAATCTTTAAGCGTTTTGTTTTGTTCAAATTCATGCCGAACTTTACGCAGGGTATACATCCTATAATAAATGGGAAAAAACACATGTATACAACTTCTGTTTAAGGCTATACTACAGTTTGGTTATTTCCACTTTGACGTTAATGTATTTGTTATTAAAGGGTCAATACAAATATAAATGAAAATCTGAGTTGTATATTTTACATCGCTCGAGAGGGTACGCTTACCGATAATTGTATGAATTCCATTTTTTGCTTTCTCGAATTAAATTACGATAGAGCTTCAGAACAGCATCCCGACTACCGGCCATGGTTTAGAATAACTCATAGATACGTAATGAAATATTGGTTGATTCATGCGACATCTGACTTTCTTACGTAAAAAGGTCCAAGTTACAGGCAGCTACGGATCAATTACAATTAGAGATGGCGTGCAAAATCACTAACGGTGATTTATCACAGTGATCGCCGAATCACGATCACGATCGTGATTTAACTTCATTCACGACCGCGATTGCGATTTTTTTATCTTGAGTGAATTTGCTCACTGCAATCGTAAGTCATTAATCTTTAAACAGAAAAACATATTCAATATGATTTTACGATGAATTACATTACTGTGTTTGTAAAAATCAGTAGAAAAAACAAGAAATTCTAAAAGAATGATTTGCTAGGTAACATGTAGATTATAATTTATAATCATTAACTTATTCAGTATTCTTAATTGTTTCTAATTATTCTTTCACTTTATACGATATAACTCGAATTTTTGTTTTGATGTCGTTAATATAAAATATAAAATATACAGAATATGTGTCGCGTGTAAAGAACTGTGAGAGCGTGGGGTCACGGGGCCCCCGGTGGAGACGCTATAGACCCTGCACGGCGCCCCGGTGGAGGCGCCATTGATCACGTGGGGTGAGAGCGGGGTCACGGAGCTCCCGGTGTAGGCGCTATAGACCCTGCACGGAGGCCCCGGTGGAGGCGCCATAGACCCTGCACGGAGGCCTCGGTGGAGGCGCCTTTGATCACGGGGGCTGAGAATGTGGGGTCACGGAGCCCCCGAAGCATGCTGAAGAGACCCCGTGTGTGTGGATGTATGATGTAATTTTTGTTTTGATGTCGTTAATATAAAATATAAAATATACAGATTATGTGTCGCGTGTAAAGAACTGTTAGGTTTCTCCACCAATAAGAAACGATCACGAGAAATCACGAATCACTGTGAAAAATCATCGTGATTGGGAACGAACGTGACGAATCACGAGTGATTCACAAGTAACAGTTCACGCCATCTCTAATTACAATACTTCACTTTACCTGTAGTTGGCACAATTGATCCTTGTAACAATACTGTACATGTACTTACTGTACTTAAGAAATGTATACTCTGTGGAAATTGGTTAAAATTGTTTGTATTGGGATTGCAGCGGAGAATATCATTTTTGTCACTATACTCATGATAAATAGGATTACTGTATCACAATGATATCAAGGTTTATCAATTATTTACAACCGATTCACAACAATGTCGTGGTACTAAGTAATAAAAAATTTCATGTATAATACCTACAGTATTATCTTATAGTTACAGAAAACTTCGGTCAAATTGTATGAAATCACTGGTGCACAGATTTTTAACTACAAATGCAGAAGCTCGAACAAACAATGAAATAACTGTGCTTGGTTGCAATTATCTACGGGATGCATGGACAAATGTTTCTTTGAATATTATCTCGAAACTTGGAAGAAACCTGCATGTTACTCAGTATCATCCTTTATCTCATATACGTCAACAAATTGTTAATTATTTTTATAAGCAATTTTACAATCGTATTGGGAACTCAATCTTCAGTGTACACGACAATATATCTCCTATAGTCACAACAGCTCAACAGTTTGATTCTCTTCTTATACCAGAGGATCACCCAAGTAGGAAGAAAACAGATTGTTACTATATAAATCAGAACACTTTGTTACGTGCTCATACAACTGCGCATCAAGCGGATCTAATTTCTATGGGATTAAATAATTTTCTTATAATTGGGGATGTTTATCGTAAAGATGAAATAGATCGTGTGCATTATCCTGTGTTTCATCAAGCAGATGGTGTTAGATTATGTACAGTACAAGAGGTATTTTCAAATACAAAGGATCCCGATGGGTTAAGACTATTTGAGCACAGAGGTGTAGAGAGTAGTGAAAAACAAGGTTGTCATACTCTAGAATCTGTAAAAATAATGGAACACGAATTAAAGAATACCTTAATTGGATTAGCACAGACACTTTTTGGAAAAGGTAGACTGATTATAAATAAATAATTTAGCAGAAAAGTGCAACATCAATGAAACAGAATCTTGAATTTTCCTTCTAGACATTAGGTGCAAATGGGTTGAACAGTATTTTCCATTCACCCATCCCTCATGGGAATTAGAAGTTTATTATAAAGATCAATGGCTCGAACTGTTAGGATGTGGGATTATACGACAAGAAATTTTACAGTCTGCAGGAGCAGGAGAACGCATTGGATGGGCATTTGGTTTGGGTTTAGAGAGATTAGCAATGTGTCTGTACAATATTCCTGATATCAGGTTATTTTGGAGCAAGGATAGTGGCTTCTTGAATCAATTCAAATTTGAAGATCCTAATACAATGGTACAGTACAAGGTAATGAAAAAACATATTTGTATTTACAAAAGTATCCAACACTTTATCCAAAGTCAATAATCATATATCATCCTTATAGCCGATTAGCATTTATCCTCAGTGCAAAAATGATGTAAGCTTCTGGTTACCCGAAGACGGATCTTATTCGCCAAATGATTTTTATGACATTATACAGGATGTTGCTAACCATAGAGTAGAACAAGTTATATTAAAAGATGTGTATACTCATCCTGTAACCAAAAGAGTATCACATTGTTACACTATAGTGTACAGACATATGGAACGTACGCTTATAAAAAGGGAAGTAAACAAAGTTCATGACCGAATAAAACAACATGTTACTGAGTGCCTACATGTTACAGTCAGATGAAATACATAATAAATAAGCTGAGACACATAGCACTGTGATCTGTTATTATTTCAGTGCCATACCATTGTACACAGGCCATCAATGGAAACAATAAAAAGTAAAGAATTAGTCGGACAAAGAAATATACTGTTTTATTTGCACATTAATTAATTACAAAGACGTGATTTGGTCAAATAATATTCGCCTAAGAAAATTATTTTGTCTATGATACATTACGTTTAGTTAACATTGCGCACTAACAATACTTACAGTTATGTCTACATGCTTACAGTGTACGCTTGAATATAAAAAATGGTATTCTTTTTGTATAGTGTTGCGTATTCACAGTAAGTCCATTAAATCACATTATACTTGCAAATAACACTCGTATTCTCAAAATAAAACAGATACACTTTATTACACAATTACTACATAAATAAATAGTTCTTTCAGCACTTAATTTGTATATTTATATAAAAAAAAAGAATAAAATTTCGCTTTAAATAATTTTCGAAATATGCTAAATACGTAACAGAAAATGTCAAATAACGCATTACGTGCATTCAAGTAGATAATCACTCGAAGTTTAGAAACTTAATATAAAAAATACTGTGAATGGTATGATCGAATATGGATGATAAATAAATGCTGTACGTTGCACGAACACATTTCCTGGAAGAGAATGTGACTAATGTCTATAAATAAGCAATAACGTAACGTACGCTTAAAAAAAAACACGATTTAAAATTCAAAGATTCTATTTACAATTATAAGAATTTCAATGTGTTTTAACTTATATTAGAATAAATAGAGCAAAGATTATAACAAACTCAAGCGTTAACAAGATAGTGGAATAATTCATCTTTAATGAGATATCAAAATAAAAATAATATTGATTCGATTCATCGACTTGGTCCAGTTGAAACGCTCATTGTAATAACTGAATAACAGTATACAGAAAGTTCGTAAATTTTGTTTACAGTTACGATTTAACATCGAACTTGTAGAATCTGTCGTAGTTGACTACCGGTAGGATAATTAGAAAAATAGTGCGAACATTTGCAAAATGGAAGTTTATCTGTATGATACTGAGCAAAGGACTCGAATCAAAAATCGAAAATAATAAGTTGTAACTCTGTTTTTGTATCTGTTTCGTGCGAAACAGATAGATTTTCAACTTTCCGTACGATGTATTTTCGTATATTGAGATTATTGTACCCGAAACTTACGATAATTTAGTGTAACTAGGAGGTGAGAACTTCTTTCGTAAGAATTTCAAAATGTACAATGGCATGCACGAAATTAAAGTTATTAACAATACTTTCCACAAGAAGTCTGTAGTCTTGATGAATTCAGCATCTGCGACAAAATAGAAAAACAAACAGTTAAATTGATTTTTCGGAAACGTGTATAGATTAATTTTGTACGTTCAATGTATATCAACGAAACATACCGAAGTAGTCCTTTAAAACGATTAGAGACAACAAATAAAACGCCAAGGAGAATATCTCCGCAAGTATCATAATGTAATGCCACGTTCTGATAGTCAAAGCTACCATAATTAATTCCGTCAAAACGAGAGCCGTGAAACTGATGGCTACTATATGAATGAATTCATCCTCAAACATTATAAGCGCACCGTACATTATAACTCCACCTAAAAATACCAATTCAGCCGGTTAATATATTCAGTAAACGAAAAGAGAAATAATTATCAGCAGAACTCCCTAGCACAATCACCTTGATATATGCTTATCAAAATCCACATGAAAAATGTCTTGTAGGATAATGATCGACCTTTACTAAGTTCTTTATAGAGTTCCGGATAAGTGAGCGCAGTTTTTCCTGACACGTCTTTGTCCAATACCAAAGAAAATACTGGAAACATTGTATATATCGTTCCGTAGCTGCAAAATATGAATCAGAATTACACTGTTGTTATTACTATATTTTTAAAAGTATATTAGACGATAGTGATGATTAATGAAATATTAGCTAATCGATCCGTACCCCACCATTAAAAATCCCTGATACAAGGATACCGAAGATAAATAAAACACCGCAGAAAACACAGCTTGCATGGTTGAAATAATTAAGCCACGATGAATAACGAACTGACTTAAAGCAGCGGAACGTTTGTAACTTCTTCTGCCGTGAACCAGTAAAAGGTTAGCCAAATGACTGAACTGGGAAATGGAGAAGTCTGCGGCCAAAGATGCCTGCCTTCCCTCAAGACCTTCAAGACCTATGCCTACGTACCAATATTCGTCAAAACAGAATTTAGTAATAAATTTCGATGAGATCTCATAGAGATATTTGGAGAACATAACCTACCAGCGTCTGCAGCTTGTATCATGGACACATCGTTTCCACCATCGCCAACAGCTGCGGTTCGTTTTCCCGTATGTCTTTGAATAAGACTGACGACTTCGGCCTTTTGCGTGGGAGAACATCGACAGCAGACAACAGCGGGTGAACCGCAGGCTAGTTCCAGAAATTCTTGTTCATAGTACTGCAAACATACTTCCAGAGAATCTCCACTGATAACTAAGGCACAGTCTTGCTTTTTGCGAAACGTGTTCAACTCCAAATGTGCATCCGCTCGCGTTATCACGGATTTGAAAACGTGAAGACCTTGTGTCCTTGAGACTAAACGCGAAGATTTTGCTATACAAGTCGCCGTTTCCAACTTATCCCCTGTCAGCATCCAAATCTATAAAGTCAATCGAAAGACAGAAACTTATTAGTGGAAGGAAGAGCCGCAATTGAATTTCTCGGAACACGCTCACCTTGATTCCAGCATTTCGTAAAAGTTCTAATGTTGGCCTCACTTTATCTTGCAGTCTGTCTTCGACTCCAGTTACGCATAGTAACTCCATTTCCCTTTCTAAACTCTCGATTACTGCGGCAACTCGGGGACCCCGATCGCTAACACTCATTCTCGCTGCATTGTACCTGAAAGAAGAATATTTTTCCGGTTTAAGGCACCATTTTTAGTGATTGTTTCTTCTGGTAGGATATCGGTGGAAGTATACCTTGCTTCAAAATCGAGGTACTGTTCTTCCGTTAAATTTTTCTTGGCAACAACGAGTGTTCTTAAACCTTCACGAGCCATGTTGCCACACTCTTCTTCCAGCCAATCGTTATATTGCACTATCCCGGACATTACTACGTCCGCTCCTTTCAGATAAAACACTATTTCAGAACTGGACTCCTCTTTCACTATTATTCCCATTCTTTTCGTCTCGGATGTGAACGGGAATATTTGTAGAATCGTGTAGTTTAAAATTTTCCCGCTTGGAGCTTTCAGTTGCATAAAATTCAAATCTCGCTTTACTAAAGCCAATCCCATTTCTTCCGTCCATTTAACTAACGCTACTTCGTCCGGACTGGAAGCTTGATAATTCCGGTTTTGCTCTGGTAAATAATAATGCTGATCCGCTTCAGTTTGGCTAAAACGACGAAAAATTCGAAAATTTCAATTTTACCATAAAAGAATACAATTTGTTTTTTACGGTTAGTTACCTTTGAATGGAACCAGAATCCTCCGTCTCTCCGGTTTGTACACTGACTGTGTCCAAGTTCGTGGGTTTAGTTACTTCGTCGTAAACCGGTGTTACGTTATGACATAACGCTAAAGCATGTACTGCATCGTATATCCTAGTACTCTCCGATCGTCTTACTTTTCCACTGTGCACAGACGCTGCCTGTTTCATCGGCGAAGTTTCCGAGGTAGTAGTGTAGCATGCCTTCAGCACGTTCATCACTTCGTCAAATGTTTCTTGACCGTAAGATATCATGCCCAGATGTAGCTTTTTGAAAACCATTTTGTTCTGCGTTAACGTGCCAGTTTTGTCGCTCAACAGGTACGAAATACGGCCGAGTTCCTCCGGTATGGTGGTCGTTCTTACGACCGTTCCAGTAATTTCTTTGTCTCTTTGTATGCACCATGCATAGAAGGCTTTTCCCATATCCAAATTTACTCTCAAACTGATAGGGATTATGTAGGAAAACAATAAAACGAAACGAAACATGTAACGGTACCATGGCCCATTAAATCCCTTTAAAGACATCATTACTAGCGCAAGTCCGATCACAGCGCAGAACAAGACCTGCAAAATTATCGGTGAAAAGTAACAACGTAATTACAGTTTGTTTCCCTTGGTTACGAAAGGGGCGTACCTTTGTCAATTGGTTTATTTCTTGATCCAATAAGCCCACTTTCGATCGCGGAGCCGAATGATTCATGAGAGATCTGGTTTCCTGTCCTGTGTATACTACAACGCCGAGAGCCGAACCCGACGCAACAGCCGTATTTGCCCATAATGTATTGTCTACACCTAAACTTTCTTCGGTGCTGTATCCGTCGCCCTGCAAAAAAAAAAACCATTGCCATACAACGATTCTCGATGCATAAATTGCGTGTAATATTCAAAGATAGGCGAAACATTTAATAACCCACTCTCGTGAACGTTCCTATGAAGCTGTGAATATCCTTCTGTGGTTTCTCAACGTAGATACTCGCTCGTATATCAAACAATTGAGAGTTGCTTTCTAATTTTTGTGTAACGGGTACAGCCAGCCGCAATTTCCAATCGGTCTCTCCATCCAATTGATCGGTTCTGACGAAACACGCTCCGGATTTTTCAGTCGTACGCAGCAAGACCAAATCCGCCGGGACTCGCTGACCCTTTTCGACGATTACCTTATAACATATAAACAAAAGATATTCTGTATACTGTACGCTTTACATTCGTCTGGGCTCTTTTATTCTTTCTACCCGACTACTTACCAAATCGCCTACTTTCAACTTGGAGCTTGGTACCAATTCTGGCACCTCGAAACCTTTAACCAGTCTGTAATATTTCTGGGCATTAACTTCTTTGTCCCTTTTATATCGTCTGAAATCATCGATTGCCTCTCGGCAAATGGTAACAGTTAGCACAAAACACAATGGTCCCCAGTATGTGTACAAGTACCCTATTCGTATGTCTGGTATGAATTGAGATATTGCCATAAGCAAAAAGTACAGATTCAGGAAGAATTTGAATTGTTGGAAAAGAACCTGAAATATAGAGAAATAAAGATTATGTTCCCAGTTGTATGTAATGTGGCATTTCAATGTTTGACAATGACCCTTACCAATGGCAGAAATGTGACTACATTGTATTTCTGATTTCTTATGACATTTGTTGGAAATTTTTCATGCATGGACTGACCGATGTGAATAACTCTGGCTCTTAATTCACGTTCTCTACAACACCTCCTCCACATCCAGGTGCAACATCTGTAATAAATGCAAAAACAAAGTGAACTAGACACCAAATAACGTAGTGTAAATCATACAATTGTTTTTTTATCTAGACAAACATAGTAACTATCAAATCAATTATATTTATTATCACGTACAACGATCGCGAGTCGAAACACTAAAAATACGGCTGACGATACTTTTCACCAAAAGAATAATTGAAACCAGTTTAAGTATCATAAATAAAGTCGACAAATGTTTAACTATATAATTAGAAGGATCGGAGGTGCAAGGGATCAATCTTTTTACTCAAACCAAGATGTACGTCACCTTGTCCACGAGTTGTCATTTCGTGGTTTAGATATTAACGGTATATCTTCTTTCGATAACCTTATAACATTACTTTGAGTCTCCATTTGGATATTTCTTTGTTGCAAACCATACAAGAAATTTTTATTCTCTGTTCTTACGCTGCGAAATATTAGCTCGACAAATCTTTCGTTGATAATCACTACTCTGTTGTGACATCATATCATCCACGAAGCACACGTTTACAAGACGAATTCGCCTACCCAGTTGCAACGGTGAACCGACTAACAATACTCACCTCGTTGTATTTTTCCAAATTTTCCGCGGATACCTGTTCGAAAATACATTACCATCGACTTTCGGCACTATTTTTGCGAACAAGGAATTCATATCTGGTAATTATGAAATTTGCTATAGCGCTCTAGGAAATCGACATACACCGTCTTGTCAAAACACGTACGCGTACAGTAGTAACTGTCGAGCATATATAAGCATCGTAAGATAATTTGTTGGGTTTTTATCATTTCTCATGTTGGCTACCATTGCAATTAACAGTTGGTCCTGTGCATCACGTCGATCGAATGGTTATTTGTGCCGTTTCCCCTTCGATACTCGTGGTTTCGAGCACCAAAACGTTGAACTTACCCGCAAAGAACATTCTTGAAAAATAGGGAACAATCGTTGATTCGTCGCCTTCTCGAAGTTAGGAGTCGTATACTATCTTCGGAAGGCTGAAGAAGATAATCAGTTTCCTCGTCCATTTCAAAATCCCGCTCGTCCGAGCTTAAACGCAATGGCATCTCTTCTAACCGCATATTCTTGACAAGTCACTCGAAAAATAATCTCTCTTCGTTTACCACGAGTAAACGTATACTAGTATTCTATCTTGACAGGGTATCAAACAATAGTGCGATGTGTGCGTATATTCCTTTCAACGGTAGAAGTTGTATTCGGTATAGATACTTGTCGGCGGGTTCCTCATTACGGAGGGATATCATACGCGTCACGTGATCTCAAAGTGGTTACACACCGTCTAACTATATATGTACACAGCACGCGTGTAGGTGCGTCGTAAATGTTAGGTGTCTATCTTTTTTCGCGTGTACTTTATGGTAACGTTTTCGATTAGATAATCTCACAATATCTTACAGTTAACATTCCGCCGTTACTATCTCGATGGTGAAACTCCAAAGGGCACTACAAATTGACATTTGCTCGAACGGTCAGACTCTTCTGTTTTGTTTACCAAACCATGCGTACGTACGGACATACGCACACATGCAGGATCGGGCCTTTACGCGTACGTACGCATACGTTGTATTGCGAAACGTTTTTCGGACGGCGACAACAAAAGAATTCGTTACTACGTTTTCTACGTGTCATTTCGCTTCGAGCTTTCGGAAGTTCGATCGATTTTTAAAATAAACATTGATCGGCTACGATGACGATATTCTCGCGGACTGGTGTTATTCCGATTGTACGCGGCCATATTAGGCAATAAACGATCACATGGTCCTTTCGGAGTCGGGACGGTACGCATGCTTACATCTTTTCGAAAGGCTTCATGCGACAACAAAAATTTGATTGCAGTGTTCGTTCATCGACGTTCCGAACAGTTGTCCACCCCATCTGGTATATAGATCCCACGAAATCAGTACTGTCTCCCGTCGTTTTATTCAGCGATATCTGTCCTTTCCACTGATGACGGATTAGCGACCGGTGAATTGTTGTTATGCGTAAACGATTGTTAATGAAACGTTTGTAATTAGTATTTGGTTCACTAGCATATACGTATAATGACGAACTAAATGACAGAAATCCGTGGCGTCATCTACGGAAAAACGACCAAGCTACTAGTCAATCAATCCCATTTTTCGGACAGGTGACGTCAGCAACGCATAGTTTGCGGAGCTGGTCACTAGACGTCACTGCAGTCTAAAATACATTCGATTCACGTTTTCGACTCGGACAATTTCAAATAATTTCATTCTTCTATCAGTGAGCTGCGAGTCGATAGCTTTATCATCGTGATCTACAGGATTCAAAGCATATCTGTATAGTTTACGATAAGTATATTTTTTTGTGAATTTTATATGAATAAACACACGAAAAGACAGATCCAACACATTTTAATGACGCACAATTAAGTAAACTAAGAAAAAAGGGTGTTCTAAAAAATGTGTTGACTTTTTTTTTTCTTTTTTTGGATATGTCCCGCATTGCAACGTGAAACATCTGGTTAACACCTTATATTTGAGGATGCTTTAGATCGTGCTGTGCGATTCCGTAAGTTATACCCAGTGATTCGATCGCCTCTATAAGCTGTTTGTCTCGATGTTCTGCGTGGATGATCAAAGACTGAAACAATTGCATGCAAGTTTTCCTTTCGCTGTCCCCCATAAAATGCAGCGTCAGTTGAAATCGATTGCATTTGCTTAGGACGCGTAAAATTTCAACGACGCTATCGATATCGTTCGTGACCTTAGTAGTTTGCAAGCATACGTCTATTAGTTCGGCAAACAACGTCGAAGGAATTTCTGTATGAAAAATGGTGTCTCCCAAGACGTTTCTGTAACAACGTTCGAGCACGTTAACAGGATTTCTAGATTTAGACCTAAAATGGGCGTCTTCAAGGCGTCATTGTGCTATCTGGGAGGTCACGTAAGATTTTTCTTCCGACATACTTGAGACTTTGAAGATAACGAAATTTCGCGTCGTATTCGTCGATCTTTTTCCAAGCTCGAATAAACTGTTCACAGTTGGACGGTAGTTTGTTCGTCTGAAGATCTTCACTGTTCTTTGCCTCGGACCGTTGCACGTCAAATTGTTCATGTGCCGGGGTCCAGTGCGGGTTACGAACACAGACGAAAGTATTCCAAGATCCGTTACGCTGGAAGTCGTCACGTTTCAATGGTCTGAGATGTGCGGCGTTTACCTGGTAATATGAATTTTTCTCGAGTTTCAGAGTTGTTTGAAAATCTATCGATACACGTATTTAGCAGCATTCAGTTACCATTTGGCGAAAGTCCTCGTACGTAGGCACATTCTGTTCGACTGCTCTAAGCTTCGCGTCGTTCTGTAACTTGTACGTTTCGTCTGTTCTGACCGCTTCTTCGAGGTCCATTTGCAAACTTTTATAATCGATCGGCGTAGTCAGTTTACTCGAATTTTTTGAAATTTTATCCATTTTACTCTTCCGAATGCCTGGTGTTACTGAATAGTCCCACGAATCGCGGTTCCTATGGTTACCGTTAACGAGCACTCAACGGTTTTGGGGGTGGCGCGCGAATCGCTACCGAGTGTAACAAAGAAGAAAGTCTGAATAAAAGAGAGGTTAGAAAAAAGACCAGATTAGGTTCCATCGTTTATTATGTAGGATATTTCGATCTATGAAATAACATTGTCTTGGAGAATCTGAGCCTTCTCCATAGCCATTTTCTCTTGTCTTTTCTTGTACAGTCTGTCGTGAGTTCTCTTCATTTCTAGAATTTCCTTCATCTCTTCCTTATCCTCTTCCTAGAAAGAGACGCATTTCACGCTGGGTCGTTTGTCCATTGAAACAAGACGATATATAATAATAATAATATTTATTTTAACGGGAAAATACCTTTGATAGGAAGATAGCGTAAATATGAACAAGGACATGCGTGGATAAAAGATGAAACAAAGAAAAAAAAACAATGGCATAAATACTATACTTGCGTTGTATGTTACCGATTGGTTCAGACGAAGTACCAACGCTTTTCGACCGTCGGACATTGGCTGCGAATAGTCCATCAACTTTTTCAGCCTTTCCTCCGGACTTACGCCTCTCTCAACCACTAGAACTATACGTGCCCACTGTAAAATGAATTTTAGTGAGAAGAACGCCTGCTAAAGGAAGCTGGCGAAATGGATGTATGAAGATGTACGTACTTGTCTCTGCCATTCGTTTCTTGTTTCCGCAATTTTTTGATACGTGTTCCCCATCATGGCTATCAACATGTTCACCAGTAGAATCGCCACGATCGCCATGTACAGCACAAACAGAAACTACGACAGGGACACGACGTTCGCGATGAATGAAACAAAACAGGTAAACGCACCAATGAATGAACACTTTGGAGATTTTGTAACTATTACAGTCAAATTTTAAATGATAATATTAATAAAAATTTGGCACATGAAGCCTAATGGCGCCTTCAAGAAGGCGTTAAGGCGCCTAGACCTAAAACAGCCGTAAAACGGGCGTTTTTAAAGCGTCATGTGCTATCTGGGAATTAGATTTTTTAATTATCTATACTTTTCGGTAACGTATAGATTTCAATTCGAAAGATAGGAAAAAGTGTAATTCATTTAAATTAAAAAAAAAGAAATACAGATTTCACCAGTGAACGAAACGAATATTTCTAATCGATGACGCGAAAATTGTTTGAATATGAAACAAGGAACTGAAAGAAACCGAACATTTGCTTATTTTAATAACTTAATTTACTCGTTTTTATGTACAATGTTCATTCACTGGTACGTATTCATTTACCGATGCTTCCACCGGAAGTAATAATATAAAAAATAATCCTAGAATAATAATTGATACTAATATACATATGTGCCTTTGTATATATGTACCTTGGCTTCCATCTCGTGTTCTGTTCTCTCGAAAGCGCTGTAGTAATCGCCGAAGTTCGTCATGCTCATCAAGAACATCGCCATTACGCTCTCCATTGGCGAGGGCATAGGATTGTTTATCGAGTCGTCGACACCCTCCGGTGTATTCGGATTGTCGAACGACAAAAATATGATGTAATAGGCTGAAAAGAAAAAATGAACAAGGAAGAAACGATCAGCAACGGAAAGAGAAAGACCGCGAGCGAAATGTAGGAAGAAGGATGATCCGGTGGCGAGATCGTGTCACGGTTCAATTGTATAATAACTGGGCTCGTTCAGTCGGAGTGTCAACTCGAGTATATATTAGAATGTTGGCGCCGTGTCTCGGTCTGAGACCAGCCATTTCGTTCACAACTTCCACCGCGATGCGATAATCTGTGTCAATGTCGCTTCTCTTACGACGAAACAGACGATTAGGTCATATGGTAAGCTCGCGGTCCGTTCCTTCAACGTCGCTGTAATTTCGTGAACGATTTGCGAAAGATCCGTCGAACAACCGACTCGACGGGGATCGAGAAAATTTTAGAAGATTCCACATCGATCGTTCGACTAGAATCTCGTAAGATCGTTATTAATCTCCTGAGATGGTATTTGTATTATCGATGAAAAATGAAATAAGACACGTAATACGAGCGTGTAACCATTTCGTTTCAACGGTTGCCATATGACTACGTATTCTGATTTTACGGCTATTTTAGGTCTAAGACGCCTTTAAGCCGTCTTCAAGGCGTCATGTGCTATTTCGAAGGGATATTCGTTTCCATCCAAGGCTACCTTGAGAGAATCCCATCACGAACACCAAATAGATGGAAACGAAACGGAGCAGGTCACCCATGATCATTCTGTAGATCATGACGACGAAAGGGCCGACGGTCTTGAAGCCTCTGCAGAAGAACAAGAAATACGGCGCAGTGGTCAACATCACGACAACCGCGAGCATGTCCTCAACTCGGTCGGCACAGTTCAGTCTCAGAAACGGGAACGACAATAATATGCAACATGAGAACAGGAACATTACACGCGACGGTGCTGTCATCTGGAAAAAAACGATTTCGTCTCGTTGTTATAAAAGCGTGCGTCGAACCTGCTAAATTTTGATTTTCTTGACCATTGTAGAACGATAATACTGAGTGTAACAAAAATGTTGGACGACTGGGAAATGGTCGAAAAACTCGTGAGGTGATTTGAAACAAGTTTTTTCTTAACAAAAATGTTATCCGAGGCTTTGTTAACGAGATATTAACGAAAAAACCCGACCAATCAGAGCGCGAGTCTCCCATTTCCGGATCATAAAAAATTTTTGTTACACCCTGTATAACGTTCTCGCCTCACCAGATTCTCGACGAACATGCTCAGACCCAAAAATCTGGCTTCCCTAAGCGCCGCGAAGATGTAGAGCGCAGCCGCGATTTCCATCAACAGTTCGGCGATTATTCGTATCTTCGTTGATAAACTGTCCAGCTGCATCAGTCTGCATTCCTGGCTGAGGTTACTCCACCTAATTTCACGGAATCGAACACCACACACCATACGGAGGTGTTAAAGAACGTGGATCATTCGTGTCTGGTTTACTATGCGCTAACGACGAGTAAACTTTACACGGTAAATAGTCGCGAATAGAATGTATTTGGGCGGCGCACCGTGGTCCATAAAGACATATTTTTTTCACTCTTTACACGGTAAATAGTCGCGAATAGAATGTATTTGGGCGGCGCACCGTGGTCCATAAAGACACATTTTTTTTCAAATCAGTCTACAGGTCGTAATGTTTTAGTAAACTGGACCCTTCTTTTTTTAAATTCTTCGTAATTAAATTCTCCATCGATCTGTCCGGATCCTGAATTTCCAATTTCGTTGCTCATTTGTTTGTATTTAGCGAAACGATCGATAGAAAATTTAATTACGAAGAATTTAAAAAAAAAAGGGTAAAGTTTACTAAAAAAATACGACCTGTAGATTGATTTGAAAAAAAATATGTCATTATTAAACACGTACCAATCGTTCGGTTTGTCGGTGCCAGGGCCGCCAACTGTGTCGTTCCTGGTGTCGAGCAACACGTTGGCATCGTACAACGATTCATTTGTGTCGTCCAGACTATGGTTCGTTGTGCTTCCGACGGTATTGTTTATAGTTCCATTTCCGACAAAGATCGTTTCAGATGACATCGTCTCGCGAGACCTGACGGAACGTTCTTTCAATGTGGACGTCACGTCGGAGATTATGTCGAGCTTAAGCTTCTCGAGGAAGACGGATGTCATGTTCAAGGACGTCTGCAAATTCGCGATCAGTCTGCCAGCGACGAGCCTCTCGACAAACTCGGCAAGAATTACATTTCGATGGTGTGTCGAGGTTTGATTTGCGATTTCTGTAAAGTCGGGGACCTCGATCGACCCAGGTGTAGAGGAAGACATCAGAGACACGTAGGTGTCGGTGGTTGGTACGGTGGCTGCGGTGGAATCGGTCGATGGCGTTGAAGGTCCGGGACGAAGAGTGAAACTGACCAACGACAGGATGAAATAGAAACAGAAAAGGAAGAACTGACGGTAGAAACGAGACTTCACGAAGGTGTTCCATTTTGCGTTCAGTAAATCGATCAGAATGCCGTCCATCAGCTCCAGGTGTTCATCCTTCTCCTAAAGGACGAGCAAGAAACTCGTTACTTACTTCTAATTAAATTCGCCCAATATACATCCAAGTAGCGGGAAGAAGATGTTATAATAAAATTAGATTTCATTAAAAAGAAGACAAAAGGAATTTAGAAGATACACGGTGTCCCAAAATAGCTTCGACTCCCGGAAATGAAGGGTTTCTGGGATGGTTTACAACAACCTTTTTCTTAGCAAAAATATTGTCCGAGGATTTGTTAACGAGATATTAACGAAAAACCCCGACCAATCAGAGTTCGGCCGGCAGATTCAATTGGGACACCCTGTATACATAGCAATACACTGCTGCGATTAATGGAAAATGCAAATTGTCCTCAAGTGTTAATGTACAAAATTTAGGAATAAATCTTATGAACATGCGACTTTCAATGAACTCACGCCAAAGACGACGAGATTCAAGGCGGAATTAGGATTAATGGTTCCCGTGGTGACGTCAATGGTGTCCACCTGGGACAGAGGATAAGCGGCGCAAGTGATGCTCCCGATCTGCCAATAGATCTCCCTCTCGATGTTCAAGATGTGAAAGAACATCTCGATTCTGGCCAACTTCGCGGACAATGTCAACGGCGTCAGATGTTGGGCGTTTTTTAACGACACCGAGGCTCCCACTTCGTACGCCATGTCGAACGTCGCCTTCGATGGAAATCACTCGATCAATTGTTCCGATTGATTTTGCGGTTTTTTAGAGCTCACCAGTTTCTCGTAGATGACCAACAGGTGCAGAACGGTGTTACCGTTCGTGTCCTGTTTGTCCGGGTCTGCACCCCTCGCCAGGACCAATCTGTAACACTCCTCCTGACCCAGACACGCCGCGAAACTCAATGGATACTCGCCCCAATAAACGTACCTATACGCGAACCGACACGACCAGAGTTCTTCACTTGAGTTCTTTAGCGCTGTGGTGCACTGGTGTCGGAAATTATACCACTAGAACTGCCGACAATTAATGTCTATCGATTTCCATTAAGTCGATACAAATGACAGGTCTACGAGACTATACAGATTTACAAGTTAAGTAACTTTTTTAGTCAAATATTGTAATAAAAATTGCAAAGAATCTCGTGAAACAAACTGTTATAATTAGACAGCGGATGTTTATGCATTTATATTGTTCCCTAATCTTCAAAATAAATTAAAATATAAACTTTCATGAAGTTCGATACTCTTTATGGGTTATTATTAACATGTTGAAGCTTCTTGTGCAGGGTATAAAATAATTTTTATTTTTATATATGAGTGTCTAAAACTGTCAATTTGCATAAACATCCCTAATCTAGTTATAACATTTTAAACAATTTTACAAGAGTTTACGAACCCGTTATTTAGACTGCTTTCGTAGTTCTAGTATCAAGGGGTGGATTCTACGTGTCAAAATAAAAGGAAAATCATGAATGAGAAAATTCTGTAGGAGACTTTGTTTTCAAGTTATCGATGATTAAATATTTGGGGTAGAAACGCCTGAAGCCAGGCAACCTGCGTAGCAGTGGTGACCGGAAGGCATTGATAACTCGAAAACGAAGCCTGCAACAGAATTTCGTCATGCTCGATATTCGGTTTATTCTCACGTGTAGAATTACAATTTAATAATTAATTTACAATTTTGCGAGGACATTACCCGCTGTAATTGGTTTCTGGCGTCACGCATACCCACTCGTGGTCCAAACTGTCTGTTCTCGAGGCCTTCTGGTCTTCCGGGCACATAAAGTTACCGAAACACCTTTCGTGTACGTCTGAACCACTGTCAAGGAGTAACTTGACCAGGGCTGGATCCTCGTTAACTATCGCGATGTGTAACGCACTTTCGCCTGTCGAACGACAGAAAAAAGTGTGAAGAAAAATGGTGTGAAAATCGAGGTGTCATTGGACTCGTTTTTTTTTCGCCTAACTGACCGTAATACTCGTCGCTCATGTAAATGTCATTGATGAGTTTCGGATAGAAACGTAGCAAACGTTTCGCCAGGTCGATGTGAATAGTGGTGGCGTGTAACATGCACAAATGTAGAATCGATTCTCCAACCGCGCCCCTTTGACTCATGCTCCAGCAGACCAGTCTGTATTTGCTTTTATCTGACATGGAGAACAGAATAACGAAAATTCATTCTTGTTGGTCCGATCGCGCGTTTCGTAATTGTACTGCCTACTTTTCGTATATATATGCAAGGTGTAATAAAAGTGTTGTACAAGGTGTCCGAAAATAGCTTCAACTCCTGGAAATTAGGGGTTCCTGGGGTGATTTGAAACAACTTTTTCCTTAGCGAAAATGTTATCCGAGGCTTTATTAACGAGATATTAACGAAAAACCCCGACCAATTACAGCGCGAGTCTGTCGGCCGAGCTCTGATTGGTCGGGGTTTTTCGTTAATATCTCGTTAACAAAGTCTCGGACAACATTTTTGCTAAGGAAAAAGTTATTTCAAATCATCGCAGGTACCTCTCATTTCTGGGAGTCGCAGCTATTTTGGGACACCCTGTATATGTATACCTATTTTCGTCTCGTCAACGTCCTCCTCGTTGGCCATGTCCTTATCTATGTCGTAATCGCCTGGATTCTCCATAGCCCTTAACGGCGGAAGCTGCAACGTGATTGGCCCAGGACAATAATCAAGTAGGGCCTGTGCACTAGTAAACGAACATGTACCAATGAATGAACACTATCTATAAAAACTAGTAGATGAAGTTTTTAAAACAAGTAAATGATTAACTATTAATTTATTTCGATTCCTTATTTCATATTCAAACAATTTTCGCGCCATTGGTTAGAAATATTCATTTCCTTAACATTGTATAAAATCTATATATTTTCTTTTTCATTAAATTAATTACATTTTTCCCATATTCCAAATTTATATCTGTACGTTACAAAAACGTACCGACATTAAAAACTCTAAGTTTTATGTCTCAAATATTTATTAATATTATGATTATTTGTTTGACTTTATTAGTTACAAAATCTCTAAAGTGTTCATTCGTTGGTTTACCCTACGACGTGCAAAACGTTTCTGGTCCCTTACCATCTTGTGCTTGGGCCGATCTTTGTTCCGCAGGAGGACCAGTTTCTCGATCGGGATCCATTTCCCTTTTCCTTTGTTGTACAAATACGGCTCCACTTTCGTCCTCAACGCGTGATCCAGTTCAGCGTACTGTTTCGTTTGCGTTGCCCGTTTCATCATGTCCACCAATAAACCGCCTCCTGTTCGACAATACAGAGCAAATAGGGTGCCTTTTGAATATTTTTTTCTTAAAATCCGCAGTCTAATTATTACAATTACTATTGTTCTACCTTTCAAATCGACCAATTTGTACAACACGATGGACGACGAGTCCGTCTGTTTTTTCACTCCGCTAGAAACATTGCTCTCTGTGTTTCCCATTGTCGGGTCTTACGCTCCACCCTCGAGGAACGTCGATGACGTTCCGAACCTTCAGGCACAAGGACCGTCGTTGCCATAGAGCATCGCCATTTCGGTATCGATCACGCAAACACGCCAGTCTTCCCCAGATTCCAGACAAGCCGGCTTTTAATTGGACACCTTTATCGGCCGTGTCCTCCAATCTTCCGTTCCGAAAATTTAATTCTTGCAACTCGAGAGACGTAACGAACATGCCGAAACTTTCCGCGCGACCAAACCGGTTTCCTGATCGCGCGTGAAACATTATTGGGAGAACTTTGATACGGAGATTGAACGATCGAGGATATTTCCTTGTCGCGAGTAACGGAAGAATATCGTCGTACGTCTTTGATTCACGGATCGATGGTAATTTTGATTTGCAAAAATACATTCAGAAAGGGATAAAATAATAAATGAAGCGCAGAGAGGCGCCGGAGGGATTCGAACCCTCGATCTCCTGTTTACTAGACAGGCGCTTTAACCAACTAAGCCACGGTGCCCGCACGACTCGCTGTTTTTTATCGAGAGTATATATTATGCACAGAATGTTGATTAAAATGTGGGACATTTTGACAGAGTGGATTCTGCATACCAAACCAAGTCGAAAATCAAGAATGACGAAGTTACATTCGAGGCTTCGTTTCCGAGTTATTAACCCTTGGAAGACAGACGATTGTCGTGATTGAATAGATGATTGTGACACTTATGAGGAATATGCTGAATCCAAAATTGCTGAAAGTCTAACGGAAACATTGTTTAAACGATATTAAATTTCAACGTACAACGCAACGTACGGTCCAAGTTTCTCAATACTTCTGAACGGTAGTGTACGCTTCAAGCGTTTCCAGACGCAAAAGATCGTATTTTTCCATCTTTATTTTACGCCCAATTACACACATCGATTCGATTTGCTCTGGCATTAACGTATTTATCATTTAAAACACAAATCGTTACACAGCTGGTTACATTACTCACGGAACTTATCATGAAAACGTAAAAAAAAGTATGTCGTAATAAGTATGAATTTTAAAATGGAACAGCTAACGACGGAGTACACATTTGTATATCTTTTTAGAAACAACCGGTAGCGTGGCTCGTTGGTCTAGGGGTATGATTCTCGCTTAGGGTGCGAGAGGTCCCGGGTTCAAATCCCGGACGAGCCCAATTTTTTTTTCTTTCTTATTCCATATTTCTCCGTCAGATTTCCACGTATTCGAACCTCTAACGTAAATGTGACGAAAATCGAGAGCATAAAAATTAATTATCACGGATGAATCTTTCGAAGACACTGAAGGGTGACACTTCTTTCACGTTCAAGAGTCTATATCCTGTTGATAGAGCATCGTACAACTATTTGTTCCGTTTCCCGAAAGAGGTAGAGGGGATGACAGAGAAAGAGACAGAGGGAGCTAGAGAGAGAAAGAGAACGCCACCTAGTGACGAGTATCACGGTAAGCGTGTAACCGATGACAGATCTAATCGGAAGACCTTTACATATTAAAGGAATGACGAATCTCGACGGTAGATAGTCGAGAGGAAAGAAAGGGAGCGGTATTTTGTACATGTGTATAACCGCGGGGGACACGCGATACCGGGACGATGATGCGTCGCGACGATTCGAACCGTGCGGAACCGAATCGCGTTGAACCGCGAAACAAGACGGTTACGCTCCCGCCGTTTAGCTCGTGATTATATACCTAGCGTATTCGCGGGCCAGTCAGGCTCGTGCTTTCGTCTCGCCAACACCGACTTTGCGCATTCTAATCTTTGCCTCGATCGAGAATCAATCGGTGACATCAAAAACACGTCGTTTCCTTGGTCCAGAATATTTCCACCTTCTTACCAGACGGAATCCTCTCGTTGAATCGATCCCTTAATTTTCCTAATTCCTTCGTTCGGAACGTCTAAACGACATTTCATGAAGATCACCTGAAAATTCTTCGACGCAGAACTCTGCTAATGTATACACGGCTGATGGTGTAGCGGACTGTAGCGGATACTCATTGAAGAGACTAGCCTCCTTGTTCGGGACCACGAGTAAGTGACAAATTAATAAAATAATTTCTTGTTATCCGATAAAAATAATCGTAAACGAAAGTGATCGCGAAGGTTGGTTGATTCCTTACGAATCGACAAATCATATCGTTCGATTAAAACTCGTGACTAAGTGTCACCTGTCACGATTACTTTTCATCTGAGTAATACCAAGTAATCATCGAGTGCTTCAATGAAACGACACGAATAAAAATATTTATCGTCCCAGAGCGACGCGACTGGTGTGTCTCGTTTGGCGCCACTATCTGTCAAAGTTTGAAATTTCATACCGGCAACTGAATCGACATTCCGTTTCGCGATAACGCGAGAGATTGATATCGGTGTACTTTGATACAGAGAACCGCAAATACGCGAATAAATGGGACGACTTTGCGATTTTCTTCTCGCCGCGGAAATTCGTTCTGCTGACGGCAATATCATAGACGAGTAAAGGCGGGATTCCCTGTAAGTGTCAGGCGACCGCGTCTAAATGAACTGCGACCTATATATCGTCTTTTATTTAACCCTAAAACTACCAAAGATGAACGTGTTTCTATTTGTGTCACGTTGGTAAAACGAACAACTTCTTGAAATTATACAAATCAATAAATTAACGAACTTCTTCACATATACAGAGGACTTTCGATATATTGCCGCGGTCGGGGATGTAGAAGAGTAAAGGTACGTTTTCACGTGACAGTAGAAGTCCTGACTATAGTTGTGGTGACACTGTATAACAATGTAAACCAATGTCACAGCAACGCAACATCTAGTTTTCACGACGACAAAAGTAATATTTAGTATCCTGGCCGTAAAAGTAACGATTTACTGTCACGTGAAAACGTACCTGAAAGTTCTCGGAAGCGGCCAAAATATCGAGAGCCCCCTCCATGCTAACTTCTGCCGTCGTAGTCCCAGCCCTTGCACCTACGCAATAACTTAATCGTGCTGGGGGGAGACGGTAATATAGCAAGCTGCAATATATTATGAGTCTACTGTACATATTGCAGTAGACGTTCCGAAAAATCTCAGAAAATGTGTTATTGTGTCATTCTAATGAGTTTACGTGTTAGTCATTTTGACTGCTTTGGTAGTTCTAGTGTTAATTTCATTGTTTTTTTCACTGTGCTAAGGTGCGTCTCCACTGGTGTTCGCGAACGATATACGAATTGTTTTCTCTAGGAATCACCTGTTCGCGTACTTGTTCCTGACCTATTCACAATATACAGTTATCTGACACGGAGAGGTTATAAAAAGTTTGCGAATAGTGTTCGTAAATTGTTCGCCCAATGGACACGGCCCTTAACGTTCGCTTCAGTAGTGCAGACGTAAACGCACATGTCTGACGCTTCCACCTTTAGCTTAAGAATATTCGATTCCGATTCGATTCATCAGAAGATCGAGTCGTTTGAGTAATACGTCACTACCATGTATAACACTAACGGCCAAAAGTATGGGACCAGAGTTGATGATTTATGGAACAGTAACTAATTTTTCTGTGACAATAAAATAAAAGTCACAGAATCAGTATACGTATACGAATGACTTTACATCAGTTTAAATACATTACCTTCATTAACACTTTCTAGAATATTTTTCTTTCTTTAATTCTCAGATTTAGTCCCATACTTTTGTGTTCGATGAATCGTTCCGAATCCTTACCATTCCCTCTGTCCACGAATTGTATACACAGGTCGAGGGAATCATACAACACGGAAGAAGGAACGCTCGGAATCTAGGGCACGGCGAAGGCGTATATACGCGTTGATATTAACGTATGGCGTTATTTTTAGTGGGACCAATTTGATGGGTCGTGCTCACGTTACAAGCGTCCTCCGAGTTAAAAGAAACTTGTCTCGATCCCGTTTTCTTTTTACTCGATGTCGAAAAAACATTCGCGACACGGATCTCTCGTAGAAACGACGTTTATTGCCGAAATACTTTCGGCAATTCGCAAGGACAGACGACACGGGGGAACTTGTAATTTCTCGTACAAGGGGGCTATAAAAAGTGAACGCATCCAGAATGTCGAGCAGGACAAATCTCTCTCTGTTGGTCTACGGCTTACGATTCTCGCTCAATCGTGTTTCGTTGGCAACCGAAAACCCATCTCGACCCTGAAGCCGAGCACCACTCACTTAAAATACGTACGATGATACCACTAACCTCTTTCTGCAACCTCTTCTGGTCGATCGAGTCATTTTTAAAACAGCCTCCGTTCAGCGTACGCATCGCTATAATTATAGGTAGCACCTATATCACATATACATACACACTCGAGGATATATAATCTCGATGAGTTGTTTTCGCCTCGATTTCCTCCTATGACATCATCCGATAATGCACTGTACAGCCCCTGGCCAATCGAGACAGGACTCGATTCCGAAATCTCCAGCGAAATTCAAAGATCGGAACGAAATTAATCACAAATTGTATTAATCCTCGAATGGTAAAACTTCCCTTCGATTAATATTGCCGGATTATTAGTTAAATAGAATGTAAAAATTAAACAGCCTGATTCTTATACAATTTTACTTAATACTTTAACGTAATGAGGATAGTATTGTTTTTTTGTACTTAGTTGCGTTGTGTATTGTATTTCGACTCAAGTATTTATTTTTGTAACTTAAAATTTTACCAACTGACGAATGTTTTTTTTATATATTCCACTAATTTTTGGACTGGTGGGGACAGGCCCACCATGGCCCCTACCTAGTTACGGCAATGATCCTAATTCATTGGCCAGGGGCTGTAATATGCATGTACCTACTACATGAATGTTCGCTTTTGCCTTCGTGCTCAATCCTTCCTCTATCGCTGGTTAATCCATTTAGGAGGGTAATCGGAATCTTAATGATTCCGCGCCTCTGTAGACGAGACACAGCTGCCGTAAACGTTGACGCAAACCTTTCGTATCAGACGCAGTTACGTCGATTCGTTCGCGTATTATAACGTTTATCGTTCCTGCCCGCTGCCGCAGCCCAGTCCGAAACAGCTTTTTTTTTAACATGCACAGGTGGAAAGGGTATTCGATTGGAAATTTTATCGTTAATTTAAATTCGATTTCTCGTAGTGGACGTCATTAACGCGATAGCCGGGTCCCGCCGGCGATTCCGTTATCGGTATCGATTGCTGCAACCGGTAATTCGCGTTACGTGTCATCCGTGTGTAACACGCCAGACTGCCTATTACATTCTGATTCTTCTCTTTTTTTTTTTCGCGTGCGTCCGTCATTTACGTCGCATAAAAAATTGTTTAAATTCTGAAGGATTCGAGCGGGAACGGAGGATGACGCGCGATCCAAATATAGATCTTACCGATTCGAACGTTAGACCGCCGTATCGTTAACTTGCTTCGATCGAGCAGTACAACATCGTTATAAGCAGTATTTGATCGATATGCTCCACATGAAAATGAAGAATAGAGACTGGTTTCTAGTGACGAATTATTCGTCGATTCCTTCGTCACCACTAGACTGCAGATTTTATACATTTATAACTAATAGGGCTTTGTGTAATACAATTTAGAGAAGAAACTTTCGTCAGGTGCAATGTGGTTTCTACTTTATTCTGAACACAATAAGATATTTCAGAGAAGAAAAAAGTTCCTATCCTTGCTGTTGTCTTAAAAAATTACCCCTTGCGCATTTATCTGTCGACGGATCATAGACGGACGACAAGACGTTCCAGTCTGGTAAATTCCATTAATATTATAATAGGCTAGCAAACGATCGCGTATAACAGAGTCTCCGTTGATCCCCTGTGCTCATCCTTTCGACAAGCTAAAGATACAACTACCAACGTGGCCAAAAATCTATAATCACCTAATTTTGTATGAAAATGGCATTTTTTGTAACCGAATAAGTGACTAACTTCTCAGTATTATTTCAATAATTTTATCGTTGACCTAGCGATATTTTGGTAGCAATCAAAAGCTGAAGCTTTTAAGAACGTTCTGTTAAATTTTCAACTAAATTTATAATTATTACAAATTTCCGTGAGCCACCTTAAAGGACGTATCGGTATAACATGAATTTTCAATATCTGACAATAATTGCCATTTACCATCTCCTTCAATTACCAACTAAAATAACTGCCAGTTAATTACCAAATTCTCCTGAGAAAATGATTTTTCCTGAAAGTGGTGGTAAATTTATAGCATTGCCGCATGTGCACTTTTTTTACTAAGGCTCTCCCCTCATCAATTCTAAATAGGCAGGATTCACGCGATCGGTATTGCACAAGACGGGTCGACCGCCCCACGGTCAACGCGGTCTACTTCCCTCACCCCGTTTCGGGAACGTGAGGGCCTTGCACGAGAAATGACGTGTGACATTTAACCAGAAAACAAGGAGGGACAGATCGTGTGTGTGGGCACCTTTGAAGCGGTTCCAACAACGATGACTCGGAACGCGCAAACTTGGCATCGTAATTGTAGCCCGATGCCAGCTGTTACCGAATCCTCCGGTGTAACAAGCACACCTGGGGAGGACGAAGGCTGAATAGGATCGCGTAACAAGAACTCGTAGAACAGAGAGTTACGCGAACCACGTCCAGTGAGAGTCAAAACTAACAATAAGTACACTGACGTGCAAACTCGAAAGGAACTTCCACTAGAGGAAAAAGTGACATAGAGGAAGGGGCTTTCTACCATGCTCCTACCACTTGGTATTAGGAATTACTGAAATTTATGAAAAATTAACATTTATTTCAGTACCTGAAATCAATTTACCAAGTGGTAGGAGGCCCTTCTCCTATGTCACTTTTTCCCCTAGTGAAAGTCGAGTTTGCTCGTGAGGATACATACAGTGAGAGTCAAAACTAAAGTGTACACCTCGCAAAACGTGATGTTCGTAGTAATACTTCTGTAGGACCTTGTCATTGATTACGGTAGTAATACAGTTGGAAATATTTCGTAAAGGTGAACGTATTCTGTTCGCAGGACCCCAAAAGCCTCGTAACATGCGTTCGTACCACGGTTTGGCATGCCTGGTGTTCGTTCTTTCGTTGTCGAACGTGGGTGGCATCAGACCGGACTTCTCGGGGCTGTCGCCTGGTCCGTATTGCTCCGCGAAGTATCCGTCTCGTGCGTGCTGCACGGGACGCCAGGACGAATGCAGCGCGCCGATCCTAACAACAATGTGCTACTGCGACGATTTTTGCGATCGTAACAGAGAAGGCGACTGCTGCCCGGATTATTGGAGCCATTGCAAGGGGATGGAGCCCGAACCCACGTCGCGGCCAGACGAAATACGACGTTCGTAAATTTACGAAAACTCCCCTATCGAATCGTTCGAATTGATCGAATACATCGAATAGATCGAATAGATTGAATACATCGAATCGTTCGAATTAATCGAATAGATCGAATCGTTGGAATAGATCGAATCTATCGAATCGTTCGAATTGATCGATTCGATCCCTCGAAACCCGTTTGAAAGGGTTCACAAATCCGAGATGTGTAAAGTCTTTATCTAAACAAATTTTAAATAACGTATAAATGATCAAAACAAGTAATGCATAAAAAGAAAAGGTCTCGAAAAAAATCTGTACTCGAGCGAATTGAACGTTTTGTGTTTCAGGATGCTACTATCGAGGAAAGAATTACAACCACGGGCAAACGTTCAAAGAGAACTGCAACGTATGGTACGTTTTCTTCTTCTTCTTGTACAGTAGACTCACGTTAAAGTAGCGGTAGGAACATCCCAGCTTACGCGCATTACTCACACACGTGCGCGCACCCCACTATCGGTCGCCATCTTGTAACCAAAGTTCTGATCCAATTGGTGGATCGACCGAACTGTTACGAAATCCTGCGTGACCATTGGCTCACGTTGAAGTAGCGTCTCCTGAAAAACCCCACCTCGCACCGCTACTTTAACGTGAGTTCTTTCCCTAATTATTCGCTCGAAACGGTGTTTCAGTAAATGTTCGGCGGTGGGCAGACGAGCGGAGGTGTTATGCGAGGTGAATCGTTGCCTGCAAGAACCAGATCTGATCGAGGAAATCAAACTGGAGAGTCCGAGACTGGGCTGGAGGGCGAGAAATTACACGGAATTTGCCGGTAGAACGCTAAAGGAGGGTGTACAACTTCGTCTGGGCACCCTGAATCCGTTACGATCGGTAAGCATAACGCTTCCACGTGTCGTTTCGATATTGACCTCTTCGACCGAAGAGAATCGTTTTAATTATTTAAATCGATCGTCGAAGGTCCACAAGATGAACTCCGTACGACGGATATACGATCTGGAATCGCTACCACGTGAATTCGACGCGAGAACACGTTGGCCCCGCGATATATCAGGCGTGGACGATCAAGGATGGTGCGGCGCGTCTTGGGCGATCTCCAGCGCCCGTGTCGCATCCGACAGATTCTCGATCATGAGCAAAGGTGCCGACAGCGTGGATCTGAGCGCGCAACACTTGCTGTCCTGCAACAACAGAGGCCAGCAGGGCTGCAGCGGCGGCTACTTGGATCGAGCCTGGATGTTTATCAGAAAATTCGGGTAATCATCAGCCATCAGAAACCGGGGACTTCTACCGAAACGTAAAATACCGGTATTTATTTTGGTTTTCGGTAATATATCGGTTTCGGTATAGCTTCGATGGCATAATATCGGTATCAAAATCATATCGGTTTAAGTCCCTGTCAGGAACGTCCTGGAGATGCTTTGGACACCAGAATTGCCAGATTTTTTAAATCAAAATCGCCCAAAATCGTAAGAAATCGCCAAATCTGGCAACACTGGTGACCACTTACCGATCCTCTACATAGCTTGATGCTTTCCTTTCAGCTTGGTGGACGAAGAGTGCTACCCGTGGTTGGATTCAGAGGGACATTGCAAAATACGGAAGAGAACCGACTTGATAGGCGCTGGTTGTTCCCCTCCGTTGAACCCGCTTCGAAAGGGATTGTACAAGGTCGGGCCGGCGTATCGTTTGGGTAACGAGACCGACATCATGCAGGAGATCCTAACCTCAGGTCCTGTGCAAGGTAAGAGTCATGAGCGTAGCCAGGGGCTGCCCCTCCCCCTTGGACGGAAAAAAGTGGCTTTTGCCCCACACTATAATAAAAAAAATTCAATTTTGCCCCACCCCACTCCCTTGTCAGAGTTACAAAATTTTTGCGTAATATTTAATATTGCAGTATAATTTGAAACACGACCAACAGACTCTATTAACGAAACGCATACATTTTAAACAATTTATGACTTTGAAAACAAAATAACGTGTGTCTGGCTGCGCACGGCCTTTTTCACTGTGGCAGTGCGACTGAAAACCTGGCTACGCCTATGGTATGAGTAGTGAGATTGATAATGCTTCCAGCCACTATGAGGGTGTACCAGGACCTGTTCTCGTACGAGTCAGGTGTGTACAGACACTTGGAAAGCGCGGAGCTGCACGACTCTGGGTATCATTCGGTAAGGATAATCGGATGGGGCGAAGAATCGTCGCGGCATTATCCGTCGGTGAAATACTGGGTAAGCTTCGCAGGCAAACTTCTTCCTCCTTTCTTCTGATTCCGAACCACTGTGGATCGTTCCGTTTGTCGATTGTCCCCATTAATTTTTGTTCCAGCTGGTGGTGAACTCGTGGGGTCGACAATGGGGCGAGGACGGCCTGTTTCGTATCCAAAAGGGCACGAACGAGTGCGAGATTGAGTCGTTCGTTTTGGGCGTGTGGGCGAAAACGGTCTAGCACTCGACTAAGTTCTCGCTTCTAGGTGTCTGGAGTGCGTCGCAAGTGTGTCAACGGTATCGAAACTTTACGTTCACCATAAACGGGAAATCACGCGGACAGACAGCAGTGCATTTATCGAATTTCCGTTACGTCCGTCGGCGACGATCGGCCCTGTACACTATATGTCGGAACGGTCGGAAATTTGTTTGCAGACGGTTCGTAAGTGAGGGAACTTTACTGAAAAAATATATAAATGAGGGGCTGGGTGAAAAAAAATTCACGCGTGTCCGATTCGTGGCGGGAACACGTCGTGAAGTTCCGTCGCAGCTTTTTCCCCCGACAAGTGATACAACTCAATCGATTCGAATACATACCATGTAATCAAGTACGTGTGTACACGTTCAAGCGTTCGTGTGGAATAAAGCGTTGAAATATGTATATTATGTAACTATCCTATTGATCAATAGACAATCAGATGCAGGCACAACCAAGGAACTTTCTTGAAGCGATAGGTCTCGTTTATTTGCGGCCGTGAGACGTGTGCTTGTAGTAGGCCGCTCGACGAAGCTGGATCAATTAGAGCCATTTTTTTTTATTCTTGAACATAAAACAAGTTTCTATAGACCCCTGTTTCCACTGCATCCTTGCACAATCATCGATGAGTGCTCAAAGCTCCTTGACACTGACGAGTTTTAGTCCCTCGTGGATTCATGTCAGTCAAGCATCCAGTAGTAAGAATGACGTCTGAACACTCAGTGCCGAGGTGCCTTCGAACTCTAATCGATCATTTACTGTATATTACAATAGTTACGAACCAATGAAATTATTGCTACCCGTTCAGAATTCAAACGACGACGCTACGACGAGCGCTTCTGCAATGTGGACTGTACACTTCCAGCTTGTCCTTCGGTGTGTTCATCGCGGAATAATCGATCGGGAACGGTACATTATTCCCTCGGATCATGCAGTTATCCGTCATCCCGAGGAAATGTTCCCCCGGACCGAATGGACCCCGTCCGAACAGAAAATTGGCGAACACTAGTTGATACTGTGGCCAACCCAGAGGATGATCTCCATTCTGAAGAGAGAGTAAATTGTTTACATACTTCTCCTCCTCCCCCCTCCTGTCTTGTCGTTTATTTCGTGTCTACTACTCATTATTCGGAAAGTCATTCAATTTTTGATGGCAGAAGCACAATCTTATGTTTCTAATATATATCCTATTGCGTATACAGTAAACCATCGATAAGTGTTCGAAGGCACCTCGGCACTGAACATTAAATATTTCATAAACTAATGGTCATATACAGCTGAAATAAATATTATGAGCTTCAGAATTTCGTGCTAGAGATGAGCTTTCGAGCACTCATCGATGATTTACTGTATTCTATTTGCGTTAACAGAATCACGATCCATCATACTTTTCTAATATGTTACCCTATTGCGTATAACAGTAATAAGTTTTTACCGATGTCATGGAATTGTACGCGATGTCCAGACCCTTGGATATTCTCTCCAAGTCGAAGCCAACGACGGATCCGTAGAAAGAGGCGAGTTCCTTCTTCGAAATGATCCCGTTCGCGGATTGATTGATCGCGAGGAAAAATATCCTCGGAAGGATTTTCAACCAAAACGGCATATCGCTGTACGCCGCGCCCCCGGGCGGAGCAACGATTCGCGCCCACCAACTCAGCCATTCCTCCAGACTGATCTTTTTACCGCCTTCGAGCTCGTATTGTTTCTCGTCCAGTATCAATTCCGCCAGTCCTTGCTCGGCCTCCATTAACCGCAAGTATTCCGATCCGTTCCACGACCAATCAGCGAATCTTCTCAATCGCTTGGGAAAAAAAATGACAAAACATATCAGCGAATCTACGGTTTATCGTGGATCACCATGATCTTGATCATTAAGGAAACAGACATGAATTTAATAAACTTCGAAATACCTCCGAAAGCATACGAAAATCTTTTCTGTTTATAAAACCATCTTTATCGTGGTCCAATAGGTACGTGAAGAAATGGCTGAATTTATCGCGTTGAATGACAGCGAGATCTCTTATGTTGCCTCCTTTACTGGCTCCGATCTCTTCTATAGCCGCGAGGCTCTCGCCGCTGGGATATCGGCTCACCCAGGTCGCTGTATTCGCATTGAAACAAGCGAAAAGAAAGAAACAAACGGTACAAAAAATACAATTTGATTAATCTAATGTAGCACATATACAGGGTGTAACAAAAACTATTAGAGGACCCGGAAATGGAAGTCACTTCAAGTACTAAAAGAAATGTTAATCGAATGTTAATTTGATATGAATTTCAATAATTCCCAAGACTAGCAAACTCAGCTTACGCTAGGGAAAAAAGTGGCGTAGAAAAAGGCCTCCTACAATTTGCTATCGCGAATTACTGAAATTTATGCCAAATTAACAGTCGATTTAACATTTATTTCAGTACTTGAAATAAATTTACCAAATGGTAGAAGGCCCTTCTGTCACTTTTTCCCCTAACGGAAGCTGAGTTTGCTTGCGAGAGTACGTGTGCATATTCATCCAGTTCTATGTGCGTGTTTTCTGTTTTGGTTTTGATTTAAATTCGCTCTCTAGAGAAAGGAAGAGCTTACTCCAAACGTGCACACTCCATCCAGGATGGTCAGGTTGTTTGTTCGTAACAGGCACACCGACGACCTCGTCGACGTTGGCCGAAACCGTTCGCCATCTCTTCAACAGATCTTTGGTCCTGTCGCGGGTACGATCGCACGCCTGTCGCCAATTGACGATAAATTTCCGTGGTACTTTTAACGCGCTGCTCTCCTCCAGACCAAGGTCCTGGCTACCCACGGAACTTCTGCTTCTTTCGCTGGGTTCCGGTTCCACGGTAGTTCCGGCCGATTCCGTGGATAAAGCCTCCTGCATCGAGGGATAATAAATCGGATCCTTAATGCTGTCCGAACGACTCTCCATAGCGGACTACCGTCTCCTTGTTGACAGGTGTATTCCGACTGCCTCTCCGAAAATAATCAATTGCACGACAAGAGGTCACCGGGTCGCTCGATAATACCTGTAGAACCCCACTAAACGTTCTCGTTTTCGCTCAGGTTGCTATCTCGCAAAGTGTCGTGTCCCCTCCCCCCACCTCCCTCTCCCACAGCCTACTCGATAGATATTGTATTTTTCGTTCTTTCATGCTTACTTTCGCATACTTTTACAAGTTAATCGAGTATTACCGGATCGAAGGCAACTTTTGTCCGTAACAACAACGTTGTTGGATCGTTGTGCGTCGTGTGATTGCGTTTCTCCTTGTTCTATAGATTCTAACGCAAGAAACATGTCTACTTTAATGTAACATATTCATTTCGATAAGTATTTCATACGGAGTACTGTAATGAGATGAACATCATTTGCCGCAACGAATCATGGTGAGTTGTGTTTCGTTTCAAATTCGAATATTTTGAAACGGTCGTAGGTGAATATCAGTTTGTTCCGTTAACCACGAAACACGATTGAAATGATACTCGAGTAAATTTTTCTGCTCCTTTTCCGACTTTATCTAACGATTAAATTTCATGAGTTTCTGGGCCTGCAGATGCCCCCACGATCGAAGTTCATGGGGCACCGAGTGCGCTTTCTTCAGTGCTATCTACGCAATGGCTTGATGCGTGCCGCATGGTAGAGCGACGATCTTTCCTTCTTTTCCAATTGTAAAGGGTGAGTGGTGCGAGTTGGAATCGTATAATATCCTGTCCATCCACGTTTTTTTCTGGACCGCGTGCAGAGAAGATTCGTTGCCAGGCTCGCTCGTACAAAATGTTCTTATAATTTTTCAATATTATTCCAACGGGAACGTTGCAGTTGCTGTTTCATTTAACTTAACCTGGATACGTGTTTCGTTCGTTTGTGCGCGTTTTCAGTGAATTGCGTTCGTCGTTTTTAAGCCTTTTCGTCGATTTCGTTCTATTACTTTCCATTTGCACGTTTACATTTTGCTTCGTAACCGTCTTTTACATTCACTTTGTTTCGTAAAATAACAAATTTTCACCAACGTTACTTCTCTTGTTTTCAGGGATACGCAATGGGTGCGTATAAGTATATGCAGGAACTGTACCGCAAAAAGCAGAGCGATGTTCTCCGCTTTTTGCTTCGTGTACGATGCTGGCAGTACCGTCAGTTGACCAAAATGCATCGTGCCCCTAGACCGTCCAGACCGGATAAAGCTCGCCGCTTAGGCTACAAAGCCAAGCAAGGTATGACAAATGTTTTAGTCCTCACGTAAATGAATCCTCGAACTTTCCTGATTTCGCCCTGCTCGTTCACAAGCTAAAGATTAACTTTCGAAACTGAACAGTAAATGTTTCGCATACGACCCTTTTCAACTTTTTCAAATATACTCTGTAGACAGAAGTGGCAGCCATGTTTGTGTTGTATGAATTTGCCAAAGAATGAGCGCCGATTTACTCGTTCATTCGATTCATTTAGAGTTCACGTGATCGGTCGGTCCCATTTCCTTCTGTTTGAAAAATTTTACAAATCCTATAGATTTTTCAAAAAACACATGATGAGCCATACCATGCACCACTCTTACTGTAACATGGTGATACACGTGTACATGCTGATAACCATTGCGTCCTAAATTCGAGCGGTACACATTCCACTAAATGTAAAAAGTTAACGGAATGCGCTATTCTCTCACACGTAGGTTTCGTCATATTCAGAATTCGCGTAAGGAGAGGTGGCCGTAAACGTCCTGTTCCTAAGGGTGCCACGTATGGTAAACCAAAAAGCCACGGTGTGAATCAACTGAAGCCAACCAGAAAATTACAATCTGTTGCCGAAGTGAGTAAACTTTATCTGAATCGAGTATCGTTTTATGTAATAGCAATAATTTTTTTGTTTGAACATATGACTAAAAAAATCCAATAATGTTCGTATTATTTCAAGGAACGCGTTGGCCGACGTTGTGGTGGTCTACGAGTATTAAACAGCTACTGGGTTGCTCAGGATTCGACGTATATGTACTATGAAGTCATTTTGATCGATCCTGCGCACAAGGTAATGCAGCATATTTTATCTCGTGTCAAGTTAACTTCAACATGTACAGTTTAAAAATGATGATATCTCATAATGTAACATTGAAGACTCGTGATTTTCGTTATCTTCCTTGGATGTCTGAATCGTGAAACGAAATCGAAGACGCGTTGACCATTAGTAACAACTGTCTTATTACATACACGATATCTTACGTTTCAGGAAATTCGTAATGATCCCAAAGTTAACTGGATATGCAACGCTGTACACAAACACCGTGAACTTCGCGGAAAGACGTCAGCTGGCAGGAGCTCACGAGGATTGGGCAAGGGGCATCGTTATTCACAGACTATCGGTGGTTCGCGTCGTGCGGCATGGCTGAGAAGAAACTCCTTATCGCTTCGCAGAAAGCGATAGGCGATTTTAATGTTTACAGACTTAAGTTTTGTGCGAACAAGATACATCATTCTATTGATATAATACGGATCTTGATATCGATATTATGGTATATCCTGTACGAAATAAACATCTCTTCTTTAAAAAACAATTATTGTACTGTTATACACATATATTTTTTACAAAGATAACAAAGGACAAATATAAATCACACAATGAGTGCAATGGCCTCTTACAGTAAATGATTTTTTAATCAACGATCGTAGGATGTTAAAACGCCGCATATTCTTTGCATAGAAAATTCTTTATTTACACATTATGTAATGCTCTAAAATTACGTTAAACGAAAGCGTTTTATTTTCCAGGACCAGACAAAGATTTATCCATAAACTTCTTTTTTGCAAAACACAACCACCATTTGCTGGGCTTTCCATCTTCTCCATATACCTTTTCAATTAATCTGACGCCAGTCTCCTGTCTGATTTGTTGTAGATATTGCCTCATTGTGTCTGAAAAAATACGATCAATGTAACGACTTCCGTTGCTCGCAGATTAAAAAGTAAAGATGAACTTTACCAGCATCCATGGGATTACTTGGTTTAGCATACACAGAATTTAAGGGAAATCCAGGATCTCCAGGAATATCAAATTTCGAAATGGCGAGAGAATACATTTCGGTATTTGCTTGTGCTTGGGTAGCACACTTTTGTAGCCTTTTCAAACACTCGGTTATGTACAATGTAATATAAATTAAAACTCTATCCGCCTCACTCTGTGGAATCACAATTCAATGAGTACTGTAAAAAAAATAATTTTAAACGATCGTGCATACAATGATTACCTTTATTTCGTATGTTCTAAAGAACACATTTGCTTTGAAGAAGTACAATGCTTCGTCAATTATATCTCTATCCTTAGGATTCGAAGGATGTGCGGGACCCCTGAAATGAGTTCGAATCGGTAAGAGTGCCATATTACCGATGTTTCCATTACTTTCTACGAAACTCGAATGATATGCCTGTAATAAAAAGTTAGAAATTACAAAAAATTTTAGTCAAACAGATCCATTTCATACATTATAAATCCAGCATGCACATATTTGACGGATGACGTTTTTGCGAGGTTAAGGGAACGCCCTACAGAGTACATTCGTTTTTCATTTTTAAATCATTATTACCTCGGAACTTGTTACTTACGGGCATGATGAATTAATTGGTAAGAATGTTAATCACGTTAATTCTCTATGAGTACTTGTCCAAACAATATAATCAACTTTCCATTTAAACCAACGTTCCTAACAGCACCCAGCAGTTGTCACACCCTCTTCCGACAATCTGACAGTCACCGATCGAACCTAACCCAGACTTAAAGAAAGTCCATGAGGCGATCTTTCTTCTTCTATAATATTTAATGACACATAGATTATATATTTTGAAGAAAATATAAGAAAATAAGTAAAGAAATAAATACAGTGAAAAATTTTGTCATTTAAAGGTATACAAATTTTGTACGCCTTCTTGTTTAGAAGAATGAATTGGGTCTGTGCATGCAGACACGTTCCTGACACAAAATTGACCAATGAGAGGTGCATCGCTCGACAAGACGTGTCGCTATTGTTGTGTTTTCTTCCCTAACTGGAATAAATAAATAAAATGCTGTATGTTATTGAATAACGCAAGAGACGATTCTTCTTTTCAACTGGGAAATCGCGGACTGAGATTTTCAGATTGTTGGAACGGATTGCACAACTAATTATTCGTGTATCCTTTCAACTACTGGTGTACTCAGGTGTACTTGCCTGAAGTCTCTTAAATATGTACGTTAAGTTCCTTCCACATGTATCGTTTAATAGAGTTTATTCATAAAATAAAAAATAGCGTGTATGAATATTACATGAATTGCACGTAATAAAAGTTTATGTCGTATTGTAATGAGCACGTACCGCCAATTATCAAGTATTTAAACTGTTTTCAAAGTAAACACGAAAAGGAACCTGTTGAAATGTTGTATAATAATGCGTGTCGAAGATCGATTTTGGACTTTTTCCATTCAATAGAATGAACCTTCTATATAGTGATCATTGTTTCATGATGGTATTTCGCGAGTAAGAGTAAATTTTTACAATTTAAGGTCTGTATAAATATAAATGTTGATCTCAGACACCTGAGCGAGTGCTAAGATGCACGAGAGACGAATGAAATAATAGATACGTGAGCTTGTGTTTGAAATGTGGTATCTTAACGAGCGATTTCATAAAATTCATTGGACAGATTGATTATTAATGTCACTGTACGTGTCGAACGCAAGAATGAATTTCTGTTCCTGACACATTCGGAAAAAGTCAGTGAGACCGTAATATTTGATTCTGAACGGTTAGCGGGATGGGGTTTTCTGCAAGTTTGCAAGGACAAGCGTCCCACGAGGCTTTGCTCGGTCGTCAGGATGCTGAGATTAAACTTCTCGAAACAATGAAGCGATGTTTAACTATGAAAGTTAAATCGGATCGTGAATATGCCTCGACAATCTCCGCCCTAGCGACTCAGGGAAAGAAGATCGAGCGCAACGAGGACCTCGTCGGTAGCCTAATAGCGCAGGTATTATTTCACTAGTTGCACGAAGCAAAGCAAGTATGATGTACCTTTTAACATATTTAAGACCAATGACCCAGCATATGGGTCATGCAATATATTACTCAGTTAGCCGATGACTCGGCATGTGGGTCACGTATACGTCAATTTCGTGTGTTAAAATTTTAAAATACAAATATAAATTATAAATCCATTCCATTGTAGAGTTGGAGAGATATTATGGACTCTGTCGATCAAATGGCTAAGTTAATCAAGCAACAAGCAGATTCAGTTGAAACTATAGTGGTTGAACATATTGCTGTGTTGTGCTCAGATAGAAGAAGGGCTAGGAAATTGTACCAGGAAGAACAGACATGGTTGAATAATCAGTTTCAACAAGTATGCAACAGAATGTTAACCAATATGGCACAAATATTGTATATTACATTATAAACAATATTCTTATTCTATACTTTAGTTGACTGAAGATGTTGCCAGAAAGAAATTGGAATACCAGAAGAATCTGGAACTATACAAGTTAATGAGATCCCGGTTCGAAGAACATTATGTTAAATGTAAGCACTTGCAGCATTCATTTGTAACCATTTGCTATGTATTATAATGTTTTCAGCGGGTAGAGTCGGCAGAAAAGTGGACGAAGTAAGGGAAAAGTATCAGAAAGCTTGTAGGAAACTTCATCTTACGCACAACGAATACGTGTTACTTTTGGGTGCTGTAACAGAATGCGAACATGACTTAAGAACTTGTTATTTACCAAGTCTGCTTCATCGACAACAAGCAATTCATCAAGAACTCGTGACGTCATGGTAAGTGTATCAGTTATTGTGTCTGGAATAATTTATGATGTATTTCCTACTTTTACATCGTAGATCGCTAATCTAATTTGTGTAAAATCTATATGCAAGCGCATAGTTACGTACAAGGTAAATGTCAATAATGATTTAAAGGTTTCAATAATGGTGTTAAATTACATTCAAATAAATAACATTGTTGTTTGTATGGTAGGAAAGCCATACTTCAAGACATAGTGAAGTATTCAGATTTTACAACGGACAAGTTCCAAGAGATGCACCTACGAATGCAAAAGGCTGTCGACTTGGTAAAACCTGTAGAAGAGTACAGGGACTTTATAGGAAAGCATAGGTATCTGTTTGGAAACTTACATTTACTTTTATAACTGTCTAGACACGATTGTAAATATTAAAAAAATCGATACAGAACGCGACCAGTTTCACCGATAAGATTCACATTCGATGAGAATCTTGTAGACGATACCTCGGGGAAATTGTTGCCAAATAAACTGACGGTTGATAATCTAACGATAGATTGGTTAAGAAATCGACTAACTGAATTGGAGACTTCTCTGAAAGCGACACAACAGAATCGTCAAAATCCTCAACATTTATCCGAAAATAATAGCGACTCTAAGTATGAAATTAACTTTCAATTGTGAAATTTTCTTTCAGTGTGTGAGCATTTAAATACGATCAACTGTTTAACAATATTAGGGCATCGATCCTGGATTATACCCGCGAGAGAGAAGAATTACGATTACGTTGTCAGGAAAAAAAGCTTCAACGACAAGTGGACGTTATTAGAGCCGCTTTAAATGAGTTAGGCTGCGAAGAATTACCGTTGGGTTATGATCTTACCATGGAGAGTTCTTTTACCGATTCACCTGCTATGAATAAGGTAATGAGAATATTATAAATACTATATTTAGTTCATTTTCGTATACCAGATACATTGAATGTTTTTCAATATACAGTATTCCCACTATAATATCGCCTTTAGTCGCCCTTCGTATCAGTGCATTGCTACCATCACCTAATAGGCAGGCCTATCGATGAGCTAGTCGCTAGCCAATGAGCGATCGTGAAATCATGTCAACTAATTTACAAGGTCTTGCTTCGATAACTGATTTTATGGAGAGAATACTGTAGAATACGTCCAAGTGTTTTAACGTTTATCATATTTGGAAGATTAATATTAGTTAGTATTACCGCACTTCCAGAAACGTACCATGCCAGACATTGGTTTATTTACATTACGAAGAAATCAACGGTTTATGACTGTGTTTAAATCTCCATTCAAATCTTTACCGATGATTAACTATACAACACACGGAACGATTAGGTCGAGTAGCGAAGGTCCTGCTTCAAAAACAGATAATACTTTACCAGTTGTATGTCCTTTCCGTATATATTATCCGTTTGTTGTACACGTAAACACGTTTTGTTGGATATCTGCTTGAACGATATTGCTGCTTTTGAAAGAAATTTACGAAGGCTGATAATAATTTGCAAATTTTCGTTTGTTTTTATCGCTATTAATGATAATAGCCATAACGACGACTGATGATTGTATTGGACTATATTTTGACATTAAGCATGCATAGTTCGATACGAATTGAATGAGCTTGAATATTTTTTGGCCTAACGTTGACGCGATGACATTTAAACGGATAAACAAACATTCCAATTTGTGTGTTAGCTCGTGATTACGACCGATCGTAGTCATATTACGCTGGGTAAATGTGGACAAATAATTGCAGGCGCCATTACGTGGGATTTCACAGTTGACAAGTAATCAAAAAGGAAACGTCAATGGCGATCTCACGGACGAGGAATGGTTTCACGGTGTATTGCCAAGAGAGGAAGTGGTCAGATTACTTGTGAACGAAGGGGACTTTTTAGTACGTGAAACAACAAGAAACGACGAGTGCCAAATAGTTTTATCAGTTTGTTGGGACGGGCACAAGCATTTCATTGTACAGACAACCGAGGTGAGGAAATTATAATAACTGCGCGTCCAGAATTTGTGCAACAACGCATAAAAATAACTTGTAAACGATGTATTCGTATCAATTTTAGGGACATTACAGATTCGAAGGTCCCACATTTCCGTCGATTCAGGAGTTAATTAGGCATCAGTGGTTATCTGGATCACCTGTAACGAGTCGATCCGGAACTATTCTTAAAACGCCAATCTTGCGTGAACGATGGGAGCTGAATAACGATGATGTAGTGCTTCTAGAAAAAATAGGACGGGTACATTGAAATTTGAAGTGAACAGAACTAAAAGAGATATCTATAGAGCGATATTCATTTCATAGTGAAAGATCGTTTTATTGACGTAAAGGAAAATGAAGTTGTTGACGTGTAGGTTTGAGGATTCGAAACGATGAACCGTATCCAAAAAAGAAATCAGACCAATTTTTTATGTAGATTCATTCAAATTGTTTGAGAGATCGATATTTGTGTAGTTTGTAACGTATTAAATTACAGATTGTATTAATGTTCAATGTGACTGAAAGCCTCGAATCATCAGGTCACCAATACGGCTAGAGAAGTTAATTATTTTTTTTTTTGGAAGATTGCGTAATATCTAATCGAGGTTTGTATGTTTATAGGGTAACTTTGGGGATGTATATAAAGCGCAACTTAAAACTTGTAAGACTGAAGTAGCTGTAAAAACCTGCAAAGTAACCTTGCCGGATGAACAAAAGCGGAAGTTCCTGCAGGAAGGACGGATATTAAAGCAATACGATCATCCGAATGTTGTGAAACTCATTGGAATTTGCGTTCAGAAACAGCCTATCATGATCGTTATGGAACTGGTGCCCGGTAAGTGGAGAAGTTATTTCCAGTAGAGCTCCGTTTATACGATATCCGAAATTATCAACATACGAAATTTTATTCGACACTTGAGTTACATCGATTTACCGTGTGAAAGTGTCGTTTACTAACATCGAATCAATGCGTACGATAGGTGGCTCCTTGTTAACGTATTTACGAAAAAATGCTAGTAGCATCATGCAACAAGAACAGCTTCGTATGTGTAAAGATGCAGCAGCAGGTATGCGCTATTTGGAATCTAAATACTGTATCCATAGAGATTTAGCAGCACGAAATTGTCTCGTAGGTAAATAAGTAATTATTCGTTACAAGAAGCATGCACAAATTTCCAAAGATAACAGAAAGGAAGAACCGTGATAACATCCTCCTATTTTAGGATACGAGTCCATAGTAAAAATTTCCGACTTCGGAATGTCACGGGAGGAAGAAGAATATACAGTTTCGGATGGTATGAAACAAATTCCAATTAAATGGACCGCGCCGGAGGCGTTGAATTTCGGTAAGGTTACAGTATACCGTATGAATGACCTAAATATTTTTAGGCTATGGAATACTATTTTGTAATCACAATGCTTACCTTAGGGAAATATACATCGCTATGCGATGTATGGAGTTACGGGGTCTTGATGTGGGAAATATTTTCCAAGGGCGGAAATCCTTACAGCGGAATGTCCAATTCTCAAGCTCGTGAAAAAATAGACTCAGGTAATGTGGCTTTCGAGACATTAATATTATATTGTTTTTGTCATTTTTTGTTCATTTGTAAACAGGCTTACTTGTGTCTATTCTCAGGTTACCGTATGCCAGCACCAGAGAACACGCCTGAAGAAATATACCGTTTAATGCTACGATGTTGGGAATACGAACCGGAAAAACGCCCCCATTTTGATCAGATCTACACAGTCGTCGAGACGTTATCTCAAGCGTACTTGTAATAAGAGATAAGTTTCAATCGATGCTAATTTGAATCATGAATTATACATATTACTTTCATATTGGTATCATAGTTTTTACATTGTTTTTTCATAAACCGTGAAATAGCTCAGAAACTAGCAGACATATACAAACGAACGAAACACGACGAAAAATATTATATCATGCTATTTTTCGTGGTTCACGAGAAAGATGAAGTTGGGCTTTGACGGGACAAAAATTTGTCAGGTATCTTTTATACACAGACTCTATGATGCCAATTTATTTAGGTAAAAATAATACTTTCTTAAGTATCAGTCGGTTTAGCATGAACTGTCGATAGAAGTAAAATTAAACGACAAGCAGTATTTGAATCGATCGTTAATCGGTTTTTTTTCGACCGATACGATCATATTTTCCAATTTGTTATTGCTGTTCCTTTCTGTTTCCAGGCGCGAATAATCTGCGTCGCGTTGACATAACAGAATACCTTTCGCTTTTAAACTTCCAAACGCATTAATTATAATTGAATGGAAATATCTAGCACGGACAAAGGTAGATTTACAAGTTTTTGTTTTTTTATAATTGAATCGCTGATTTGTAATTTTTGTAATGTATTTATATATAGTATTACGTCATATCATAAATACATTTTTGTACAAGTTCTACTGTCCGTAGGACAGTAAAAACTTACGAATAATTGTCCATTCGCGTTTCTTTAAATGCTTGTCCGTCCATTCCGTTCGAATACCATAAGTGTGATTATTTTTTTTTATCGTGTCACAATGTTTTAGAGAAAAAAAATGTATAGTTTCGAGGAATAATTTATATGGTGCATATAATCGTAATAACTGTCAACTTGTGAGTTCTAAGAGATTTTCTCGTACTACCGTGCAATATTGTGCAAAGTAATCATTTAAAGTAGATTGTATGGGAAGTTATTTGCAAATCGTATTAAATCGCAGTTAAATGCAATAGACGCAAAACTTTCAAGGAGTGTTCATGTGTGCAATGTGCGGTTTTAATGCTGTGTACGAAGTAGCATAGGCCAATTTTTTCTGTTTGTTTTTTAATTTTTTTTGGCGCAACTTGTAATTATATAAATTCGCCATCTGTTCATTTTAATTCGCTAATTATTGCTGTGCAATATATAATATATTTAACTTCTAAAGTGCATGTATTTTACGATTTAATGTAACCAAGCGGGAGGATAAACTATCGTGTGTATGTATATTCAAGCAAAGTATATAAATTGTTATTCAATACGTTGAACACATTTAAAAATCGAAGTAATCTAATTTTTATGCTGTGTAACAGAATCGCTGTTTTACTTTTTAATACATATACTTGGAATAAGAATTGAGGGAATAATGCAATTCAATTGGGAAGTACGAATGCTGTCCGCTTTAAATACCGAGAATTATCTTTGAGACCATTTGCTGTAGTTCCTCGCAAAATCTAGTTCTTCTGCCATTAAGTAAGCAGGTGTATGTCATGCACAACTGTACCAAGAAAGTGGAAACGATTTTCATTATTGTTCATATATATTTTACAAATATAATTTAATAAGTTCATCGCTAACGGCAGATGGAGTCAGGATACCTAAATCAGTAAACAATAAACTGATGTAATGAGGTGGTGTGTAATCGACTAAGGGATGTTCCTTTTGTAAATCTTTCTTTAATGTGTTCGCTGTATACTGTAAAGAAACAAGAAATTTTATATACCTATCTCTTTTTTTTGCATATATTTAACAACTGTAATGATGTGAAGAACTATCTGATGTTTTACCTTAAATTCATCTGGTAAGTCAACTTGATTTAAAGGGTAAATTCTTGAAAATTTGAAACTTTCTGTGAGTACATAAAAAGGTTTTTTCACTTCTTTGGCACACATAGCCATTGTATATGTGCCAACCTATGAAGAAATGGCAATAATTCTTAAATATATAGACATGTTACTTATACAGGGTGAATCATTTAAATCGATCCCCGCGAATATCTTCGAAACCGTTGATGATACCGAAAAATATTTCAGAGAAAAGTTGATTGGTTTATAAGGTGATATAATACAATATTGTACCAATTATGTACCTTATTAATAACACCACCACTTTCTGCTACACCCTCTGCACCAACCATGACCATGTCAACTTGCTCCATGACATATCCCATTGCAGAATCTAATATTAGTGTGCAAGATACACCTAACTCTGTTAAATTCTGACACATTTCCTGTCTAGGGTATAAGAGAAAATAATGCACAAAAATATATGACAAAGTATAAGAACTTTAGAAACAAGACATACCCACTATTGTCTGGAGATGAACACGTTACATATACTTCAAATATTTTATTACTAGCAGCAGCTTCTTTCATTGCTTGTAATACGACTCTAGATTTTGAATGAGTAAGTATTTTCTAAAATTTACCAAAATACTATGAGGTAATTGTTGAGCAAGAGAAGCTATAAAATGTTAGAAAAAATGATCCAAACTTACAGAACCATCTGTGATAAAATGTGCTGCAACTTTCGCTACTTTTCCTCTAGCTGTTACTAATTTTTCATGAAACATTTTTCCCCTATGGAGCATAATACCCCTGCATTCTGCAAACGACTAATTGCAAACAGCACACAAGTTATTAGACAACGATCGATACTTTATAAAATATTTGAAATGTTTCGTAAGCAACGAATTTACCGGAGTATCTAACGTCGCCAGGGTTATGAAACGAAGGAATAGTTCGCTACCAGATGCAATAGCGGTTACGGGATGATCCGTGGATCTCATTGCATCTATTGCATTTTGCAGACAGTACCTAAGTTCCTGAACTGTTTCTGCTGCGATCAAATACAACAGTTAGTCGTTAGAACAAACATATTCGCTTTAAAACCTTTCGAAAAGTGCGCTTACACTTTGAATACTCCAGAACTCTAAGTAATGTACGAATCGCAGCCATCCCAGCAGACACATCTTTTTCATTTCTAATGATGCCGTTGAAGTATTCACATATTTCTAAAGTAATTAACAAAATAAAAATTTTAACAACTTACTTTTGCTCAATTAATGTATCTTAAACAATCAACCAACAGAAAAGTATATTTACCTTGCTTTTCCATATTTACGGTCTCGCGCTTATGTGGTTTTCTAAAATGATTCAAAACTAATCACTGCATAGAATTGTTTGAATTTTAAACACCATCAACAATACTTGTTAAATTAAATTCGATAACACTACTTCCATACCTACCAATCGTGAAAAATTTGATCATCAAATCAGGTTAGAAAAATATTTACCGATGTCACTACATGCACGGTGCTGTTGCAGTAAGTATCTGGTACGGTATAAAACGATGCAAGAATCATTGTCGCCAACTAGGTATAGAATAGACCGATCATCTTACGGGACTTCGTGTCTCATGTTCTGAAATACCGATAGTGTAAAAAGTCAGGGATTTTCTGCCGCCCTCTACGTTATGAAAACGGTGAATTTGTGAACTACGTTAAATCCATTCGAGTTCAACTACATAGTCTAACTTCTACAGTGTTGTCGAGTCTAAAGTACGCAATGTTGTCAGATCATGACGACTGACGCGTGGTGGCGCCACCCGTGCCAATTCGATCAAACTGCTAGCCAAATCATACCGACAGGTGAGTGAGACTTCCTGGTGAGGCAAAAATGCGAATACCTCAGTAATTAAGCGCTTAAAATGAACGTCATTAGTCTCAAATTGTCCCTCAGGACTTAATGAATGGACCCAATAGTGCAGAACCCCTGAATTAGTAAAATCAATCATGCCTGTATTACCGTGGCCCCTTATGGGGCAGCAACCCTACTTGCAACTTATTTCGATCATATTTACACTGCTGAACGGGCATCATTTTTCCTCGTCACGCATTAAATTCGAAGTTTGAACAATGTAGAATAATACTGTCTAACGGCTGGGAACCAGTAATTACAAGAACATTGTGGAAATCACATTTATTTGCAACGGTTGACACTGTATCTCGTCATGCGTACACCGTTTAGTTCACTTTAAATAGTTCTTCCAACGTTCTATGGACAAGTTACGTCTTGATCAAGCATTCAGTTTGAAGCTAAAAGAACGTAGATTAATCCACTGTCATTGAAAATAACAATAAACAACCAGAACACTGTTAAAATCGCATTTAATCGTGGAATACCACTACTTTTTTGACCGGTGCCGCCATCCGTGGCGAATAGCTGAAACTGCTAGCCAATTATATGGCTACCAGTTTCAGCGGTTCGCCACGGATGGCGCCACAGGTCAAACAAATAGTGGTACTCCGCGATTAAATGCGATTTTAACAGTGTTCTGATTGCTTATTGGTATTATCAATACCAGTGGATTAATCTACGTACTTTCAGCTACAAATTGAGTGCTTCAGCTAAACGAAAGCTGTCCGTATAACGGTGTACGAGCTGTCCAAAGTAAACTAAACGGTGTACGCATGACGAGATACAGTGTGAACCGTTGCAAATAAATGTGATTTTAACAATGTTCTTGTAATTACTAGTTCCCAGCCGTTAGAGAGTATTATTCTATGTTCTTTAAACTTCGAATTTAATGCGTGACGAAGAAAAATGATGTCTGTTCAGCGGTATAAATGTAATCGAAGTCAGTTGCAAGAAGGGTTGCCGCCCTATAAGGGGCTACGGTAATACAGTCATAACTAATTTTACTAATTCAGGGGTTCTGCACTATTGGGTCCATGCGTTAAGTCCTGTGGGACAATTGGAGACTAATGACGTTCATTTTAAGCGCTTAATTACTGAGATATTCGCATTTTTCCATCACTAGGAATTTTCACTCACCTGTCGGTATGATTTGGCTAGCAGTTTGAGCGAATTGCCACGGGTGGCGCCACCGTTCAAAAAAAAAGTGGTACTCCGCGATTAAAGGCGATTTTAACAGTGTTCTGGTCGTTTATTGTTATTGTCAATGGCAAGGCATTAATCTATGTTCTTTCAGCTACAAATCGAGTGCTTTATCTAGACGAAAGCTATCCGTATAACGATGTAACAGCTGTCTAAAGTAAACTAAACGGTGTACGCATGACGAGATACAGTGTCAACCGTTGCAAATAAATGTGATTTTAACTGGGACCCCTGTAAATGGGGTCATAGAACTCCCGGTGTATATGCAAGAGACCCTGTATGTTAGAAAGTGGGGTCATACAACCCCCGGAGCATACGCAAGAGACCCCGTGTATGAGAAAGTGGGCTCATAGAATCCTCCGCAGCATGCGTAAGAGCACAGCGAGAATATCTCGTCTGTGATAATACTCGGTATTCATGCTTTATCGGTAATGTCGGGTATTGTCACTGAAATGCTGAAATGGTAAGGGGGCTTTGGAGCCCTCGAAACATGCGACAGAAAATTACAGTGTATGTTGGATCTATTCTGTATTTCGTCTGTGATGGTACTTTTGTTTCAGATAAATAAACATAAATAAATGTATGTATATACCACAGTAGCTTCTCGATAGCAACTTCGTCCATAAGTTTGCCGTAGACCCTTTATCATGGTAAAGAATATTTTCTTCACCTTGGTGTATTTATTGAAAACGTTGCGTAACGATGGCACTCTGGGAGCTCGGACGCGGTCCGAGCAACAGTGCTTAATCGAATGGAACTTGCTTCGCGACTGTGCCTTTTTCTTTGTTTCTCGTTTTCACCTGTAACAAAACAAAAGAAACGAAAGACGGTGAAAGTGATAATGACAGCAAATTACTAAACAAACGACAGCAACTTAGCTGCTTTCGTGACTCTATATGGAGATACGGAAGAGAGGTTCACGACGCAATCGAAGAATTTCAAGTAATTCTCGAATGCATTCTCTGTGATACATTAATGTACATATGGACTCTGGATTTACTACGAAAGAACGAACTATATTAAACGACGAAAATCAAATGGACACGTGAAACGAAAATATCGATTTCTTTTCTCATTCCTGAAGCTTTTCGACAGAGTATGTGCCAATATTATCCTGTTAACCCAAAAAGTGGAGGGGAAAAAAGTAGTAAGGACAAAGGCGACCTCTGTTGTGGCAACGGTAGCGTATCAAGCTATGTATTGCATTGCTGTCGAAAATGGCGTCAGGCTCGGAGCTGCCAGAATATTCGTCCCCAGCGAAACGACGGAAAGTCGACGGCAACGATTACGTCGGTACCAGCATCGCGAAACCTGAGTTCCAAGACTATGAGACGTCGCGCGTTACTCCGAACGAAGATCCTGAAGGTATTTTCAGAAAAATATGGTCGATTCCTTAATGAAATTTGTCAGTTTGCAAGATGGCGGTTCAAAAGGCGTCCACCCCTCTAAGACAATAATATCGGTCGCGCTCGTAGTCAAATGCGAGACCAGAACCGCCATGACAGTTTTTCATGTACGAAGTGAATTTCTCTTAACGGAATTTATTTTTAATCTGTTACCCAATCTGTGATTACGATTCCAAATTATCGCGCACTAATTATTTTCAATCTTTTCTCCTCGAAAATAATGGTTTGAACAAAGTTTTATACATATAGTGAAAAGAGAAAAACTAGTGACAGGGGGATCGATGTCAAGCGCTTTGTTTGATAGACGTTCACAGATGGCACGGTTTTCACCGTGTGCAAATGTGTAAATAGAGGTTTTGTTGAGTCGTCTGTCGCCGTCGTGTCAGTTGTCTTCCGCTGCTTTTGAAAACTTCGAAACTGATGATTCTGTTACCTTTAAATATCGAATTGTCAATGCAAACCTTATTATCCGTATTATGGTTGCGTTTGATAAAATTGAGAAATATTGCTACAACTGTTGTCGCGGTGAGTTGGTGTTTTCGTAAGAAGTATGAAATTTATCCTTATTAATTAGCTGACAGTTGTTGATGACTACTTTTCTATTGCGGCTAACGGGAGATTTTATAAATAGATAATTAACCAATTGTTATTGCAGAAACATACGGAGGAGATAGTGGTTTCAATGAATTAAGCGATGAATCTAAATCTACTTCTGTTTCACCGGATACCACACACTTGACAACCGGACTCTCTAGAATTGACTCAACCAGCGACGATACTGGCTGTCCGTAAGTGATTTTACATTTCATTGTTATGAGTTGTTTTTCTTTCTGCTGTTGTATTTGTAAGGATTAAATTTGTTTGGTGGAAGAAATTCAAATAAGTTCTGGTATCTTGCATAATTTTTCAGAATTGATACTGCAGATGAGAAAGATGAAGTGTCGTCGACAGTTTCAAATCTGTCCGATTTATCAGGACTGTCTGATTTTTCTGGTGAAGGAGAAATCAATCATCAATGGAGGAATGCTTCTTCATGGGTTCAGAAACAAATGTTGATAGGTGCTGATCCTAGAGATCTTCTTCATCATATTCTGATGGATTCTACACAGATCCCTGAGCAGGTCGATGACTTGACTCTTTGGAAGGTATGAGAACACAGTCTTTGTCAGTGTATCCTGTAATTGTAGAATCTATAACAAACATTTGTCAGAAACATTGTATAAATCTGTTTCAGATCATAGTAAATGTAATGTCTGAACCACCGCGTAGGCAGAAATTGAGACACGTAAACACTTTGTGTAGAGATGGTATTTATTCTAGGCTCGCTCAAGATTTTCCTGATTTACCAGACCCACAGGTATATCGAGTAAAATACTTAGTCGAATTGTTTTTCTCCGATTCATATGTAACGTAAAATTTTATATCTCAATAGTAATCACGATGTTCGTCGCCCATTATTTCAGGCCATGTTTGATATTAATTATTTTGGTCAAGATCCAAGACCGTTTTACAAATTTGCGCGAGAAATTTATCCTGGACAGTTTAAGCCAAGCCCCTGTCACAGGTTCATTCAAATGCTCGATAAACAGAAGAAGCTGCTCAGAAATTATTCGCAAAACATCGACACGCTAGAGCAAGTGGCTGGCATTGAGAACGTGATCGAATGCCACGGTAAGTGTGCGACACTTGTTAAAGTATGATAATTCGTTTTTGAGCGATCAATCAAAAATCTCTCTTATGTTCAAGGTTCTTTTGCAACTGCATCATGTACAAGGTGTAAATATCAAGTGAAAGCGGACGACATTAGAGAAGACATTTTTGCACAGAGAATACCTTTGTGTCCGAAATGTAGAGTTAACGCCTTGCCGCCTATATCGGAGATTAATCTTAACGAGAATTATAGAGGTAATTTTGAAAACAATATTTCCTCGTATCACGTTCGCTGATATTCATTGTTTTTTTCACAAGATCTTCTTGATCGATTATCAGTTTTTCTAGTACAAAACATTAGCCGTCTAGTGATAGTTTTTGCCATTAGTCTTTCCTGTAGCGCGTCGCGAGTCCGTGGCCATGAGAGAACGATTATCTACTCTTTGCGGAATACATCTTCGCTATACATGATGTTGCCATTTACTCTGATCTGCGCTAATGTCGATACATCAATTGTAACTGCGAGTAAAGCCTTGGCTTGTTTATAAGCGCATTATAAGGTAAACTTTTAAAAGTTGCATCATGTTACCCGTGCGTGCTGTTCAGCCAGACTTGTGAGGTCGCGGACAGAGTTCGCGGACTCGTTGGTCAGTTCTCATTTTGCCGAGATTTCCTCGACGAACACGACGTGTGTCGCGATCGAGCGAAAGAAAAACGCGCAATCTGGTACGGCCAGCAGAACTGGGAAACACTCGAGAGATCGCGTTCCCACGAAAGTATTTATAATTTACAGATTTAGTGACTCACGGCATCATGAAACCGGACATTGTATTCTTTGGCGAAGGACTTCCGGATGCTTTTCACGATGCAATGGCCAAAGACAAAGATGACTGTGATCTCTTAATCGTAATCGGATCATCGTTGAAAGTTCGGCCGGTAGCGTTAATTCCTTCGTCTATACCCTCGCATGTCCCGCAGATTCTCATTAATCGGGAATCGTTGCCGCATCTAAAGTTCGATGTTGAACTCTTGGGAGACGGTGACGTCATTATAAATCAGTTGTGTCACCTGTAAGTAAACATTATTTACAGTTTTGTACGTGAGATGTAAAGGAAAATTTTCAAAAACAGAATAGGTGTATTTCCTCAATCGATGTGTTGTATTGTTTCAACAGAATGGGAGACACCTACAAGGAAATATGTTGGAACAATATGATCCTTCGAGAAGCGACGCAACTTGCACCGATGCGTTACTTGCCCGAAGATTCTTGGGAGCAGAGTCAAGACACGACGACAAATACTGTATTATCTCGAGATAGTGTTGAGAAAGATACGTGTTCCATTGGAAGCCAAGATATCGAACAATCTACAGAGAACATGAATGTTTGCGTTTCATCGTTTCGAAAGGATCACGCCAATAATACAGAAGAGAGGTTTGATCTGCACCAGGGCAGTCCGAAAAGACGTTTGGGCGAATCAAGCGAGGAAAGCAGTCCGAAGAGAATGAACTTCGGTGGTAGTTCGGTATTAGAGTTTCGCTCGTCCTCCTCGACGGCGGAAAATTCCAATTGTTGGAACGATTATAAAATTCATGTCGTGTCAATGGAATCAACGTCAAAAGAGAATGGGAAAGTTTATAACTTAGAGGAGTGTCAAGTATGCCCGAGAACGGTAGAGTTTTCTTCGGAAAGTGCAGAATTAGAGCCGACATTGCAATCAAACCGTTGTACCGAGGACACAATAATATCCACCACTGAAATTGATAAAATTAATTTTAAACCGAGACAAGCGTCTATCGATTCCGCTTTGGATTCTGGAATCGGTGATAGTTGCAATAGCGTCGACAGTGGTGAAGGGAAGTGCGACGATAGAAAGACAGAATTAAAGAACGGAAGACTAAGTGGAAGGCACTGTTGGCAGTCGAAAGTACGAGAAAGTCTTGCCTCAAGATTACCAGGTACGTTTACTGTTGTTTTTAACTCTTCTTATGAACTAGTCTTTTTTTCCCCTGTTTTCTCTTTATTTCCGAATCTGATTATAATTATATTTTAATAGAGAACTCGTACTATCAACTGACACCTGGAAAGTACATTTTTCCTGGAGCGGAAGTATATTCGGATCCTGAGGATTATGATCAGTGTAATTTTTCGATTAATTCCGAAAGTTCCGAAAGTGACAGTGTGTCTTCGTCTGCCGAGGAAGAGGAGGAAGAGGAAGAGGAAGAGGAGGAGGAGGAGGAGGAGGAAGAGGAGGAGGAAGAAGAAGAAGAAGAAGAAGAAGAAGAAGAGGACGAGGAGGAGGACGATGAAGATGTTGAGGAAGTGGTGGAGAAAGAAAGGGCCAAGAGGGGGGAGGTGGAAGAAGATAAATCAGCGATGATGGATTTACAACAAGAAGAAACGAATAAAGAACGTGAATTAGAAAAAAGAAGTAAGTCCCTTTCGTCATTGGTACATCAAAATCCCGCAACGTGATTATTAAATTGAAATTTACGCAGGTCAGAATGACGAATCGCTGGAAATGAAAATTGTCACAACCGGCATTGATGCCGTGTGCGAGAAGAGAAAATGGACGACAAATTGTTCCCATAATGGTTAGTTGAAAGGTGCGGATTCGAAAAGCAACGATATCGATTGGCGTTACTTCCATCGAACTTCCTAGCCCAATAAAATCACGGCGGACGACCAGTTGAAGAAGAGTGCAACCCCCTTGGCCGTGCTTCAGTATACGTGTATATGCAGAGACGTGCAAAGGTACGAGCATTCATTTGCCCACGGAGCCCATCTTTTTTTTTTTTTCATGAAATTGAATTGACAGTGAAAATAATTTTGCGATTGTAAGTCTAATCTTGCGTAACACTTTTAACTTTGATAGATATTCAACGGTTATGTGGTTCCCATTTTCATGGATACTTTAAAGAAATAGTATTTGGTCAAACTCGAAAGATTTATTTCACGTGAAAATCGTTTTTGAATTTGCGTTGGATTCGACAGACTCGCAATTGTATACGGTTGAAAGCTATCCATGACTTTTATTTGCATACGACGTTCCATCATTTTGTTTCACGGTTATAACAGACTACGAAGCTAAAGGCGCGTTTTACGAACGAACGTATACACGATACGACGGTGCCCTCCCCTTGTTCGTTCGTAAGAGCATAAATTATGTTAGGAAATAGAGTTAATTTTACCATGAATTGTAAATATTCTATCAGAACTCGTAGATTAGTTATTCGGTACATCTCGTGCAATCGTAGGAAATTGAATAAATCTGTAAATGTGTTCTGTATCCTTGGAAAGGGAAAGATAAATAAGTTATAATGCGATTAGTAGAACACAAAACAGAACACGATAAATCAGCGATCGCGTTTTTCCTTTCGCGAAACGTAAATCTAAATGGGCATAAGTAATAGTGAGAAAAGATATTATTGTTCCAATCCTTTCAATTTGATAAATATCTACACTAACTAACGGGCATGATACAGAAAGACGCCCTAACTCTATATATGTAATATACATATGTGTTGTATATTATATATATATACACCGTTGTTGCATCTCTCTGCACCAATATGGACAGGTGTTATGCTCTAGTGATATTTATCAAAGATGAAAAGATAAAAAAAAACACACTGAACGGATCGTTCCAGAGGAAAGTAACAGTAAACAAGATAAACCCTTTTCGTAGAGTGTAAAGGGTATGTAAAAAGGGGTATTGCAAAGTTAATTAGTATTGACCTTGATACTAATGCTACACTTACTTATTGCTGTCACTCTAATTGTAATTACTAATTGTAATTAATACTAGTACTATCGTCAGTCCTCAGTGTTGCATCTACTGTTACGACATTATTTGTCGCAAATAATTTTCTTGTGTTTTGTAAATTAACTGTGTAAATTTGTAGATGCAAAAAATGCTCTATGTCATTTGTGAATCTTATATTTTTACAAACATTTATTTGATAATGCAGGGCGACACAAACGAAAAGTATTCATTTTGTCACAAGACTATGTAAAGTATATATATATATATATGGTGCATCCAGGACGGTATCGAACAAACGAACGAAGATGTGTGTCAACAGTTACGTAATTTTCTACGTACAAATGCACCTTCGAAAAGACGTAAAGGTATTTTTTTTCGGTCTATATAAGTTGTACAGTGGATTCTTATAAAGATGAATTTTTGATCGCTTTGACAATGACGACACGACGCGACCACGGTAATAAAATGACTATAAAGGACGGAGGACGAAGACAGTCTATTTAGGTATAACTTTAAGTTTTTAGCGAGTAGATTTCATTACCAGAACGCAGAATTAGTCACATTGGATTCGCACTGAACGTTTTTAGATTCGCTTTAGGTTTCGATTATTCTTTCATTGGAGCACGGGCGAATGTACAAAGCAATGTTGGATAGCTTGGCATTGCGTGTTATTTTTATATGAATGAGAAAAGGTAGAATAGTGAACGTACAAGGATTAGAAACACTCGAGAAACCAGAGGAGAACACGTGACGATCTTCGAGAAATCGCGCTGCGTAGACGGAAGCCCGCGTGTACGGCAATGCGATCACGTCTCGATGTTTATCATCGCGAATATTTGTATCGAACGAATCGGTTGTGTGAAGCATTAATTATGTTTGCCAGCGTGATAATGATTTTATAAACTTTGTGCGTGTAAAATGCGAAACAATAATGCCCTGAGTGTACGCGTTCGCGTCGACGAATACAATGTGCGTGTCATATGCTACACCACTGGGCGTACCATACACATGTATGCGCATGCGCCGCTGCGACAATAACGTGGAATACATGTGAAACGGTGGCGTAGCAATGAGAACCATGAGATTAAATTTAATCGCACAGAGTAATAAGTAGACTGCGGATTTTTATGCAAAATAAAATTTCGTAAAGTGATTTATTAAGACAAGGGCAAAAGTAGGGATTTCTTTCTTCTTTTAAATATCTTATTGGATTGAAAATAAAATAGAAACGACGTTGCATCTGATGATAGTATTTTCTTTTATTAAATCCGCAGTCTAGTAATAACGATTGTGTTTCCGATGCGTGGCACAAACCCCTGTTTTTTATTCGTCGGCCATATAAACAGATAAAAATAACGGTGGGGAACAGCTGGACAATTCAAGTCGACGCGCGAAATGTTCTGAACAATTAGGGAATAAGAAAGAGGATTCGTTTAATATTATTCCGGGGAAAAGAAGGATAGCAGCAATTTTCTTCCTCGCGTGTGTACGGTGTCCCGTTTTATCAGACTTAAAAAGTTTATCTTTCGCTATGTACAAAACGGCTTTATTTATACCATTGTCTGGTAAACCGATAACGCAAGTTGCGTGTGTACGGTTAGATTTAGTTTTCTTTTTTCCAAGTCTCACCATCTTTTTATTTATTTGAGATCTATAAAGTTCAATAAGTAGACAGGTAGATAGACAGATGATAGGTAGACAAATAGGTAGAGACAAGAGATAGATAAGAAAATATGTGAATGAATATAAAATTACGCGCGCGTGCACATATATTATACGAGTGGTACGTAGACGTGTAAAGTGTATAAAAAGTTGGTTTTACTCGACGTTATACAAATTTTCCAATGCATTTTGAAAATTTGTCACTACTCCCGATCATGTGCGTGTGCACCTTTCCCCCCTCCTTCCCTTTCTCTTTCCCCTTCCCCTCTTTCTCTCTCTGTTAATCGACTAGAGGCCTTAATAGAAGTTGCACGGTATCCTTGCATACAAAAATCGTTATCACGAAATTTACAATAAGTTTGGAATGATTTATCCTTCGGCATTAAAATTTAATATTTATTAAAAACGCGCGTTCAGATCGATTTTAGTCGTAGTTTCGGAACAAGTGTATAGACTATCAGTGTTGTACACGTACAAGTTTATGTTACGTTAGCATATAAGTTCTGTTCCCGTACGATCAACGTGACATATGTATTGCGGACAGTCGACTCAGAGAGAAGCACTAACTTGCAAAAATTTGACAATCATGCCAACTTTTTCTTTCTTCCACAGTACTGACTTTTTTTTTGTATAAATGTGTCACTTGTAAATATTTATTATTTCTACTATATATGTATAATGAATCATGAACTTCTATCGTATCAGCTGAACGGTGAATCCGCTATGTGACTTTTCCGTTTGTATTTTTTTTTCTCTTCCCTCTTGCACTTCAAGACTATAGGACAGTTTCTATTCCGTCGCTTATTCCACGAGGCGTTCACGTTTTTCCACGGTGTTTCATGGTTCAGCCGATACGAAAGAATGATGAGGTGCGCAGATGCTCTGAATTTTTTATAATTTGTTATTTAATATAATGAATGTTATAAAAATGTTCTCTATTTCAGACGTTATAAGTTTTCTGTTTTTTTTTTTGTATTATTAATGTGTAAGCTTATCTTCTAAATTAAACGTTTTCTATGATAAGAATAACCTGTTGATCTTTTCATTGAACCACCATCAGACATTAGGGGAACCTTTAAACCCAGTGTAGGAGAAACGACAAGGATGATCTATTTCTTTCTTTTTTTACGAATAAATTTAATAAAATAAAGTAATATCGGTTCTAAATACGTTATCAGAGTTTGAAAAATCTGGAAATTCATTTAAGTCAACTTCGATCGTCGATCGGAAGTCGGGGAACGAACGAAACTTCTCGAACGCCAGGCGTATTTATTTATTCATTTATTTGCTTTATTGTTGTATGTCGTATAATAGTTTTGTGTTGTATATCGCAATTATCATAAATCAAATTTGAAAATAGGCTTTAAATTATAACAATGTATCTTAGAGAATAATTGAAGCGTTCCCTGGAATAATAGATCAAAAGCTCTCGTATAATTTCCATGAGCTTCATCGAAACTTACGCGTTAGGGGACCGTTTCAATTACAGTATCGTCGCTATGTATTGAACACTTGTCGAAATTCCCCGCCAAGAAAGATTTTCAAATGTTCAATCGAAATGAACATTTTTTTTTTTCTTATGTATGTATATCGAGTGTTTATCTAGAATATTTAATATATCATACTAGTCCAGCCGAACAGCAGGTGACATTTTCTATTTACCTTTCATTTCCTATAATTACGTCTTGTGTAATAATAACCATAATATAATAATAAACATTATTACCACCACAGCAATAATAGTATTATAATAGCACTGTTTTCTAGGGACGCACGAAGTTAATATTTACGTGTCGCTGCGGCCCACTACCTGTTTAACAATGAACAATATTCATTGATTTCGAATAGGATTCGGTATACATAATGTTTTTTTTTAATGTATTATTAGTACAGGCGCTTAATTAATTCGTACCAGCGTGTTTTTCTCTCTTTGTTCATTTTTTTTTTCATTTTTTTTCCTTTTGACGCTTTCCATCGTCTACTGTTATAATTCGACAATGTTACAGAAGCTACATAGTTGCGCTGTTCCATTCAAATAGCCACGCGTGCCATATTGCGTGCAGATTGTTTTCCAATTATATTTGCATTTTCCTTTCATAAACGTTTCTGATCTCCCGTGCTAATCATATGTGTATATATATGCCCTTTTTTTTGTTCCTTCGATTCGCGATCTCGTTTTACGACAATACATAGACCGATATGTTTGACATTTTTGTTTTTCTTTTTTTTCGATCCGTGAAACACAAGGTGCGTGGGCAAAGAGGGATAAGTGCCGGAAGCGAAAAAGAACGGTCGCGGTACTGTGTGTATCGTTCAATCAGAAAATAGTCGTACGTGATTTGTCGTGATCGAGTCTCACGAATCGTTCCACAACACGTTGCGAACTGACACAGAATACGTTAACAAAAATGATCCGCAAAACAGACGTACTTTGAAACGTCGCGGCAGTCTGTTCTCGGAGATTCGAACAGAAACATTTTCTTTCTTATCATTATATATTTTTTTTCCACAGATGGAAAACGACACACGCAGTCGATATCGCGGGAGACAATGTTGACGAAAAATCCACAGTTCTAGGATCCTGGTAGTTTTCTTTCATAAACTGATTTCATTATTTATTCTTCACCAAACGCAAAAGTTGTCCGCCTAGATACGATGTGGTTGTATCTTGTTCTTATTTATTATTATTACTATATCATCATGCATTCTTTTTTCATTTGACACGATAAGTATTATTCGACTGGTTTTCCGTGGGGTAAAACTAAAAAATTTTTTCATTCGACGCGACGAGACGTTTAATTAAATCGTGTATGTACCGCGTGATCAATTTTTTCGTCACGAATAGTACACAGGAGAAATTAATCCGTGAAAGATAAAAAAATATGAAAGAAGTCTGTGTATAACATGTTCGATATTGTGTACCAAGAATGTACAGAAGGAAGATCGAAGATGAACCGGAGACAACGACATAGAATTACACCGTATCGCTTTATGATCTATCTCGACAACTTTCTGCATTAACATTCTTTCGTGTCATATCCGGGAATTATTTGTATCGAATAATTATATTAGATAATACGATAAACTGCGGCAAGGATTTACCGCCTTATTACATAGTAGCATGACAAATAATGTCGAATTTGTGGTTTTTCTTTAATGGATATAATTAGGATATCGATGCAATTTAACTGTCTAGAAACAACGCTTCGTATTCCAGTACCACCTATGCACACTGGACTACATTGAGTTACAAGTTCTATTTCGTGTCGTTCGGGTCGGAAATCGAAGTTGTTGTTCCCGTTTTAATGTGTCCATTTATTCCATGCCTGCAATCAAATTATTAATGTTCCACGTTAATTACACGTAAGCAAGAACAGTCCAAACATCTTACAGGAGACTTGAAGAAGGACCAAGAGTAAATGTAACCGACGCAGGGTGAAAATCGATGAACACAAACCGACGATGAGCAATGAACGGTAGAATTTCGTTTATATCGGAATTGATGTTAAAGTGCAACGTACCGGATGTTGCTTATCTTGCACAGCATCCGGTATTCCCCAAGCCGGTGCATCGATTTTGTTCTGCTCGTTTGGCGGAATTTCCGTTAAAGTCGGCGTTCCAAACTGTCCCGGCAGTAACGTCAATCCTGGCATTAGCGACAGTGCTGCTGTGCTTCCATTCGGGAATTGTTGTTGCGCGTCCACGTGACCCTGAGTAGAAACATAATCACACGTCACATAATCGCGTGTAAACCTACGGAAACAGATACACCGAAATTCTTGCGTGTTTTTACAAAATGTGTTTTACGTTAAATAATATCATGTTCCAAACCGAGACGATTTTTAGGTTAAACGACACGGTAAAATGATTAAAATCGCGGTAATTGGAGACATCTACCCTATATATATATTAAAACATAATTGATACCTGAAAAGAGGACTCCATCATCTGATGGAGTTCAGCATCCACGTTTGATATACGATTGTAGGTGGCGTTCGATCGAAACATCTGATGTCTGTCAATCCCCGGCGCCAAGCTTGCCCACGATCCAACGAGTTTCTCGTTGTTGAGCATCCAGTTGATAGAATCGGCGTCGCCGCCGGGTCCCATGCCGGCTGTCGCGTAATTCTTCCATGCTCTTTCCGTGCCGATCGGCCGTGGTACCTTGCGATCCTCGATTTTCATCTGATTCATCTCCTGGGCAACTTGGGCAGGCGACGAGGGCGATATCGCCGGTGAACCGCCGTTCTCCAGGCTGGTGATCAAATCGATGTTACCCGGCTGTGCGGACATGTTCGCCAAATGATTGGAGAAACCGATCTGGCCTATCATTGGATCCTGATGGGGCGGATAGCTGTTGTGCGGCGGGGCGAACGGCCAACGTGTCTGCCCGTTGGTGGAGATTCCGGTGTTCGGTGTGGCTCGGGACGGTGCCTGGTACTTTCCCAGCGGAAAGTTTCCAAGCATCGCCAGGTTATTCGACTGGATCGCGGACGGAGGTGGCGGTGGCACGGTGGCGAACATATTCGGATGTATCCCCGCCGCTGCAGCCGCCGCCGCCGCCGCCGCCGATCCCGCGTTGAACATCGTCACTTGAGGCTTGCTATTCAGATGCAACGAACTCGAGAAATCGGGCGCTCGGGGATTTAACCTCGACATACTGACAGTGGTATTTACAGAAGCAGATGGCGCTGATATCGTCTGCGTGAAATTCTGCATGTGAGGATGAAACGGTAATAGAGGGTGATTCTGTCCCTCGTTCGGTACCATCTTCAGTAAGCTAGAATTCACGTTCGGATGCTCGTAACCGACGTTGTTCGTCTTGAACAGACCGACGTCCAATGTTGGTTGCGACGTCGATGGTATAATGTGCTGTTGGTGTTGGGTGTTGTTGCGCGACGTCAATTCCCCTTGGAACACAGGCCTACTGTACTGGGTTCCCATCGCCGCCCCCATTTCTATGCTCTGTTGCTGCATTACCGGTCGGGCGACTGCCAAATTTCCCGGCGGTTTGTTCGACATAGAATGTTCGCTGTAGTTCCCGCCTGCGGATTGGTATTGAGGCGGCTGAATCGGACTGTGCCCTGTGTTCGACGATGCACAGCTTCCTGTGCTGGTCGCGCTCGTATTGCTGGTGTTGTTCGATTTACTTGATACAGGAGAGCACATTGCTGTTCCCCGATACCCTGGGGCTTTCGAAGCGTCCGCCTGTTTCGAAACAGATTAGATACGTTGTGATGGCCGTTCGTGGAAAGTACAGTGGGCGTGAGAGAGACAATATATAAGTACACTGACGTGCAAACTCGGCTTTCGCTACGGGAAAAAGTGAGGTAGCTGAAGGGCCTACTACCATTTAGTTTTGGGGGTTACTGAAATTTATGCCAAAGTAACATTCGGTGTAACATTTATTTCAGTACTTGAAAATGGTAGGAGACTTTTCTTCTACGCCACTTTTTTCCCTAGCGGAAGCCGAGTTTGCACGCGAGGGTACATGCAGGACAGATATGGTATCGAGTAGTAGGAATACATAAAAAATATTAAATACATTATAAATTTAATACTAGCCTGTGGAGGGGGAGCGCAGTCGATGAACTTGGACGAGGATGAACCTGACGTGTTTACGGAACCCCCACCGCCAGCTACAGTTGCGAAATTCATACCCTTCTGAGATTCACTTTCCCGACCACCCCACATCGACTGTTGGGTAACTTTGGTGAAAGTATCGTTAAATAACGAATATTCCAAAGGCGTGTTATTTTGTTGCTGCTGTTGTTGTTGCTGCTGCTGCTGCTGTTGCTGTTGTTGGTCTTGAATCGTAGAAGTTATTGGTGTCGAACTCCGTACTTGTTGTTGCTGCTGCTGTTGCTGTTGCTGCTGCTGTTGTTGTTGATGATGCTGCTGCTGCTGCTGCTGCTGTTGTTGTTGTTGTTGTTGTTGTTGCAGCTGTTGATTCTGTGATACTATCGGTGGAGATGGAGTAATTCGAACAGAGTTCGAACAGGTAGAGGCAACTGAACTATCCGGACAGTATGCAACCACTGTACTCGTTGCTGGCGACATGGCGGCGGCATTCGAACCAGGAGAATACGTCGATTTTCCAGAATAATGTGAAACCATAGTTGGCGGGGCAGACAAGGTAGGCAGTGGTCGGCAGTGTTTCGGTGATGTACTGACTACGGGCTGTTGCTGCTGAGACGAAGTTTGCGCCGTTGCCGTAGCTGTAGCTGACATTACCGTGACGGTATTCGCTTGTAACGATTTCTGTTTATTTACCGTGGCGTGAGTGGACTGCATCACGGTGGTGGATGTATGGGTGGAGGCAGTGATCTCAGATAGCTTCGCTGCGAACGTTTGCGTGGTGCTTGTCGTCACGATTTTCGTTGCTCGTCCGGCCGTCATGATCGCGCTCGTATACGACATTGTCGTCTTTGTGTTCGACGGCGAAGCCATTTGAGCAGCGACAGCCTGGGCTCGTTTCTCAGCTGCACACACACACACACACACACGTAAAAACGTCGCGAACGATCGAAACGTTACTCGACTATTTCGTTAAATAAATTTTTATAGTAGTTAGTTGTCATTGTGCACTTGTATTTCGATGTTGCAAACAACATGCGGTTGATTTACGTACAAGAGACTTCGACTGTTTATATTATGTCGAATTTAAAGAGGCAAGAAAATTTATTGAAGTAATCATGCAGATACGTTACCTGCGGCGACGAGTCTGGGCGCTGTTGCGCGTGGCAGAGGCGTTGGAAATGCTCCGGTAAGTTTAATAGTGGACGACGATCGAAGTGGAATTAACTGATTGACGGCAGAAACTCCCGACGTGTAACTAGATTTATTAATTTGCGTACTATTGGTATTTGACGTTAAACTGGGAGGTTTACTTACAGGACCCAATTTCGTTTTGCTCGACTGAAAGTGAAAGTAAATAAACAAACGTTAATCGACAATTCAACGATAAAAGCATCCGCGAGGGAGTTTTATCAATCCGTTGCTGGTATACTGATCAATCTTACAGCTACTGTAGCAACAGTTTTATCCCAAGAAGGTGTCGTAACAACGGTCAATTTCGGTTTTGGAAGCATCTGTAATATATCAACGTCCGGATCTTTAATTAGCGCTGCTATTAATGTATGAGCCTGTTTCGTTGCATCGGAAGATCCCCTGAAATTCACCAAAAAATTAAAACAGTTCCGACCACGATACTCACGCGTTTCTGTCGAGAATCATAACTGAAATAACTAAAAAAAATACGCTTGAACTCCGTACTTGATAGTAATGATTCGTTCGCCTTGACATTTGCTTTGTTTTTCTACTTCAATGTGGGCTCCTGTCGCGCCTCTAATCGCGTTTATATTACTTCCGCCTCTTCCTATGACACGACTGATAGCATTCGGTGGAACAGAAACTTTCTTCGAGCGGAATGGCGAGTTCATAAATCTTCCCGAATCGTCGGATTGTCCCCTGTTTCGGAAGTTGTTTATTAATTCAATTTCTTTTACCATTAATTCGTTAAAAATCACCCGAAAAATATAAAATTGCTTTCCTTACTTTCGCACGACTTCTTTCCAACCTTCCTCGCGTTTGCCGCCCTGTTTCGGGCTCGTTGTAGAACCGCTCGACTTTGTAGAAGTGTTCAACGTGTCTCCGTCGTATTGACTGTTATAGGATTTCTTCCCTTTAGCGGGTATGTACGTTTCGTTGCCAGTCGCTTCGAAATCTTCCCTGTCAGCGGGATGTCTCGACGACTCGAACACCAACTGACCTTTCAATTTGCGTTCGCTGCAATTAACGGTTGTGGATCTGACACTGGTCGTGAGAGAAGTCGTCGATACCGACACTCCGTTTGTGACGTTAGTCATTAGTCTTCTGAAAATCAAAATTTTTCTTTGAAAGTCACATGATACACTTGTATCACCGACGAGGTAGAAGAATAGACCTTTCATTTTATGGGAATTGGTGGATAGTGATACTAAAATGGAGATGAGGTAACATAACCCCAAAAAAGTGGGACGCAAAAATACATTGCATGGAATGTCTACTACTATATGGCTGCTTCAAAGATATACCGTTAGCCATAAACGAGGCCCACCCCTAAACCATTAGTACTCGATCATCGGGGGTCCATTGTGTCCCACCGCACTCAGGTACACCACTTTCAGCTATGGGGTTTAAAGGAATAAAACGAAAAAAAAAATGGGATATTTGAAAGACATTTACGGTTTCGTAAGCTTTCATCAAGAGTAAAAGGGCCAGAAGTATTTTAAATCTGAAATTAGTACAGTTTTTACAACTTAAATGTATCGAATGACAGGATTAGGCTACCAAAACACATAAACTTCAGGGTCAATCAGCTTTATGGCTAACGCTATGTCTTTGAAGCAGCTATACCTCGTCTGTGGCTTATACTGGAGGATCCTAAACTCGTATCTGATTAAACTTACTTCTCGGTGGTATTATTTTGAGACTTGGTCGGCGTGATGGAACTTTGCGACAACGCGGTACTTTGAGCGATAACAGATTTAGGTGATCTTTGTGGCGACGTGTCTTTTTCATTACTGGTAGGGCTGTTTGTCTTCTTTTTCTTCTTTTCTTTCTTTTTCTCCCTGGCTTTCACATCGTTGCTGCTGCAACTGCCTTGGCTGTTCGCATCGAATCCGCTGTCACCTTCCTCTCTGTCAGGATCTTCTGGACTCCTGTTGACAGGTGACGGCATACTATCCATTCTTTCACAACTGTCGCCAGTTTCGTGTTCGCTGTCGTCCGCTCTATCGCATTCCTCATCGCCGGATTTCTTCCCATTCTCGTCTTTATCCTCGTACGTTCCCTCGTTCTTCTTGTACTCCTCGTTTAATTTTCTCTTTTCCTCCTTTTTCTCGAGCTTCTTCTTCTTCTTTCGTTCCCGTCTACGAGCAGCCGCAGCTTTCTTCGATTCCTCTCTCGTTTTCTCCATGTCCAGCTCCTCCAATAATATCGTCGCGTTTTTATTCGCTTTCGCTGCTTGCGTCTCTTTCGCTGCTCGAATCACTTTCACGCATTCTTGGCATTTTTCGAGGAGTTCTTTGCCGCTGACGGTGGCTATGTACCTCGTCATTTCCTGGTCGCTTGGAAACTGAGTAACGTGATTTACCATCCATTTCACAACTTTAATATGACCCTTGCGAAAAGCAGCCATTAAACAGGACATCTGGATTCGGAAACGAAACACACATGCTTATGTATTAAGGTAAATGTCGACGAAGTGTTCGATAACGCGTCTGAACGAAAATAATTAATGTATTCGTTCAACGATTTATACGGTCTTTTGCATACTTTGACATTACATACTTTACGATTATCTTGGGAATCAATATCCGCCCCGGCATGGTACAGCAGATCAACAACGTTCAGGTGTCCACCGTTTGCCGCTAACCATAACGGGCTGTTTCCCTTTTTATTTTTCACCTCCACTTGTGTTCCTCTGCAACGCGTGTAAAGAATACATATCATGATTCTATGCGCAACATGATTAAAAAAAACCGTGAATAGGAACAGGAGAAAGGTTACTACTCGAGGTGAACAAACGAACAAAGTCTACCTGGACAGTAATAATTCTACGAAACGGCAGTGTCCTTTGTCGGCGGCGATGGTAAGAGCTGTATCGCGAGACGACGGAACGGGAGTGGCATTCACGTCTGCTCCTTTGGTGAGTAAGACACGTCCAACTTCGACATAACCTCCGCTCGCTGCTTCCATTAATGGTGTTAAACCAGTCTGCATAAAAAATAACACAAAATATTTACACATGCACGTACATGTACACTTTTACTTATTTATATTTATAAATAATTAACGAATACAAACATTCTATGTATCATTAAATCACTAAAATAATATCGTCGATACCTTAGCACGATGTTCTACATTGGCTTTACGGTCGAGAAGAAGACTAACTACCTCGTGTCTTCCTTGAAAACACGCCAATGTTAGCGCTGTATTACGATTAGTCTCGATTTGAGCATTTATATCGCTGCCCATATCCAGTAACAATTTCACCGCCGCTGTAATATGCCATAAAAGTTACGGTTTGTTTGATAATTCAATAGGAGAGAGCAAAGACGATTTACAGTGGACTCTGACTATATTGGGGGGTAGTTATAGTCCACTGTAATTGCAAACATATAAACGTACCAACATGACCGTTCATAGCGGCAAGCATTAGCGGAGATATTCCTAATTTTGAACCAGTCCTGGAATTAATTTCAGCCCCATGACTGAGAAGAAGCTTTATTATGTTAACGTAACCGCCGGATGCTGCGAGGCTCAACGGCGTATAGTCAGAAACGTTACGGTGCTCCTTGTTCGCGCACTGACTGAGCAAAAGCTCTACGACTTCGTATCTACCGCCACTACAAGCAAGAGATAAAGGTGTATCCTTGGTGCGTTCAGACTGAGCCTCTATGTCAGCCCCATTTTTTAAAAGTATCTCGACAACTTTATGGTGGCCGGCTGTCGCAGCCAATATAAGCGGAGTGAAACCTTTTTTGTCTCTATGTTCTGAAAGATGAAATGTGTAACCATTAACAACAGAACACAGTGTAATAAGCGGTACAATAAAATCGTATGTGTCGTTTGTTCGAAACGTTACCTATATCTGCACCACGACTCAACAAAAGTTCTGCCAGTTCTACGTGACCACCAGCACAAGCTAAAGTCAATGCTGTATCGTGATTGCTATCTGTCTCGGAATCCACATCCATACAGGAAAACGGCGCAGGTGGTACCTGGTTAGTCGTGTAACCGCCGACCGTTGGAACGCCTGTTGTGTACTGACCAGCAACTAAAATAGCACGTCGATAATAAAAATCAGTGTTCAATATGAATTTCACCCTCACCTGTCCCTCATTTTCCCAACTGAATTTGTTCCTCGGTGTATCAAATTGATTCAGTGGTAAAAATTAATACAATGAAGTTAAATTTGCAAATTCTTTAAAGTAAAAATGACGAAGCCTCAGCTAAATTTATCTACACATAACAGAATAACGTAATTTCTTAGGAGAAAACTGTGTCAAATTGACACAAGGGACGGATGAGGGTTAAAAAAAAAAAAAAAGACATTTTTACCTGTCGTTGGGTCTAACTGATAATTTTGACTGGGAAAATTGGGCGTTTGCTGTTGAGTATTGGCAGTTTGTTGTTGCTGGCATGATTGCTGTTGAGACAGAAGCGGATATCGTCCCTTCTTTCCTTTACCAGTTGCTGGAGCGGTATAAACTTGCTTTTTGTCCGAAGCAACGATAGTGGCTGCAGTTGTGGTGACTGGAGCTTGAGTTTGCGTAGCCACTTGAACTTGATTGGTATTGCAAGCTGTCGACTGTGTGTAACCATTCGTCTGATGGGGTATACTATCCATTATTCCAGTCGCTTCGGTTACAGTTGGCAGAGCTTGCGTGGGAAATGCTGAGGCAGAAACAACGAAACGTATGTATTCGCCGAAACGTAAAATTTGGAAAAGTTTACATTTGAAAATTAAGGATAAGGTAGATTGTCCCCATTACTGCCACTTTATTTATTTTACTTAATAAAAACGAAACGATAGGTGAAGAATTGGTGAAACTTACTTATTTGCGAGGATTGCAGTAGCAACTGCGGTTGAAAACGGCATCGTAAACCCTCGAGATATCCTTCTTGAAAATCTTTCAAGTCTTTAAACGGATGATTTTGCAGAGACTGCGTGCTGGTTAATTGAAGACCGGTCGATATGTCTGCTTGTATCTGAACGCCGGTGCTGGTTACTTGAAGCGAAGGCAAAGTTGGTAACGAAACCGAAGGTACCGATAACACAGAATTGGTGAAATATTCTTGGGACGAGTAAGGACTGCTCGTTTGTTGAATTGTTTGTGCAGTTTGTAATTGTTGCTGTTGCTGCTGTTGTTGTTGCTGCTGTTGCGGGTGTTGTGGATCTTTAGTAGTTGACACTTCTAACCTTTTCAGTTCAAGCTTCTCTTGATCCTCTGTTGCTGTTTAAACAGACAACATTTCAAGGTTAGTATCGTCGATGATCGGTGGGGGGAAATTTACAGGAGAATCTTATTAAAATAATTACCATCAACAGCCTCGTCCAAACTGATAGATCGAAAAATTTCGAAGGCGTCATCGAGGGGAATATGCGTGCCATCTTCTAATTTGATAACACTTTCACTGGTGCACAGTGCTTTTGCTTTTTGAGCAGCAGCGACAAAGGGGCAGGCACCGTCTCGATGGAGTCTTGCTAATTCGGGATCCGTCGGTTCCGTAAGATTCTGTTGAGTGGATTGCTGCGTGTGTAATTCGTACGGGTAAAGAAACATCATCACTTGTATCTGTACAATGCATATGCACTGTCAAAACGATTTTTAAAGTAATTACCTGATCGTGAAGATGATGGGTATGCGTAGAATGAAGGTGAGACATTAATTGAGTAGGCATGAGTATGTTGTTTCCATTCGCGGTAACACTTCCAGCATCTTGTTGAGGCTGTGACTGCTGTTGTTGGTGCGACTGTAACGATTGTTGTTGAGTTTGTGACTGCTGTGGCTGTTGTTGCTGTTGTTGTTGCTGTTGTACCTAATTTTGTGTATAATATTTACCTTTAGAATACACACACATGCGCTCAAACAAACATAGTAGTACTACAAAAATTCAAAGTTGAAGAAAACGTACCTGCACTTGATCAAGCTGCAATTGAAGCTGTTGATTTAATTGCTGCAGTTGATGCACCTGTTGCACTTGATAGGTATGTTGTCGTTGCTTCTGCTGGTATTGCTGCTGCAATCCAGCCATCAAAGTTGCTTGTTGTTGTTGCTGCTGCTGTTGATGTTGTTGTTGTTGTTGTTGTTGCTGCTGCTGTAATTTTCCTCCTATCACACTGGATGTAGCCTTCCGGATATTTTTACCCTCTTTCTTAGAAACGGGTTTTGCTTTCGGACGATCACTTATGGCGGTGTTTTGACTGACGTCGCTACTCGCGGTAATAGGTTGAGAAACAGTCATAACAGTAGGAGGCGTAGATATACTTGGAGGACTCGGCGTAGTCGTTGAAGATGTATTAGAGGTAACTAATGGAACGGACGACGTGACAGGTATCGTTGCGAGAGAGAGTGGATTTGTTGTAGGAAAAATTTCGGGAGGTAAAGATAAATGTGTTGTCTCTTGTCCAAGCCGTTTTCCTCGGAGAAAAGCGTTATAATATAGCGACATCGCCTGGCTGGTACCTTGATGAGTTAACGAATTCCCGGGCATACCAGTTGTATTGCAAACTAAACCTTTCGATTGAAAATATTACGGTTTAGTAAATGTTTTTCATTACCACGTACAGCAAAAAATTGATAAATCAAAGATTTGGCATACCTGGTGATAACGTATCTGGTTCACTGGGCTCTTCCAGCTGCGGCTGTTGTTGAGCTGAGACGGAGTTCCTTGAACCGGAGAATAAGTGGCCGGCACCCTTAATTTGAAGTTCTCTTTCTACCCTCTGAAACATTTTCAAAAATTTTAGCACCATAGTATGAATTGCATAAATTAATTGATCATAGAAAGACTTACCTGGATTTCTTCAAATATTTGTTGTCTATGTAGGTCCTGTTCCTGCCGAGTATTCTTCCTACTTTCCGAAACATTTAAACCTGGGGTTGGCGCTGGTGCTGGACTAAGGCTAATATTGGGTTCCGAAAGGTTGGTAAATCCTCCACTGCCTTTATCCAGAATATTAGTATCATCTTTAGTTGCGACGATCGCTTCTCCTGCGGGTTGAGAACGAACTTGTTGCGCCTCGGCTGATGTAAGACTCATATCAGGCATCATGGTTACTGATCGATTTTTTCTTAACAACGATTTCTGTGTATTATGTTTAGGTTGAAGATTTTGCGGTTGCGTTTGCTCAGCATTGTGTTGCTGCTGTTGCTGTTGATGTTGCGACGGTGTTGTGGATGCTTGTTGTTGATGAGGCACATGTTGTTGATGTGCTATATGCTGCTGCTGTTGTTGTTGTTGCTGCTGCTGTTGTTGTTGTTGTTGCTGCTGCTGTTGTTGTTGAGGAAGCAACATTGGCGCTGGTGCTGTATTATGTGGTGCGCTCATCATAATACTGTGAGGATAATCCAACAGAAGTTGAACTACGCTGGTATGTCCACCTTTTGCAGCTTCGATTAACATCGTCGAATTATCCTATGAAAAATATACAATCGAATTATATTCATAGGAACAATCTGATATCGACATTATTGAATTCATAATGAAATCGTACTTTTAGTTTATGAAACGGATTCGCAGATTGAGCAAGCAAAAGCTCGACAACCGTAAGATGACCGCCAGCGCAGGCCAAAGAAAGAGGAGTGTGATCGTTGTTTGTCGTTTGCCTATTAACATCTGCACGTTTCGATATAAGAAACTGAACCGTACAAAGATGACCAGCTCTACATGCTTTCATCAACGGCGTTCTGCCTCCTTCCGATTCGTGCTCCTATACGTGACAAGAAATAAAGACGGAAACATGAAAGGAGAAAAAGCCGTAAATATATCAGTTAGACCGTATTTCTTTGTAAGCAACTCCTTTGAGGTCGGTTATAAACAATCGAAGACATACTAAATCAGCACCAAACTGAAGTAGAAGATCCGCAACATCGGTATGGCCATTTTCACACGCGTATGTCAACGCCGTGTCTCCTGTTTGCGTTTGAGCATGAACATCAGCCGCGGATTCGAGTAAATAACGAACGAGTTCCAGGTGACCCTCTTGCGCGGCTTCCATCAAAGGAGTAGAAGCACCTAATTCAATATCAGCTCCTGCTTTAATTAGAAAGTCAGCGACTTCTAAAAAACCACCGCAACAAGCTAAAGTAAGTGCTGTTTCCTGCGTTTCCTCCGTTTGAGCATTGATATTCGCTCCTATGTCAAAACAAAGAATAAAGATCTTGTTCCATTGCTGGTTAAACAGTCATAACTAATAAAAATAATGCATTAACGCCTGCAATACCTTGACTTAGAAGTAACGCAACCATTTCTTCGTGACCTTCGCGTGCTGCTTCCATCAACGGAGTATAACCTTCGTCGTTTACTTCCTCGATATTAGCTCCTCTCTCGATCAAAAGCATCGCAAGATCAACGTGACCTCCGCAAGCAGCCAACGTTAACGGAGATTCAAAACTGTCTGTTGGCATATTCACCTGCGCGCCTGAGTCTAAGAGTAAACGAGCTACTTCTACATGACCATCCATTGATGCTTCCATAAGGGCAGTGTGCATTTCATCGGTCTTGTGCTCCTGCAAATTTGAATGTTTTAACTTTCTCTCGCGTGAAACATAACATTCCAGATGATATAGAATGAACGAAGTTTCAAGATACCTGATCTGCTCCAGCTTCTAATAAAAAGCGAACCATTTCTAAATGTCCTTTATAGCAAGCCAATGTTAGCGCGGATTCCTTAAATTCATTGGAATGAGTATTAATTCCAGCACCATGTTCCAATAAGATCTTAGCCACTGGAACATGCCCGGCACTGGCTGCTTCCATTAATGGTGTATGACCATTTTCATTGTGATCCTCTACATTGGCACCTGCTTCTAACAGTACTCGCACTACCTCTTCGTGACCACCTGCACAGCCATACATAAGGGCAGTGTTACCTGGAAAATTTGAAAATGTATTCTAAGCGTAAATATTATAACATACGATATTGTTGCCAGTATCGTATTATTTTTACAAATACCATTCTAACATGTCTCATACCTGAAGTAGATTGAGAATTAACATCACCTCCATGAGCGATAAGCAAGCTTACAATATCCATGTGCCCTGCACTGGCAGCTTCCATTAAAGGGGTACAATCCCCTTTTATACCACGGTCCTCCACATTTGCATTCATTGCCAAAAGTACCTGTTCGCAACACAAGTTACTCATGAAATAACACAATTTTGTGATCGCAACTATTGCAAAATACATTGGTTTTTTGCAATATTTATTGTAAGGTTTTTGAATACGGCAAAACGAAAGAGAAATAATGAAAAGAACATCAAAATCTCTATAAAAAAGAAAACATAGCAAAGTATGAACAGAATTCTAACCTGAGCAAGTTCGTAATAACCAGCTGAACAGGCGAGAGAGAGCAAACTCTCTCCCTCCTCTGTAGTCTCGTGAACACTGCGTCCTTCCGTTAATAACTTCCTGACAGTACCAACGTCTCCATCTGTGCATGCCTCTACGAGAGAGCGCTTTTCGTTTTGTGTGCGTGGATTATCGCTGCGCATTCGCGTTAATGCAGCTGCTGCTTCATCTAATGCACAAGAAACACTAGATGTTAAGCGACGGAGCACTTCGTGATCAGCCAAGTGCTTTCCATCGCCTGACGACGACAACTTGCCAATACCAGCTACTTCCAGTAAAGCTTCTAACTGTGCCTGAGTTTCAGGGTCCACGGATCTTTCTGGAACTTCGGGAGTCAATAAAAACTTGGAGGATTCTAAATGATGACCTTCGTCTAATTCAACCTGATCAATTGGAAAACACTCCACCTGAAAATAATGAAACACTTTCTTTAGCAAAATTACAGTTATACATATGTATGTGCAAGATTTATATGTAATCAAGATTACAGATTGATTAGTTCGATTTAATCTTGACAAAGAAAACATGTTTCTTGGTGCAACAAAGGATGATTTAATAAACAAGAAAGATAACACAGTGAATATACTACAAGAATGTAATATAGTACATTCTAATTATTCTTTATATTGCACTGTTGATAATATTGCATTACATTTACTCTTTTGTCACACTATTTCACAAAAATCCAAAATGTTGGTTTGTTTCAATGCAACGGAAAACCTTCGCACTTAGATAACATTAGTAGTGTACGTGCATAAGTAGACTACAGTATTATATTGAGAATGTTTGGAAACATTGTCTACAAACAAGCCAATCCTGTATTTGATTGGTATTTCATAGGAAATATGCAAAAGCATTATAAACATTGAATGAAGACTTGCTGAGTCATTTGTGTTCCTATACTATTAGATAACAAACACAAAAATCTGAAAGGTGATATTAAAATATTTGTAATGATGTATTTCGTAATAATTCCATGGGAAAGCTTTCTTCTATCTTTTTTTCAACCTTTTGCCACATTAAGGTTAATTGACACGATAAAGTCTCGTGAAAATATAAGTGAAACAATATTATTCGAAATTCGGCTAGAACACGGAAAATATTAATTGTGCATCGAAAAAGAGTCGAAAGAACAGAGATGAAATGAATGTTGTGCAGTACATGATTTGAGAAATATACGTTGGCACAAAGGGATTCTAATATGCGTTCAGGTGACGAGTGGCTCGTTGACTAATTTCTAAGAGTACTGTAAAGATGTTCACATAGTCCAAATCACCGTACGTACATTTCGCGTAGAGGTCATATCTGCTTGCGCGACGAGTGGAGACCGATGAGCCATAAACGTAAATCAGTAGTGTGGTGAAAGTATCTAGTATCTTCTTTAAACGACTGAAAACCGCTTGCCAGTGACTACAGAGGCATAAGAACAATGTGCAGCCATTCCAAGAAGGATGAAACTGACACTTCCTTGCTATACTCTGCGTGCGTATGTACAAGTTTTCGTTTGTTTTGTCGTAAATCCGATGCGACGAGAAATTGTCGCGTATCTTTCGCTCGCGTAGAAACGTCGTATCAATTAATACAATCGTTCGCACCGAAAAACAAAAAAACGGAAAAACCTCGCGACGAAAAACTACAGGTCCCGTGTAACCGCTGCTCGTAGAATATAGAATGATATGGTGGCTCTGCTCTCGACAATTTCCACGCCACGAACACGAGCAACACAGAGGAGCCGAGCAACCGGTAGAGGCAGTAGCAGGCAAGGGATAGAGCTGGAACAGCTCGTTGACAGTACTACAGAAAGAGCTAGTTGTGTTGGAATAAAGGTAGAAATAAACCTATCAACGTCTAGAGAAGGTAAGTAAAGACGACTGAACAAACTGCTCAGGCTCTCACGAACTCGGGGCACGAATACACGAGAAACACGGCCGACAAGAACTCCGCTGGGTGGCGCACAACGTAGTGCAAGCGGACGTAAAATACACGCGCAAATATCTATACAAACAAGAGGCACCACGTATCACACAGGCACGCGAGGATGTGCGCGACCAAATGTACTATATACGAGTTGAGTTACTAGCGCACGGGAAACTTACCTACACATATACACGCGTAAGTGCGTACGCTTGTGTACGTGTAACGAACGCGCGTGCGTATAGGTGCATAAATTCTCATTTCTATAAACATATACGTGTACCAGAGGCGTACACGTGCGTGCGCACGCGCTTGATTATGCAGTGCAGCTAACCGGAGTTCTTTACCCACCGCTAAAACGTGTTCAATCATAGGGTATACGAAGCTACGGACATGCGAAAAAAAAAGAAAAAAAAAAGTAGTACACGCATTGTTTCTGTATTATGCACAGTAAACAAATAATACTTTATCGTTCGATATTAAACGATACTGGTGATTCGATGGATGCATGTTGAAATTCGAAAACGTATAAGGGTCGAACGGAAACGAATTCTTATGTTCAGAGGGAACAGAACATTATTCCTTTATAAATGTACATTGTACACGCACTCGACGCTGACGTTTCATTAGCTATTAACGCATGGATTCCTATTATATAACCTGCGTAAATTCTTTTCTGGTTCCTCCTTTAGTCTTTTTTAGGACATCCATCTGCAATTTACCTTGTAACAAAGAGTTGTTTTTTCATGGTTATGTCACCAGGATTCCTCCAATCGCTGTCAAATTTCTGCATCACGTGAACGCGTAAATCGTTCGATTTTAATACGGTCAACGTACTTCCTTAACATTAGCCACGATTAAACTATGGCAAACGGTGTGACATCGTTTTCTGTCGATTTTTAAACATTTATCGAGTACCTCGTCACCAGTTTCTTTAACTTTCTTTTTCGTCCGTACAACATTATTGGATTCTTACGAAGACCGAAAGAATTCTGTTTAAATCTAACGAACGATTTGATAATTACGATGTGCCCATAACACAGCGTCGTATCTGATTCTCGTGTACATTACACTCTGCTACTCCGACTCTGTTTATTTCTGTTACGAAATACCAACAAACAGATTGCGAGGAAATAAGAAAATGTTGAACAAAATCAACATCGATTCGAGTAAATTTCATCGAAAGCTGATGCGAATGTGCCCATGCTCGTACCACATACACACACATATATATATTATTGTACACGCACGCTCATGTATTCAGAAACACAACGTCGTCGTCCGTCGTCGACGTCCATCCGTCCGTCCGTCCATCCGTCGTCCACATAGAAAGCAAGAAAGAATGAGCAAGGGATATGTATAAGAAAGAAGAAGAACGAACGGTTCGAGCAATCGGGTGGGAGTAAGAGGGCAGGCGGTGGTGACTGGACGGGACGGACGAATTCGTACGTGGTATGTACGTGTATGAGTGCGTGCATGCGTGCGTTGCGCGTGTATAGTGCGTATAGGTGCGTACATGCGTACGTTCAACCTCTTGTCGCATGAATATCCTTCTACACGACGTGGCATGCTCTTTTAACTTGATTTACCTCTGAAACACTGTCCTCCTCACTTTCCGACGAGTCTGCCATAAAGCGTGGCTGCAACTCGGAGAAGGTCTCGGTCTCTGACTTCGTGGGACTGGAGTTCGAAGACTGGGGAGTCGACGACGTCTTTCCAATGTCGTGGTGAACGCTTGCTGATTTCTCGTGTTTCAGACTATCCGAAGTCGTTCCTTGTGCTACATTCTGCATCTTTACCTTCCAGATGAATCATATGATACTAAGGTGTCGTTTCCGTGTCGCGAAACACACACAGAACACTTGCTTTTCGATAATAATCTCGAGCACGATCGCCGTCATTCACGTAAGCTAACACCCGCCATTTCTACTATGGCCGACACCGAGGCTCCCAGATGCCTCTTCGACCATCTATATGACTTCATATGATTCGACGAGCCATCTTTCCTTTCTCGAGGCGGGTAATTTTAAATGATACCTTTGTGCGATACGACTTCCTACTATGAATTGTGTCTAATCGACCTATCTTTCATTCCTTTCACCCTATCATTATCCTATTCAACGATTCTTTGCCTCCTATTATAATACTTTGAACGATTCTTTGACTTTACCTAGGGATACCCTCAGTTTACACAATAGAAACTTCGTTAATGAATAATATAATCATTGTCACTGTTCTTCTACGCGTATAAAATCCGACACTATGCGAACGAGTATTGTCATTTGGGGTTTTATTTATTTTTCTGTTCATGTACGAAAAACTATAGCCGAAATCGATTCAGTTCTCTATAATATGTAACGAATTTTTTTAAAGGATTTAAAACTTGAATAGAAAACGCTGTTTTCAATAAACGTGTTTCTTGTATAATGTTTTAACACCTATTTGTGGTCAGCTCATTACTTACTAATTAATTACAACTAACATTTATAACGTTCATTCAAGTATTTATTCAACAACAAATGAGTTTTCTTTTTTATAAAATTATAAAAATGATTCAATATTGATCTCTAGTACAGAACAAGGTATGTTTAAATCAAACTTTAAGATTACATCTGGATGTAGAACGCCCATTTTTCCGATTACTTTTCCATAACATAAAATTTTAGCGCAACGATGAGGTAAGAAAGTGGGATCTGAAATAGAGAAAAATCCTAAACGACGCACGAGTTACGGAAAAATGACATTCTCTCATGTGGCCGTTTTAATTTTCCTTTAGCAATTATTTTCTCTTCAGTGCTCACCATTAACAGCGCGAAGACGATACCCGTTGTCGTTTCCGTTAACGCTCCACGGTACTTCCAATACTTGTAACATTCTATCCAGTAAACCATGAATTATTTCAAAACCATCCGATTTATTGCAATATACAGCGCACAAATTTCGGTTATTGCGTGCGCCTACTTCCATCGTATTGTCTTTCAATACGACATCGGAAACTTCAAACAGCTTCTGAGGAAGCGGCATCTTTTTGTTAGCAGCCAGTGTTTTGAGTAACCCTGGCAGTAAAGTAGTACGTGCTACCTGCAATGTCGTCATTTACTGTGAAACACTGAATGAAATTTAATATTGACAGAAGCGATGTACCTGAAATTCCGATGTTTTTGGATTCAATATGTGTACCGCTGGTATACTCTCCAATTTATGACCCAATTTGTCCGATATATCTTCGCGAGAACACTATAGAACAGAAATAATTGAACGCCCTGGCGTCGTTGTATAAAATTATTAATGTAATAATTAAATGTGTTTCATACCAATGAGAAAGTCAATGCTTCTGTAAATCCAGCGCAAGCCAATTCCATACGTAATTGATCAGACAATTTATTAAGTGGGAACTAAAAATTTTAAATGAAGACCGAGAAAAAGATTGTATCCTTTGGGTCTTTTTATCTGCAATAAAATTAAAAGCTAACAATATTTAACCGTACCTCTTCGGCGACCGTTGACAAATGAGGTATAGTTTTTTTAATCCTGTTGTAACCATAAGCAATCGCGATATCTTCGAAAATATCGCATGCATGCATCACGTCATGCCTCGTAGGAGGCACTTCCACGATTAATTTTTTATCTTCTTTAATCGACGTTTTTAATGACATTTTGGAAAGTAGAGTAGCTACTTCTTCCGGAGTTTGTTCCACACCAATGTAATTTATTGCTTTTTCACAATCGATTTCTTGAATTCGATACTTTAAATCAGGATAACGAAATACTTGGTTATCAGGGTATACAACTTCCACAGTTTCCACTGTGTATTTCGTTTTACAGTATTGACTAAATGCACAAACAATAGTATCCAATACTATTCTTGCCTGTAAGTAGACGTAAGAGAATTTTATTTTAATTTTAGTTTTGAACATATTACACGATAAAAGAATCCTGTTTTACTTTTGTAAGGTCTGTTGCTGTACACTCTATCAACACATTTTTAGTGTTCAGCGTGATTTTCGAATGTTCTCCGTTGATGATAGGTGGGAGAGATAATATAATTCCATTGCTATCTTGCACTATAGGAAAAACTGGACTATCTTTTATGATGGGTAGATATTGTTTCAACTGTGCGTGATTCTAAAAACATTTTTCCATGCATTGTCTCCTCTTAGTAAAATACAGAAATAAGCTCATTAATGTTCTGGAATACGAACAGCGTATAAATTCATTATTCCTTCCCCTGTATACTCCCTCTCTTGATTGAGTGGTCTAAAGCGAATGTCTGATGGTGGTTTTGCGTCGTATAAAAACGGGCCTTCGATTGTATCCAGATCATGAGTACCAATCGACACCAGACTTCGTTTTCTTCCTATATTTTGATGCAACTTGTCTTGTAGATCGATAAAACTGTTATAAGAATCTTTGGTGAATCTAATATTGCGCAGAATAGCTGCTACAATATGTCCTCTGACTTTTAAACACTAAAATATAAGATTAGTGCAGAGATTTTACCAATGCATTACCATTTGCATTATAATTATATGTTCAATCCTCATATACCTTGCTTGTCATAACAATTCTTTGTACATCTGTATTTGGACATATGGCCATATATTGTGGTACATTTATCCTACATGAAAATAATGTTATAATAAAAATGTCAGTGTACCTCGTACTACACAACTAACATGTATTAACTATTTTCGATTATAAATGTAATAATATAATTTTGACACATGTCAATTAATAATGATCCTTCAAGTTTATTACTTTCAACTAGTTCTCGAGTCAAATATAGTTCAAACAATACTATTTTGCTTGAAAATTATAATCTTATTTAAACAATCTTAATTAAATAGAAATGACAATTATACATACACGTTTAGAAAAATGAGCAGACCAAGTGTTAAACCTTCTAAACATAATAAATCATATCTGTTTGCTGGTATGTCAATTTTATATATAATTTCCTCTGATGCTTTGGTATTGTCTTCCAAGCCCCTCTCCTTCATTATAATTTGCTTCTCTGTGGTCTAAAAGTAAAGAGCCAAACCATCTTATTTGCAACTATTGGAAGGTTTTATTTCTTTAAAAATGGTAACAAACGTAGTTAATTTAAGAGATTCATACCACTTCATCCAATTCTAAACCAAACTTGAAGCACAGATCTTGGAACTCATTGTCCGCTAAAATTACATCATCGACTAACATTATTTTACAAGCATTGCTTTACTAAAGTAATGCACTAAATAAAGTAAAATAAATTGGAACTTATGCAATTGTAAAATATATTCATAACTTACAATACGTTTTTCCAAGTGTCTTAAACAGTAAATCACGTTTAATATTAATCGTCGGCATTTTGTATATTATACACGCTATCACCCTATACAGAATAATATAAGAAATTCGTATGGAACAATGATGAATAACAGCAATTGGGGTTAGAATTACATTTGCGGCAATATATAAAAGAACTAAGGTTAGATTATTTTTATCTTTCAAATTTTAAATGGAATGCAAATGTAAAGGTAAGCACACGCCATTGAACCAAACACAGTGATAAATATGAGAAAAAGACTCGTGGCGTGATCTACGGCAAAATGTTCAAACTACTAATCAGAAATTTTTTACGAAGGAAAGTAGATAGCTCCATCCACCGACAGAACGATGGTTTTACTATGTAGTTAACTAATAATTTGGTTGTTTTATTATGGATGGTATCACAGATCTTTTGAATCAAACATTTTGACGTCGGAATAAGGAAAATTGGACGGAGAACATTATTAACGATGAAAAGAAACGCATTATTATTTTTACTACTATTATTATTAGTAGTTTTACTATTAAAGATAACTATTTCACTGTAATCTTATTAATAAATATAAGAGTAGAATATGATCCTTGAGCGTTAAGTTTTATTTTCCTAAACTGTGATATTATAACAAGGCTTTCTTTTTCGCTGTTCAATTTCACCATACAAGTAATATTGTATCTCTGAAGCGTATTATATCAATGATGAAAATCACAATTGAAAATATAGTAGAAAATATCTTGTTCATTGTATCAACGAACTGATCATACTAAAAGAAAAAGAACAGAGACAATTAAGTGATTCTGTATTGTTATATGACCATTCAAAAATGAACTATAACTTACCCATACAAATAATAGAAAAATGATAAAAGATAAAATGCAAGTTTAATCCATCCTTCTCGTTGGTGAGCTGTCAAAACTTGAGCATTCATTATACTAGTGGGATCATATAAACCTGGTTTAGACATAACTGGCCTGTGACAGTATTTCCATAAATGATAAGCAATTAATGGGATGTTGAGAATCAACGAAAACCATTCACCACTTATCAGAAATAATAAGTTGATCACAATGTGTAGAGTATACTCTGGAATAACTAGCTGAAATGTAAATACACAATGTCAAACTATTCTTCAAAGGGTATCATCATTGTAAATTGAAAATGTTTGGAATGACATAAAAACTTTTAGTCTCACCGGATTTAAACTGTTACATTGTTCGATCGGATTTTTGTACCCAGTCTTTAATTCATCGAATGTAATAACCTGAAAATATACAATAACTTTAGTGGAGTAACTGACAATGCGTATAAAACTCGAGGTTAGAAATAATTCGTGTGGATTGTTTATATACACGTTTCTGTCTAACTGTTTCTGTTTTCCAACAAAAACCACCATCGTCAGTCAGAAGTAACACGTACGTGAAATATTGCGAAAAATATTAAAAACGCATCTACGATTAACGCTACGATGTATGAAAAAGCGGCTAAACTGAACGCCATTATGACCATGCACAATACGATGATTGTCAAAGTCAAAGGGATTCATACGTGAAGCGGCTGTCTTATCCCGAATGAGTACACATGTGCTTGAGTAATTCATAATGAACGTCATAATCGTTAAATGAACAGTGAAAATCTAATTCTCTCGCGATCACAAGTGCATTGATGATTGACAGATATTTTTTTTCTTTATTATGCGAGAAAGACATAACGAAACATACCAGATAATTTCGTTTGATATTTGCAGTTTTTGCTGTTACAAATTTATTAATTTTAGAATTTTTGAACATGTTTTTTTTTATTTACGACTACATGTTTCGTTTCTGTCTTTGACCACCTGTGTTCATGGAAGAAGTATCTATGTATATAGAGAAAGAAGAATGTTACAAACAAAGGTGTAATGATGGTTTGAAAAAAAGTGAAAACAGTAATAATCATAAACAATGACAAATAGTACATAGAAAGAAGTAGTACAGATACAGTATATGCATTTGTACAAAATCGATGAATTGTATCAAAGATAAGATATGCACGATATATGCTATACTAAATAAAAGTCTTTCTGCAGGTACAGCATATTAACTATAATTTATTAGATTTGTACAATACTGTATCACAAATACGGGAAATATAATTTTTGAACAGATCTTATTAAAGCTTAAGCACCATATGTATGGTTCAGCTCTGTCTCTATCCTTGTTATCAATCGTTCCTCGTCCCTATCATTCCACTGGCTGTTATTACTTAAATGTAATTCTCTTTTAGGCCTTAACATATGCCTGACATTACCATAGTTTATATCCAGTTCTTTAAATGCATTTAATAGAAATATTGCAAGTATCACAGTAATAAAACCACATAAAGATCCTAAAATATCCTCTGTGCTCATATTTTCCCATTCTCTAAATAGTATAGCAGACGCAATTAGTACTAACGTTGTAAAAAATACATAATAAATTGGTGTCACTATAGTAGTATCAAATAGATCTAATGATCTATTTAAATAATTCATTTGTACACTGATACAAAGTATTACACTAAATAGAAAGACCCATGTCAACCAATTTGTGAATCCATTGTTATATCCACTAATGGTTTCTTTTAAAGCTAGCCCTAGTCCCTTGCAGCTCATAACGGTTAATGAACCGACAGACGAACATAAACAGATGTATACCATAATATTTTGATTTCCGTAAGCAGGACCAAAATAGAAAATTGTCAAAAGACTATACACTACAACAATTAAAATATAGATAATATATCCTGGATCTTTGACTTTATCTACTAGCTCGCTCAATGTACTGATTTCTTCTTCTTTTGGAGAATGAAGTACAAGCATTGTAGAACCTAAGATGCATAAAAGACAACCGATCTGAAAGGAAAATTTTTACGTATAACTTGTTCGAACAAATAGCATGTTACTTGGTATGTTACCTTCCCAAGTAAGTTGAGTTTTTCATTTAAATACTTTGATGCTAATATTGCAGATATTAAAACACTGAGCGCTCCTAATGGTGTAACCAATGAAGCAGGTGCAAAAGCATAAGCTGCGAAATTGGCTGCTTCTCCTATTCCCACTTCAATACGAGTATACAATTTTAGAAAGGGTATCTTTAGATATAGGTAATTGCGAAGAATAATAATTTTTTTGCTTACTTGAAAGCAGACCAGCCCACCATATCCATTCTTTCAGATATCCAAATCCTCCGGATGATGCTCGTAGAGCACCATACCTTTGAAGACGAATCAGTGCTTTCTTTTTTATAATAAAACTGGCTCCTAAATAAACGTAAATACATAGTAAAGTTATAATTGTAATTTATTAGTCTTGTATTACGGTGATAGTCGGTTCATTTATAAATGTTAAAAGTTTCTACTAACCTATAAAACCGCTGGAACTAATTGCTAGTCCTAAACCTATATAAAAATTTGTCGTATCATACACTTTTGTATCGACCATAATGCCTGTCGAACTACTCATTTTTGGATACCGATAATTCTCTGGATAACGTTTATTAATAAAGCTTAAAGTACAGCTTATTTTTCACAGATAAATAATGTTACACTTTCCATGTATTATTTTCATCATTATTTTATTACGCCACAAATTATCATGCTGATTTTTTTATACCGACTAATCTATAAAGTAAATTAATCATCGGAATTTTAACGTGTACACATTGTATTTTTTAACACGTTTATTTTTCCGTGAATCATTGTTCTCTTTCAGCTTTATAATAGGCAAGCTGTAGGCGCGTGCGTACACGTGCAATACGAGCGCTTCGTAGGCGACAGTCGCATTGCGACCATTCGAAACTTGAATGTTTACGCATGGTGCATGTACATGCTAGATCTGTACACATGGTGTACATGCGCGTGCAAATGTCACACCATATTTTTACATTTTTTATGCCTAACGACAAATGTAAAAGTTTTGTTTAATTCATACAACACATCTTTTACAATATACTCACAAAATGAATGTTTAATTCAATGTTATAAGTGAACATTTTACATTAATTTTCCGATAACAGTAACCGGTGGGATAACGAAACTATAATACATGCAATATAAAAATATAAAATAAATGTAATAATAATTCTTTCCTTTACCAACAGCTTTGCTTATCTGTAAGCAGTATCTTTAATATCTTCTGACAACTCAATCTCATAGTGTGCGTAGGAACTACAGATGCATATAATATACAAAGTATATGGTCTCTATGCTTAACTGCATGACATTTATGATATTCTGAACACAAATATATTTCTCTTGCACCAACAAATTCCCAACAGTCTTCTCTGTTTGTTTTATCTTCGGATACTGGAGACAATATAAAAGTTTCAACAGCTTGATGATAAAAAGTTCTTAATATATCTAATCTGTGAGATCCGCTGATTCTATTCTTAGCATACTGATCATTTTTGCAGAGCACAAATTTTTGCACCTTGTAGTTCACTAGAAGAAATCTAAACAAATATGTAAAATATGCATTAGTCATCTCAATTCAGGATATTTTCTTTGACAAAATTTTATATGCAGAACAATCTGAAATATTACCCAAGGGCTTCTGAATCCAAATTCATTGACACAGGTAAATTTCTTGGAAAACATTGTTCTGCGCTATGCAAAGTATCGATACTATTTTTCCAGCATTGTACAGCTAATCTTTCTATCTCCAATAATTCTGGATTTGGTCCACATAATGCTAATACCTCAACATGGTTAATCAAAGTAATTGACACTAGTCTGAAAGCCACCTGCATTGCATCTTCTATTAAATATGACACTGTGATTTATATTTTTTTGTTAAGTTAAAATTATACTTTCAATATGAAATATGATGTATAATTTATCAAATCTGTGCAATTTTTTACAGAAGTACTTACATTTGGACTTTTATAAGGTAAAAAAACTGGTATATCGCGTGTTGTACAAACACCTTCAACAGTGACAATTGTTACTAATAACTTCCTTTCAATGGGATTTAAACTCCACCATCCTTCTGTGGCAACAGCTAAGCAGCCATGTATTAAAACACAACCATATATGGAATCTAAACATTCCATGTAGCCTTCTAAACAAGTCTTAAATATATTATTATTTAATATACTAGATACTTTTTCTACTATAAAATATCAATTACCTGAAGTAAATTATTTTCAAGACACATAATGCATTCCGTCATGTTAATGATGTCTGTTTTTAATGACATTCCATCTCCTGCGTCAAGACACTGCAATAAATTATCGACAATCGGACTACACGAACGCATGTCTTTCTTAAGCTTTTCAATATTTTTAACATTTTTTAGTTCGTCAATGCCAATGAACAAAATCATCGCGCCGAAAACAGCATCCAAAAATTGATTCAAAATATACTTCGTAGTTCCACTCGCGATTACTATTAGAGTAACGCTTTCTTCAAATTCTTTCCACATGATGGTCGTATCTGATGAATCTGTATATAAAAGCTTTATATTTTGCGATTTAAGAAACATGTGAATACCATTTAAGGATGCTATTTTAGAAAATGTCATCTGCAAAAAGAAAAAAGAAAGTTGTAAACGATTCTTGTGTAAACTTTGATATTGCAAACTACCTATTATAGTCCCTTACCGCATCTCCTTCTCCTTTTCGTCGAGAAAACAATGGCATTCCACCGGAAGATGTTAAACACATAACATGAGCAACCATGATATATAGTAGTGTCCTATGCGTATCAAGTACTTATTAATACATAATTGTTTACTATTTTATTCTTGGAATAAGTAACGGGAACGTCAATTTCTAACCAAATTCGAATCAAACAGTGACTTCTGTTTCCTTCTTTCTACTTAAAGGTTCAAGCAGTTCAGGTAGCGCAAGAAGAAGCATTCGCGACACTGGTGGGTGAAAGGAGTATTAAATATTTCGCAAGTTTTTCGATGGCTGGTTTGTTTTCTTTTGTGTGTGTTTTTTAAAAATTTATTTCCATGAACCACCGAACTTTATAAAATGAAAATGTTTATATAAAACATAATGTTTTTCAATAAGTTTTAATATCATTAATGTGTAACACACACATACACACTTTCAAAAGATTTGTATTATCTCATTTTTTATTACGATTTATTTAATTTCATTAGTACATACGTGTGTATAATTTCCTACTTCTAGTAGTTATACATACAAAGAAAAGTATGTTGTCAAAACATAAATGCGAAAAAAATATTTGCTTGGGCAAAAAAATCGTTAAAGATAAAATCTGTATTAATCTTAATATTATACTTTCTATGTACTACGGAAACATAGATTTATTATAAAAGATTTTAACCTTTAATTACACATAAATATTGATCTGTTTTTTAGTTCTCTTGAATCTGATTTGACATTGAACCCCATACAATTGCAAGTAAATTGGATAACAATAAAGGGAATAGAGGGGTAACTTGGATAGTTTTGTGCTTACGACAAGACTGTCGACGTGTGTCACCCTTAACACTGAACTCGACTGAAAAATCACTTATTTGATCAGATTGCTGTAATGGTCAAAACGAGAAAAAACGCTAGCAATATTTTCCGAATAGAAAGTTATTTTTATGTTTATTTGCTACGTCATTTCATTCTTTTTCTTCTTCTTTATTTTCAAATTGTTTCAGCATGTCTGAATTATTACAATCATGAAATAAGTAACAACAAGGAATATTCAAGACGAGATTGTTAACAATAAGATGAAAGTTTAAATAAAATCGAACCTTGTTGAATGTTGGCTAGAAAATGCGAATAGTTTCATTGACAGTAGGATAGAAGCGATTAGTACAATGTTGATATCCATTTGGTATAAAGAGACAGCTGCAAATCGCCGAAGAAATGCTTGGTCGATCTGTCTTTCGAACGTACCTCTCTGAAAATTATAGCTCGCCTTTCTCAACGAATTAGAAATGTTATTCGTAAAAAGTATTACAATATCAATTACGAGGATCAATTTGTTTTTTCGCGCACGAGCTCTGTGTACACCGTAAATTACGAAAAAGAGTGTCAAGTCGGTGTAGGAATGTGGCACTTCAAAATGGCTGCCAGTTACTTTAGTAATTTACGGCTGTATCTTTCTTTGTTGTTGCTGATATAATTAAGTCTGTGTATTGAAATACCGTAAAATTGATTTTAAGGAGAAATAGTGAAGCAAAAGTTCTACGTACACGTTACCTTCGTCACATGGATTCTGTGGAAACGTGAAAATAGAATATGCTTTGAAGTCGTTCTCTCCCGATTGTTGCATCGTTCGAACTTATATGAAGACATTTCTTCGCCAATGATTTGCCGTTATTGGAGAAAGTGTGTTAACATAGCTTATTCTACAAACAAAAGCCATTCTGGATCGATCGGTTATATATCTAATGAATAGGTTAGATTACAGATCGATCTTAACATCATGCACAAAGATACAGAGGATCGTTTGTGAGAATACATACGAATCTATTTTAAACGATAAAAGAAGCTTCGAAATTATATATACATATACATATGCATATACATAGATCGTATACATGTGTCTCTGTGTGCACGCGCGCGAGTGCGTGCGTATGTATGTATAATAAATATATTCGTATGTGTATGCGCGCGCGTGCGCCTGTGTATATATATATTTATATATATACAGATGTATATATATGTATATATGTGCATAAAATGATGGGCAAACCAAAAGAATTTTGTGCAATAGCTGAAACCTCTAGTATAATTAACAATGCATTTTGGGGCCTGTAGCACACTCAAATCGATACAATTTTGAGACTGTATCCAATGACAAGAATTTGGATCGTATATAGTATTATGATTAGCAATGTTCAGTGGCATTAGTGGTACGAATCGATGCGTTTGTTGTGCATGGCATACCATACAACCGCCACAAAGACACTGCAAAAAGACTCATTAACGTCAAGCTGGTTCAGTAAGCATTCTATTCTAATATTTTGTTGATACTGCTATAGAAACATTCTCATGTCCACCATAATTTATTTGATACAAGGACAACATCATCTTTATATATATATATATATACAGCTATAGTTTTATATCTTTTTTTGGAAATAGTAACAGCTGTGAATGATTTTCTGGAAAGCATGATAGAAATGTATCATATAAGAGTGACAATGTTCTAAGAGTATAATGTAATATTATGTTTTAGATGTATGTATGTGCGCTTGTGTGTGTATATATATATATACATATATATGTCACAGCCGGATTAAAGCTAGGTCTCAGAGGGCCTAGCATGGGTCACTATGAATCCACCCGCAGTTAGTAAATCGAGCACACGTGGCTCTGGATACCATCAGAAGGCGTTAGCCGAGATTCGTAATTCATTGCTGCCTTTTGCAAATATCGGAGGGGCAAGCGAAGTGGGTTCCAGTGCTGCAAGTACTATATCTACATTATCCACCACCAGCGGCATTAGTTCTGCCTCTGGTCTTAGCGGTCTTTCCGGAGCGTCTGGTTCTACTATCGATAAATCCGATCAACGACAGTTATTGGCACAGTTGTTGACGATGGGTTATTCCGAGGTACGTGAGTTGTAAATTTAAATTTCATAAAAGAGATATCTCGATCGTTTCGTTGAATAGGGGGAATAATATTAATGGAACATACAAATTATGTCTGATCCACAGGAAATTGCAGTGCGAGCCCTGAAATTAGCCGGTTGGCGGTTAGATGCAGCTGTAGAATGTTTAAAACAAGCACAAGGAGAATCTCTGAACGGACTTGGTAAACTAAACACGAAGCTTATAAGGAAACCTAGTTTAGAAAGAGAATTGAGTTTACAACGTGGCAGCCCCGCATTGGACAGTGGTGCTGGAAGCTCACGTTCCGATAGCCCCCGTTTGACGGAGCTCAGTCCGCACCCGCAATTGAGTCGTCAGTATTCTCCGAGTAATTTCGTCGAACGAGAACCGCCGCCTCCGCCGCCCCCGAGATGCAGTTCTACACCTCCGCCGCCGCCACCCCCTCACGTTCCGTACAATCAACCGAACGTGCCATCCAATATGCAGCAAATGCTGAAACGTATGTCACCGGCGCCGGTGGTACCTACGCGACCACCTCCTACCACACCTGGTAATACCGGACCTATCTCGACGTCGGTCAATCTTCCTCAAAGGGGCACGAGTCCGGTGGCAAGTTCAAACAATAATTCGAACAGTCGTCAACCGATGATCGTTCAAAACGGGCCGCAAGTACAGCAGCAACTCTCCCAACAAATGCAGGCACTCAGTATATATCAAACGGGTAATAACAACTCTAATCCTCAAGTTGAACCACCACCTCCGTATCCTATAGTATCTTCTTCGTCGACCGGACCGGTACAACCGCCATCTTACAGTGTCTCTATACAAAACAGGCAGAGCCCCACGCAGTCACAGCAAGATTATCGAAAAAGTCCATCGTCCGGAATCTATTCCGGTCCTACGTCCGCTGGATCACCAAGCCCTATTACGGTATCCGCTATATCGCCGAGTACGCAGGCTTCTATGGCCAGACCGACTCCGTTACAGGCTTGGGGCGCGCGGCAGGCCAAGACGCAGCCGCCGATAATCATGCAGTCCGTGAAGAGTACACAGGTACAGAAACCCGTGTTGCAAACTGCGATCGCGCCGACCTCGCCGCAACCGATCTCCACCACTAGCAACACACCACCGCCTCCGCCGTCATACGCGTCGTCGATCCAACAAAAACAGCAACAACAACCGCAACAGCAACAACAACAACAACAGCAGCAACAGTCGCAACAGCAACAGCACCAGGTGGTGCAACAGCAGCAGCAACAAACCTCGCAACAGCCACCGCCACCTGCGTATCCACCGGTGAATAACGTTGGAACTACGTCCGGTAGCTCCATTAACGTTGGCGTCTCGGTGGGAGTACCGACCACAGAACCGCCAAGTTACGCGACGACGATGCAAGCGTTAGCGGCTCAACGAGGTATGCATCATCCGCTTCCACCGCCACCGTACGGCACACCGGCCACCGACGATCCCAGTGGAATGTCTACGATGGAGAACAGCACGACACTTCGGTCGTCCCCCGTTGCGCATCATCCTCCGTTACAAAGAAAATATTCACCGGCGGACAATTGTCAGCAGCATCCGATAGAAACCCCGTCTCTACCCGGTAGGGGTAACAATAACGGTACCAACAATAACGTCAACAACACCGGCGGTTGCAATAACAGCGGCAACAACAACAACAACTGCAACAGTAACAACAGTTGCAACAACAACAGCAGTAACATTGCAACCAGCACCGTCTGTACCAGTAGCACCACCGTCACCACAACGACCACCAGCACCGCAGCCGCGGCCAGCACTGCTGCAAACAGCAACATCAATAACAACAATAACCATCCGTCAGACAGCAACGGAGCAAAAGGAGGAGCAGGTAGCGGGGCGCCTTCGTCGTACAAGATCAAGCATCAGTCCCCGATACCGGAGCGCAAGCACATGAGCAAGGAGAAAGAGGAGGAACGAAGGGATTGTAAGGTTCGGAACTATTCACCGCAGGCGTTCAAATTCTTCATGGAACAGCATGTCGAGAACGTGCTCAAGTCCCATAAACAACGTTTGTATCGTCGGCTTCAGCTGGAGACCGAGATGGCGAAAATCGGTCTCAGCGCCGAGGCCCAGTGTCAAATGCGGAAAATGTTGTCGCAGAAGGAGTCAAATTACATACGATTGAAACGTGCGAAAATGGACAAATCGATGTTCACGAAAATCAAACCGATCGGCGTCGGCGCGTTCGGCGAGGTGACGCTGGTCCGGAAGCTCGACACCAATCAATTTTACGCGATGAAAACGTTAAGGAAAGCGGACGTCTTGAATCGGAACCAAGTGGCGCACGTTAAAGCCGAAAGGGATATATTAGCGGAGGCCGACAACGAATGGGTGGTGAAGCTTTATTATTCGTTTCAAGACAAGGACAACTTGTATTTCGTGATGGATTACATACCGGGCGGCGATCTGATGTCGTTGCTGATCAAGTTCGGTATATTCAAGGAACCATTGGCGCGATTCTATATTGCTGAGCTGACCTGCGCGGTGGAGAGTGTTCATAAGATGGGGTTTATTCACAGGGACATTAAACCGGACAATATATTGATCGATCGGGACGGTCATATAAAGCTGACCGATTTCGGACTGTGCACGGGTTTTCGCTGGACCCACAACTCCAAGTATTATCAACAGAACGGTAAGCATCGCAAGATCGCATCTTGGAAGATCTGTTAGGTTATCTTTGCTAAATATGCTCTATTGCTGTATGAGGCGTAAATTGTACCCTAACGAAATTAATTGTTTTTATTTCGTATAAAAGGGATCTGTCTGAATGTATGAGAAACGTGTGATACAGCGAATTCTTGATATATTGACGCAGCCGAGGCGTACGTGTACAGGTTTAGGGCCTGGCACGGCAATGTAGCAAGAGTCCAGTGTATTTTGATAGTTTTTCGAAATTCGGTTATACGTCCTGATCTGTACGGATATAGAATAATAATATTCATTCATCACGGGAACAGGTCACGGGAAACAAGACTCTATGGATCCCGCCGACGACTGGAACAACGAGTGTCGTTGCATACAGTTGAAACCGTTGGAACGTAGAAGGCACAGGGAACACCAGAGATGTTTGGCCCACTCGTTGGTCGGCACGCCGAACTACATCGCGCCTGAAGTGCTGCAAAGGACAGGGTATACGCAGTTGTGCGACTGGTGGAGTGTCGGTGTGATTTTGTACGAAATGTTGGTCGGTTCACCGCCGTTCCTTGCCAACACACCAGCCGAGACGCAATACAAGGTGAGCGCAGATATTTTTAACCTTTTTTAAAAGTTTTTGAGATACGTGGGACCCCCTTGGTTGAAAAGCAGGGGGAGCGTGGAATTTTTGTAATACAGCACAACAAAATACATAAATCTTCAAAAATTGAAATTTATTTTAAATAAGATTAAATACCTTTTAATCATAAGAAAATGGAAGGTACAGAACGGGGCCCTCCTGGAGTGTAGAGCCCGGGGCTACAGCACCCCTTGATCCGGTGTTGGATCGAATTGTGGGAAAACCTGATTTACGAAATGATTTTTCAGGTGATCAATTGGGAGACGACATTGCATATACCGAAACAGGCGAATCTGTCGGCGGAAGGGATGGATTTAATACTGAAGTTGTGCGTGGGGGCGGATCGTCGGCTGGGCAAGAACGCGGACGAGGTGAAAAGCCATCCGTTTTTCGGCAGTATCGATTTCGAGAAGGGTCTACGCCGTCAAGTGGCCCCGCACATACCGCGTATACAGTATCCGACCGACACGAGCAACTTCGATCCGGTGGATCCCGATAAATTACGTAACAGCGGTTCATCGGACTCGAACAAGTCGGACGAGCTGTTGGACAACGGTAAACCGTTTCACGGTTTCTTCGAGTTCACGTTCAGACGGTTCTTCGACGACGGTGGCGGTCCTGCGTATCCTAGTCGAATAAGCTTAGACGATAACGACAATCAAGGGCCCGTTTACGTGTGACACTAGTAGATCCCCCCTTGATGTTTCGCCTCGCGTGTCTCCAAGAGACGATGCTTTTAACATAATACATAACGAAACCGCGCGCGGTTTGTTCCGTGCTCGATCGTGACGTTTCATTTTATTTGTAAATATCGTTCGAACGGGATTTCGGTTCGAATATAATTTTGAATCGCGAGATATATATGTAGGTTGAAACGGCGGAAACCGTGTTGTGATGGTACCGTGGGAAATAGATTTTTAAATATTCGTGAGAATGGCCTTCGGTGAACACCACGTATACCGTACTATATAAAGGTTATTGCGCGACCGAAAAAGAACGAAATAACCCTCGCGATTGTTCCTTAGTTCTGATAATGTGTACGTCCGTGCGTTTTGTTCACTTCTATCTGTTCTCTACTTACTCTTCAATTTTCATTTCTGCTGTTACTCAAACCCTTCCCCTTCCCCGCATCTCCCCATTTCTTGATATCCTATCACCCCTGTCGTTTATTTCACGGTCGGTGATACATATGTATACACACACATTGGGATTACAGATTTACCGGAGAAGAAGTATTTTTTTCGGCATCGAATCGATTGAAAATCGACCGATGGGCAGGACAGAAATTACACGTAATCGCGAAATTCAAATTTATGGGCATTTATCCGTGCGTTTATGATGCAATTTCTACGATTTTATTGTTACAACGTGACGGCGGTGTAGCTTCAAGTTAAGATAGCTTTTCTTTTTTAAGTTCGCAATCTTTCATTGAAGATATACGATGATGTTTCGAAAACACACAGTTCCCCAATTCGTTGTTTTTTTTTTTTAACATACGAGACGTATATATAATCTCGAATACAAGTACATGAGCATAAATGGTCGATCGAGGGGAAAGAGACTAAATGATCGGATGGCCGGCCAATATTCTGTCGATGAAATGATTATTGTGCTTGCCATTCTCGTTGGAATTGGCTTACGTGCCTTTCGGAAACAGAAGTTTGTATGTTTCAGCAAGTACTGTGATATTGCAGATAATTAGAATAATATGTGGCTTTTAAATGTATTGACCTTATTTAAACTTCTTTTATTATTATACTCTTTTTTTTCTTCTTTTTTTTTTCCTTTTTTTTCCTTTTTACATTAAATGCTACTGCATATGATTAGTACTATATTATTAATTATTACTGTATAAATACTTGAATGGATGTAATGTGTTCATTGTATATTTTATGCAGCTTTTAATCGTCAACCTTTGTTTCTCTCTCTCTCTCTCTCTCTCTCTCTCTCTCTCTCTCTCTCTCTCTCTCTCTCTATCACTCACTCACTCACACACTCACGCATATACACACACACACAGACACACACTCTCTCTCTTCAAGATTTTGTACGTTTAAGACATGTTATCGATCTATTGTCGCGTCGTATACAGTCTGCGTTTTGTATATCACTTGCATCATTTAGAAAATCCGAAAAGACAAACGGGTTTAAAGAGATTAATTGCACAGAGAAATCGTTACTATAATTTGTCTGAAGAAAAGAAAACTGCGAATGACTAATGTAACAAACAATCGTTTTATTCAGACTTTCTGTTAAAAGAGTTTTTATCGTTTCGTAGACAGTTACTTCATGACCACTAAGGTTTTTCCATGGATGGTCGCAGCCAAAGGAATTAATAAAAATCTGTTGATCGTAACATTTACAATGGTGAATGTCGAAATTGACATGAACAGGCATGTAAGGTTGTACAAGACGAAACGGTAACACGATACACCGTCGTGTGTGTCATCCATATAATGGTACATTTGTAATATAAAACCCCCTTCTTTATCTTCCTCTTCTTCTTCATCTTCTGTTCTCCTTCCATTCGATCGACTAGTTTTATTTAAATTAGTTTCAATTCTGAACTAAACAAAATCGATCGCCTAATGGCTTTGTTAATCTTTATTCTTACGATTGAACGTATCGATTGTAGATCCACACATGTACAAATCTGTCCGTCTTTTTATTATCGTTCGTTTGTTCATATACTTTTAACCTGGATCACCAGCAATTTGTCGATAATTTGAAACAAAAATCAGAAATGTCCCGTTTTTCGTCTATGTTGCTATTGTAATTACCGTTTCGTCTTTTTCCATCGGTTTCATATACATAATTGCATAAGAGAGAGATACACACAGACACATACACACTGATGCATCGAAAAGAATTTTTGTCGCCCGACTATGATAAAAAATCATTTGCTCGTTACTCAACACAAGCATGACAACGTTCGAGCTTACCTCCAACTGCGATTCCTTCTGGCTGAACGTTGATAACCGAGCAACTCTTAGGACTCTTCGTTGTATCTATTCTTTGTCTAGCACGAAATAAATTACTTACTGGAAGAACAAGCGAGCAAATAATGAATACCAAAGGGATTCACACTTGTTATCGTAAAAAAATAACCCTTGTAATACTGTAATTGCTAATCTTATTCTTTGTATACATAATTTTGCATGTGTAATTTTAGTTGATAGATTGTGTGCGAGAGAATGGCACAAGAAGAATGGCTAATAGAAATTGTTGAGCTAGTTATCATTGTTATTTGTAACAGGGACGTCGGAATGAAAAACAAATCGATCGTGAAACGATACGAATATACACGTGAATCGTTGCTCCGCGGCCTTACATATCCACTTCTGGATCATTATGGGGTTTTCCAAGTGCTTCCTCCGAATCGATTTCAATTCGTTGGCGTATTAGTGAACAATTAAAATTGACCGATAATATTTTGTATTACAACGATCTGTACAGCGATACGAATAAGTGTTCCTTAACTCTCTGTTAACACGTTGCGTGCCTTTAAAATGACTTTCTGTACAGGGCAATAGGTTTCGAAAGAATGATGTACAAAAGTAGAGAAACCGTGCTTATTATAAGGCTGAAGACTTGGTACAAAAACAAAAATGGTACCATATTATATTATTTACGTTAAATAGCGCGTGTGTAGAATGATCGAAGCTTTTCGAATCTACGGAGAAAAAAAAATTACTCCTGTTGCTACGAAGTTTTTTCAAACGACAGGCAGACAACGTGTTAAACTCGATAATACTGATGATCGATTAGTCGATATCGCTCACCACCCGCGTACTGAAAATAAAATATTTTTATATCATGGAATATGCATGTACATAATAACGGTACTTTCAAAATATTATCCCCAAGAACAATTGTAAAGGTACATACGTCTCCTCCGTTGATTTTAAGTTCGCGCTAAATTATGCTCGGCTCGACACGACACGACTAATAAATTTTAACATCACCGCAAGCAAAAGTTCTTGCTTCGTTCGATTATTTTACAGAATATGTCTACTGCAATTGCAATTATAATATAGAGATCTGTTAATCTATACGCGAAAGGAAAGTGATTTTGAATTATATAGTTGTACATTTTGTAACATCTTTTTTTCTGCTTTTGTAATTACGTTATGAAAGCGAAAAAAGAAAGACGTATTCGTACTGTAAGGCAGTTTAATATATCAAATTTTGTATATACATTCAATAATTACTTTAAATTAAAATTACATCCAGTGCTTACGTGTTCAATATTATTATTTCGTACATTGTTAAGGGAATCAATTTTTTAATGTGCAAAAATAACATATTGCAATTACAATGAATATCGATTGAATAATATGTCTGTAAATATATTTTTTTTTAAGACTGCCAGTTGAAACAGCGAGATATTAACCCAGAAAAATCATTATGTAACGAATACTGAGTAATTTATATTACAAAAAATTGTCCCTCAATGTTAACAGATTTCAAATTGTCGCGCGCTTTATGACTGCTAACGGTTATCATACATATATATTTAGATATTGTCTAGCCTGCCTACCTGCTGCTGCTGAATCTATGCTCTGGTCAATGGAAAAGTGAACCTTCTTGCACGGTAAAATCCTGTTATTATATATTTAACCACGTTGTTATATATATTTTCAGGAACGTGGCGCGATATGATAGAGTATTCGCTGAAACAGATCACCCATTCATTTCGGTTACTCAAAATCGGTCTTCTACAAATTTCACTTGATGATTCTTATAATTTAAGAAGAAATAATTTTAGTAAAATATTTTATTATTCGAAAGTACAGGCATTTAATATGGTATTTTAATTGAAAGAATGAGTTTTATTGCGAATGGGTATATCGGGGTATATTCTTGTCCACCGCAAATTGACCAATGATGAAAGATTTATCAGATGTGATGTACCGCCGTTTTCTGTTGGTGAGATGGGGTCTATCCTTTAAATTGAACCGACAAAACATACGTATGCTCGATAGAAAAACATTTATCACGGTGAAAAAATCCCTAAAAGATGCAGGTGCACGGGCAAAAATTACATACCTCTTATTCAAAAATGATCCTTTTCAAACACTTCGATGCTTGAAATGAAACGTTTATTAAATATTTTTTATCCAATTGAGAAATGTTTGTCCTACTGATCATTTATGTTTATGTAACATAAGACCGTTACTTGTAGTTTCTTCTAATTCGCCTGCATATATTTCCCAATCGACCGCGTACCTTACTTTAAGGATAATCGATTCTTCGAAAAGGAAGACAAGAAGTAGACTAAATCTCTCAAAATGAATCGTGTTAGGAAAATTCTCTCAAGCAAAGAAACACGAGAGTATTTAATGAGGCAAGCCGTATAAGCCCATATTCATCACGTGTATATGCTCGTATTCACACGGTTTCGTTGATCACAGCGTACCGACACGTATTTTATTTCATTAAAAGTGGTTTGAACATATGAAAATCGTTGTTTTGTTTTAGCACACATTTTTGGGGACCTGTAGCTAACTGGGGTATTCCAATCGCTGCGATCGCCGATATACAAAGAGATCCACAATATATTAGTGGAAAAATGACACTTGGTTAGTGTGCCAATTTATTATTTTCTAATCTGAATGACAGCTTTTCGAAGGTCATTTTCTTAAATAAAATACGTCAGAATACGTAGTCTTGAAAGATATTCAAATAGCTGTCCGATTCGCATCTCTTTTTTTACAATTTATGTATACACTGTACATAGTAGGCAGTGTTCATAGAAGTGTTATTCTTTAGATGGTCTAACAGTCTGAACTTTTAATTAATTAAAGTATCCTTCAATCAAATAAAATTGCAATACTTGAGCTTTGAATCGGATATAAAATATAACAAATGTTCATTTCGGTATGATACCAAAGAAGTATACCAACAAATTATTATGTAATTACATATTTGTAAGCACATTGTTCCTTTTCTAAGTAGTCATACCAATTTTTTTTCAGCCTTATGCTTATATTCAGCAATGTTCATGCGATTTGCACTCAAGGTACAACCACGGAACTTACTCCTCTTTGCCTGCCATTTTGTTAATGAAGGTGCACAACTAACACAAGGCAGTAGATTTATAAAATATCATTTTCTACACAAAAAAGAGTAATGGCCCAAAACAAATATTTCCCATTCTTCACAGTACAAATGTTCCTGTAATCCTATGTCCAAGTTACCTTGCATAACGTATGTTACCGCAACCTACAAGTAGTCAGCGAACAATATTCGTTTAAAATATATAATATAAATATACATATGTACAATCTAAATACAACCTTAGTTACTATCCAACTGTATACTTTTATATTTTTCATATCGATTCGTTGAAACTCAAGTTTGAGGGTATTAATATTTCTGATATTAGTATATGTTTCTAATTTTGCAATGCTCAAGAAAAGTTGTGATTAAGGGAATTAACAGGAAACAGTTTTACATGTCTGTACATCAATATATTATCAAAATATAAAAAGTACAAAATGCGCTTAAAACAAACTGTAACAACAATATGTATGTTACAGCACCGACATCAATGACGACAATGTACGTTTACAAGAATTTTACAGTGATTTACTAAAATGAAATCAACTACGATTAAAAATGTTATGTAGAATTTCTGTATATACAGCACATCTGGTTTAAACTCGCATATCGTATTTTTAAATCATTTGCAATTAATAAAGTTCCTTATACTAAATTCGTCTGATGTGAAAGAAAAAAGCGATACTGATTCTTTTTCGCTAACTATCTTACAGGTAATTTTTTCAAGTGATAAAAAAAAATAGTTCAAGAGCATGAACTATTTGGTTCCCTCAATTTCTTTTCAAACTCGCGCGATAGGGCATGTTTAACGAAAAATCTGTATCCTTCTTAACGTTTACTCACCCCGAGTTTCAACGTAGTACTATAATCTTAAGAAATTAAACTTGACAATTCGTATGTACGTAAATTGGACGGATCCTACTGCTTCTAGTCTACCGTAAGCGTATCGAGCGGACGGAATTGTATTGTAATGATATATCTACTATAACGTACTCTGTAAATTGTATCGACCGCGATAACTTATTCTATTAACGCCTAACCAAATAATACAACATTGCCGTTGCAAGTAACAGTACCCAGCTAACATCGCTCGTCGACGCACCAGCTAGCCGGCATTTGAACATATCGTACCTATAAAACAGACAATTGACTTTCATTATTGACTAAATTAATCTGACAAACAGTTTTCGAATGAGCAACATTTTTACTAGGTAATGATTTTACTTGCCTTGTTTCTTGGTCGTTAACTAGATTACTAAATTCAGCTTCTACCAATTGACCATCATAATACGTGATCAAATCTTCAAATGGATATTCAAAACCTTGTTTGCATTCACATTTGTAGCCACCTGTTTCAAAACCTCTGCCAAGAATAGGTGTGCACTATGTATAGGCCAAAAAAAAAAAAAAAAGAATGAGTTTTTACAACTTTCCTTTCGCCAGGACGGTGCCATTAACGTAAAACCGAATCAGTTAAGCGAACACTAGTTTAGGCAAAACACAATATCTTACGTATGACGTTTTTTTGTCGCATTTGTGGGTACCCTTAAATGCATTTGGCGCGTAGAACACATCGTCGCATTGGTTAATGTCAAGCTGAAGCAGGTCCATAGTAACAGCCACAACGCCTCTGTAAGGATTTTAATATAAAATGCAATCTCGCTCCTCGTCTTTCTTCATAACGAAACTGGTTCTCTATCCCCGTAGACCATCTCGCAATTCGATTCCTCATGCACATACTACTACCCCGTTCAGTTGTCCGTGTAAATAGGGATACTTACTTGAATTCCAGTTTCTCTTTCAGACTGTCCCAACCGAAAAATGGGGATGCATAGGTAATTACCCATTTCTTCACTTTTCCGTTACAATCGAAATACGGAGTTGTCCAGTGACCGTGATTCAGGTTTGCTGCCCTGTACAGACGATACGTGTTCCCACACATTAAAATAAATCCTATTTGGGAAATAAATTTTCTCTTGCTTCCCAATCTCATGCACCAGATCTCTTTATACTTTACTCAAACTTTTGTACCTAAGCGGTAAATTCATCGCTTCGACATAATATTCGTATACAGAATTTACACCGACAGCAACGAAATCTTAATGTTGTTTACATTCTTACCTGTAAGAGTTTGGATAATGTTCGTATTTTTTCAAATATTCCCCAGTTTCATTGTATCGAATCTTTATTTTCATATAATACTTCTCCAACTCGTCAAAATTTGTCGCCCATCTTTGTTTCAATACTTGGAAGTAACTTTTTTTCGTATAGGCTTCGTCTGCAAGTATGTTCGACGTAAGAAATAAAGCATGTTAATAATAAACTCCAGCGTTTCACAATGATTCTTATACCTGTATCGTTAAGCCTCGCTAAATCTTCAACTTTGAATTTTCGTGTGTTTAGCTGAGTCTTATACGCATACGGAGCGAAAAATGTTCTATTCGTAAACTTGTTACGATCCCAAAATGTTCCGGCACCCCATATTTTCGTATCCCCAAGAACCAGAGCCAAAGTTTCTCCGATCATTTGATCCTCTGTGAGAGGTCTGTCGGCAACCCTTTTGCCCGAGTAAACTTCTTGAGGATCCGAAATTTGTAAAAACGCGCTAATGAAATTTGCTAATCGTGCCGCCATTTTTGCCTCGTTTTCAAAGAATTCTTTAACGCCAAAACCTATATCACCACGCAATGTTAACTCCTCTAGTGTGTAACTGTAAGCATACATAGTAAAATGCAATAATTTTCATGTTTTAAACTTTTATCTGTAAATGTCACCGAAAAAGGTCATCATTAGTTTAAACGTACGTTTTGCAAGTTCGTGAATTTATGCTCAAAATAAATTTAAGCGCTTGATCGATATTTGTTTTCGCGGATCTCAGAGCTTCTGGACCTGTGGAATAATTTCTATAATGGTAAAACTGTTCCAGATATTTTTCTCTAACGTGCGGTTTCGCTTTTTCCCATTGTACAGGCATCTTATGAATCCCTAAAAAAATTTAAATGCTGAGCCTTGTTACGCAGAAAGTTAGACCAGGTGATGTATTATAGCAAGAATATTAACAATGAATATCTTACATCCTATCTTAGTGCAATCAAATCCATTGTAGTACTGTTCTTGCGTCGCCCTTTCCACAATTTCTCCGAGATATGGACGACGTACTACAGTCGGTAGTCTAAAACCTGGTTTACATCTACATTGATATCCACCTCTACGAAAGCCCCAACCGTGTAATGGTTCACACTGCAAGTACAATACAAATTGAAATTGAGAAACTTCTTACAAAAGTAACAAGTACGATCTATCTTAATTTCTGCTGGGCCTAATACCTCGGTCGTTTCCGGTTTACATCTTGCGGTGTTCGTGAATCTGTTCGGTCCACTATTCCCTTTCCCTCTAGGACATTGATTTATATCTATTCTGTCGAAATCCATCTCTATTACAGATATAGCGGTATATCTAAAACAAAGCACGCCGTTTACGCTCAATGTAATGTTTATACGACTTGATATTTAAAAAACACTAATTGGGACAGTACGTTGGATATTCCACGTGTCTAAACCCTGTGTGCCTCGGATAGATATCTGCAACAGGTACAACAGCTGCAACCAGCCAACGATTTGACCTACCACAATCAAAATAAGGTCTTGTCCACTTTACAGGACCGGGATATTCGTCAGCACCTATATAGAATTGATAAAAATGATTAGACAATCTCTTTAATCTCAGCTCTCAAGCTGTGTTAACTTTGTCCTATTCCTTTCAACAAGTACCTGGTGGTCCGTGAAATGTGAATGTTTCATTGGTGTTATTAGAATACCGAATTTCAACTTGGTACGTGGTTTTGGTATCGTGTCTCTTCTCAACATTGTCCGGTAACCATTTTTTGAACCTAAATTTTTCCAACCAATGATATAAGAGGAATTGAATACTTCAAAGGTTTACTCATAGTTTGCTGGCCAAACCTTTTACTTACCATTCATTTATACGATAATAATCGGTTGTATAATCGTGACTTAGACTATCACTTGGAAAAGCTCCAAGATCTTGCACAGTGAATGTGTTTCTCGTAGATATTCTCTCCAAATGTATTGGATCGTTGAAATCGTCTGCTCTGAATGTTCTTGGAGCAAATCTGGGCATGGTTTTGTTAAAAAAACCCCTATAGGATGGGGAGTAGGACATGTTTGGAGAAAAATAGATAGCCGAAGCATTTATATACGGATTCGCGGAAACATCGGCAACAGTCGACAAGAAATAATACATCATGCCCGGATCGTACGTATCATTGATCGCTGGACGTATGAATCGTGACTGTAGAATGTAACTCCAGAAGAAAGATCGACTAAGTGCCATGTTATGAAGATGTAACAAAGCGGTTCTATTCGGGAACACAGGATTAATGTTGATATCTTTGATGTCGGGCAAATGAGAGACCGAGTCCTCTGGTAAATAAAGGTCTCCTAGATGCTGAATAGGACAATTCTCTTCGTTGAGTTTGTCCATTTTTAAACGAATTTCGTCGAATGCATCTCTGGGTTGCCATTCATACTGACCGACAACGCCCAAACAACAGAGGCACACGATCACCAGACAATACATCTTCGAGTCGAAGTATTCCATTTTTTGATAAAATTATTAGCTTCGTGTTGACATTATTGCGTTGGAACACCAGAATGGTAAAGTATTTGAAAACAGATCTTGGGACCCCTTCGAGACAACACGTTTGTTCAAATATCACACCGCACTAAATAGGCACACATCGGTAAACGAATAAACACACCCAATCCTCCTTTACATTCGTGCTGTTTCGTCATATATTCTACTACATGTTGCTTCGGCTGTGACGTCACCGATTCCATACCGAGTTAGATATAACTTTTTTCTAAAAATTGCATACACAACGCACATTCACATACGTTTCAAGTACACACGATGAGAAATTCGGCGATCTTTAAAACTTTCCAATGAAATGATAGTGAAATTAATATTTCTAATTCTTTGAATTGCCACAGAAATACTTTTTCCGTTGAAGGTTACTCCCGCCTAAACATTCATTCAAAAATCGAATCTTTCTTTATTTTTGCAGTGTATTTTGACTTTAATGTTAATTCATTTAATTAACACCGGTTTATTGATTAACACAATATATATTCAAATCGCAATTCAAATCCCATGTTTGAATGATCCACTAAATTGATCAATACGTAACTCCAATATCATTATCACTGTGCTTTGATTATAATTGCGTATTAAAATATGGAATACACCTATTTTCCCTTTCTTTAAAAGATGATGCAGTGGTCTTTGAACATGCATCTATACATTCTTCGACCAAAAAGATGAAATACAGTTGCGAAAATGATGCTTACGGCATTTTGCAAAAATGGACGAGAAAAAACTATAAAGTATAGGTTAGTATGGAGTAATATTTAAATATCTTTTATTATGGTAATTCACGTAGCGCCTTGGTCCAACGACCCCCATGTCCCTTCGGGATTTGACTCTCCCAAATGTATAAGTATTCCGCTTGCTGTGGCGTTATTGTCCCAATACAGGTTCACCCTTATTTATCTGCGAAAAAAAAGAGAATTTCTCATACCTAAACAAGTATTTCGACGAGACAACTTGCTGGGGGTCTACTCGTGCCTTAATGCGGCTGTTCATACATGTATGGTTCCTGAGAAAATTTCTCTGATGCATCGTTCACGGTTCGAGACACTTATAATGTTAACGTGGGAAATATTCTCCGAGAGAATCTTCATGTATTATCATCGAATACACTTTCTTCTATGACAAACTTTATGATAACTATAGAATATCGATGAGGAATCTCTTAAACATTACATTTGATATGTTGAAAGGAAAACGTCGATACGAAAAAATTGTAATTTTAAAATTGCAAATGCATAGAATACACCTCGAAAGAACGAGCGGCATACGGAGAAACGAGTAATCGTCTGGTCTTGGTGTTTATTTTTGATAATGTTGATCGAAATGAGAAGAACATGTAAAGTATTTTTCTACATTGAAATCTCAACCTCCCGCGACAATGGCTCCAGAGTCGAGTAAAAAGTGCATTGTATATAGAGAGTGCTGACAGCTAAGTAATGAGAGATAGAAAAGAGGGGGGAGTAAAAAATGAGAGAAAGACCAGACAGAAAGAGACAGAGAGGGTCCAGATCAGGATAGGCGAAAAGGAAAGGAGAGGATGAAATCGAACAAAGTGAGAAAGAGGAAGAAGAGGTTGGATAGTGGAGAAGCATGAAGGAAAGAAGGGGAAGAAAGAACTAAAGGAAGAGAAAGAGGAAGAAGGAAACAAACAATGCAACGGTCATATAAAATTTAATTAACCGTTATTCTATGATCGATTGATTTAGATAGCTTTTCTATATATGATTGCATTTAGATGGAATATTCGAAGTAATAAACATAATTGTTAAGAAAACTAAGAAGTTTCGAAGGAACAGGTTTCTGCGTGCGAGTATGCAAGCATTACCTTTCTCTGTTACTCCTTCATGTTCGAGGGAAGCGGGTGCGTGTTCAACCAGACAGGCGGTTTACGGTGGAATCAGGACCGTATCTTTGGGTCTGTACCCTGCTCTCCCGTAACTTGAATATCACCAACGAAATAGAGTAAGAATCAAAACGAAATAGCATAACGTTTTCCAAAACGCGTAAATGTTGATGTAGTCACAAAGTTGTCGAAATTGCAAAAGTATCCTGAAATCCATGCACAAATCTACCACATGGCATTTCCTCTCCTGACTGTTCTTTGACGTTAACGGGTTTCCTTTTTACGAATATACAAAATTCTGATGCAACAATTATGCAAATCGAACATCGTTCTAAACTACGAATACAGGGCTTTTTGAAAGATAACGAAACTGTAAAATACATTTGCCTATCTTACTTCTATGGTATAGTTGTATCTACGTGGAACAATGTACACAAAATGCTTATACGAATACGCGTGCATACATATCGTACGTATATAGCGTTATCGCAGGTATAACGTTATTCGCCAATTAATTGGTGCAACGAAAAACTGAACCTCGATATATTATCCAATATACAATCTTTCGACCCGATACATATGTATATACATGTTGAGTTGCAATAGCTCAACACTACCTACAGATTAGACGCGTTACGATTACACGATACGATTATGAAAGAATACTGCCAATCGTAAGCTATACTTGCATCTTTCTCCGATGTACGATTATTGTATATCGCGTTGTGGTTAGTTGCGGAGGAAATAAAGTACGAAGAAGAGACAAGAAGAATGGACGAGACAGATAGATAAGAAACGAGAGAAAGAGAAATAAATTTGTGAAAGAATCGGTAGAGAAGAAAAAAGAAAAGAAAAGAAAAGAATCGCGCAGAGATGATTGTTAAAAGAGGGCGAGCGAGAAAGCGAGAGCGGGGTAGGGGACCGGGGAATTGTTGCGACGAGTATGACTAAGGCGGGGCTCGCGTATACCGCGCGAAGAGAGGTAAGCGGTTGAATCGGATTGGATTGGGGCGCAACTAGCGAGCCAAGCGGACGTGGAAACTGGTTTGGTTTTGTGGGGCTTGCACCACTGCACCGCTCTTTCAGCGAGACAGTCCAATTTATGCATTACGGCTATGTAGGCACTACACGATATCAAAACGCTGCGCCCGGGCTTACTTCACTCACCATCGTCATCGTTGCAATATTATCAAAACTTTGCAAGTGCCTACAACATTAAATTCACGTCAGTACATCTTTGGTTATACGACACAGTGTTAATAAGTTTTTAGTTTTCTATTTTTACGCGCAATACGAAAACAGTGGTACGGAGTAAAACGCGAAAGTGAAACGAATTATACGCAACACGTTTGAATTTTCCGTTAAAATATCGGTGAATTTCATAATATGAATTTTATACCAGTTGGAGGATTGTGACCTTTTTGTGACGTATCTGGTGCTTCGTTCTACAAATTCAGTCAAAATTCGTACCGTACAGGCTGTTGATACCAATTTCGTGCAGGTACACCATTTTTATATATCTCATTTGATATTATCTTTATTTTCTTTCTAAACGACTCAATTCGAACACATTCTACCGTCCGTGCCGCGTGTGGTACTTGTACACCTACCTATATGCTCATTTATTTTTCACGGTGTCACTGTGTTTAGGAGGTTATGATTATTTCGTGCCGACACAGTCACTCATACAGACAGTCTGTCATCGTTCTTTTCACTTCTTTTTGTTCCTATTTATTTACTATAGCATACACAAGCAATACAAATCGAGTACCTTGCACATACAAGGTGCATTATGCGTGCACGTTATACGACATGGGACTTATTGCCAAAATGAAGCAGACTGTACTAGAGCTTCGTATGTGCATGCATACGATTATTTTCGTTGTAAAATTTCTCGGTCAGTGATATGTTACATTTCATTTGTACTTCATGTGTTAAAACGGGAGAATTTTCAAATACATACATGAGGAGAAGCAAATAAGAATTTCAACGAATCGGTGGAAAAAGAATTTTTTGTTTTCAAATTTATTTCTACTCTAGTTTAGGAACTTCGAAAATTCAATTTATAATCGAACGTATACGTGTTTTTCAGCACAAGTTGTATGTATCGGTTAAAATGCTAAAGACTGTAATAAGAAAAAACACGAAAGTTCGTTAAACGCGAAACCACATGTGTGCACGCGCGCGCGTGTCGAGTATGCGCCCGTTGCAAATATTTTCGAGGGAACGCTCTAAAATTGAATAGCTGTTTGAGGAATGAAGTATAAAAATAGGGAAACGCTTTAGAGAGAGGGAGCTATTGAAATTTGACCATGAGAAAATAGATGGATGCCTTGTATGCACTCTTTCGATTCGGATTCGAGATTCGTTATTTCGCACGAGTGCATACTGCACGATCAACTTTTTCTTCTGAGTTTTTGCACAAGCCAATCAGAATTCGTGAATGCGGCTCAAAAGAAAATGGCTAACTCGTGTCGCTGGGTTCGAGCGTATCTTTGCGCGTCGTTTTGTGAACCCCGTAGTCTGCAATCACGTTGACGTCTATCGCCATTTCCTCGCAGGAGGAGTCTGTTCATTTACTTTCCAAGGTATACAGAACTTTTTTCCCTTTGGAACTTCGAAATATTGTAGTCGACGTGCTTTTCTAACGATGCGTAATTAAAAACGAGTGTTAATTCATCGGTTAGGAGGGCATGTGTGGATGTTATCGCGAGTGCAAAAGTGCATCGTATTCCCGAAGAAATATGGATGCAATTTTATCGCCGGCCGGCAAACGATTCGCAAAAAATTACGATACTCCTTTTCGCAAGGCATATGTTGCTTAGGACATGGTTAAACGGATTATTTGAAGCATTTTTCTTGTAATAGAAAGACTATTGTATCTTTCAGTATTTGCCTAGATATGAATTTTTGTTTTTCAATTTTATTTCAAATCTAGTAGTACGTGTAATGTGACATCGATGAAAGATTTGCTTTTTTCTAAATTCCATTACATGCCAAAGGATACATAATACTTTTAGGACGGACATGACTTAAACGCGGGAAATTATACATTTAATGCGTTACGCGGTGCCGAAGGCAGATGGTGTTTAAACCGACTTTCGATGGAGTTCATTTCCTGTTTTTTCTGCACCCTATCCTCGAAATTTTTTTAATTGTTTTTTCATGTATCGTTCGTATTTTTCTGAGTTATCTATATCATTAGATATATCGGATTGTTTTCGTTGGTTTCGTATTGTGTCTCACGATACGTTTTTCCCCTCTATCGAAAAAATACATTTATTCAAAAGAGAGCAATATTAGGTGCATCGTTGAAGAAATAGCAAAGCTTTCATAGTTTTACCTTCCGCTTAATTTAGAGGGTAGTTGTTTTTAATTGCGTTCGCGTTTATTAAAAAATAATTGTCCCCTTTCGTATTTCGTATATTTGCAAATGGTGCGACATACGCGGTATCGAATCTTACCTTGAATTACAATTTTCAGTTTGTTTTAACGACCGAAACAAATACGTAATGTGTTTCTTTATATGGTATTTGAATAATCAAAGTTAATCGAAAAGTGTACGCAATTCCCTGGTACCTTACAACGTCGTGCGGAATTTTGGATGTCTTTTTTTTTTCAGCTATGGCAGAAGGAAATGGGGAAATAAAAATGGAAGAAAAGCAGTCCAAGGAGGAAATAGAATACATGGACAGAACAGAAGACTTTTCGAAATTAATCCTGTATGGTCTGGATGAAAAAGTAGCTGCGAAATTGGATGAAATTTACAAAACTGGAAAATTAGCACACGTAGACTTGGATGAAAGAGCATTAGATGCTCTGAAGGAATTTCCTGTTGACGGCGCGTTGAATGTACTCACTCAGTTTCTTGAGTCAAATTTAGAACATGTGTCTAACAAGTCTGCATACCTTTGCGGCGTAATGAAAACTTATAGGCAAAAGAGTAGAGCTGGTCAGGGTACTGGTACCGGTACCAGTACAACTCCCAAAGCTCCAGACGAAGATAAAATAAAGGTATGGTCTCTGTACATTACTTTCCACAGAGGGAAGATATTAACATTGAATTAAAATGTTTCAGTTGATTCTCGAGCGAACTGGTTATCCATTAGATGTAACAACAGGACAAAGAAAGTATGGAGGACCTCCTCCAAATTGGGAAGGTCCAACACCTGGAACTGGTTGCGAGGTAAGCAGTGTTATTAATGGACAATTTAATATTACAAAAGACTGCCAAAACGACAATGGTACCAATAATTTCGATAACAGCTGCAGAGTAGGTCGATGGGCGGCTATCGTCAGAATTTCAAACGAAATAATAAATAGTGATTTGGTCGCTGTGTCTCCTCTCGGTATTATTCGCGGTAATTTCGTTATATGAGGGAACCCTAAGGAATTTACGCGTGCACCTGCCTAAGTCACGTGTTCGCGGCAATTTGACCCCTCACGGAAGGTGAGGGACCGTAGACCGGTAAATCGAATATCAGATCGATGTCTAAAGAAGGCCACTAAAGAATTGAATAGGGGTGGTTTTGCCGCGCGAAAATTTGCGACGTACGAAAAAAATCCGTTATTAGTTTCGAATTGTTGCGTGCTCCGTTCACCAGAGGGCGGTCCGGGTCCTTCGATGTTACGCGCCAAGTTTCGATTTGGTTGACGGACAGGCAGAGGCAGCCAGTTTGATTGTCAGGTGTGAGATTTGTTTTGATTTTGCAGGTGTTCTGTGGAAAAATCCCAAAAGATATGTATGAAGACGAGTTAATTCCCTTGTTTGAGAAATGTGGAAAAATTTGGGATTTAAGACTAATGATGGATCCAATGGCGGGTTGCAACCGAGGATACGCATTTATCACATTTACTAACAGAGAAGCGGCCCAGCAAGCTGTCAGGGAGGTATGTAGATATTCCTCGACTACGTTTTTAATACATAGGTACATGTTTGTGAAGCGTATAAAAATTCTGATGCCCTACTTAATGATAATTTTGCTATGAACAAATCGATTCCCTTCACTTTTGTTCATACGACTTGTAAACACGTTACAAAATTGTTATTGCTACCAAAAATATGTGGTCTTTCGAAATGTTTAAATGTTCCGTATATAAGTAAGATTTCTTTTTTTTTTTTTTCGTCGTTCGCCACTTGTTTCCGTTTTGTAAGCTTACGTCCAGATCACTAATATTCGATTTTTTTTTTTTTTTTTGTTTTAAATTGTTTCTCGCAATCGTATCAAGTTACAAAATGAACAAAGATCGGGTTTCGCCATCCACCTGGTTGTGTGTCGGTATCGTTCTCTGATATGTACTTGATATGTACAACCGAACGAAGAGATCCAGTGAACGGGGTTTCTGTTATTTTTGAATATTCTGCTCTATTTTTATTTTTCATTTATCCTCTTTTTTATTTTGCATTAAACATTTCGAACGAAGATTTTTTATATTCCTATGTGGCTTGTTCTATATGTTAAGAGTTGCGTCTTCTCGCCTTTTTTTTTTCGTAATGATTTTTAACCGAGATGTCATTTTAGTATTGTTTCGCTAACGATGAAAGTAACGAAGAAAAAAAGAAAATGTCTAAAATTCAAATGCTTTAGTTCGGAACAATCCACATATTTGTTTCGTTAGCACATATGTCCCTGACCATCGATTCGTGTTTAAGTATATAATTACATCCAAAAACACGTCCCTCAAGATCATATAATACTGAAAAGGAGAAGACCTAGTTACATATACATACACACGTGTATATACATATGTGTGTATACATACTCTACCTACGCACCACGCACATTCACTACACGCATACGGAACGCACACAGAACGTACACACGCGCGCGCGTCAGCGCAACACATGACAGTCGACGGAAACTCACATGGAGAGAGGTAGTCAGTGGAGCGAACGGAGCCATAAACAAAGGTTCGCTTGAGATTTTGGCATTTCGTAGAAGCTCTATAATTAAACTATGAATATAATATATCAAAGCACATCACTGTCCTTGTAAATTGGTACCCTTTTAAACTAATACTTCTTAAATTTTTGAAATTTTTCAAGACAGCAGTCAGGGTGGGGTGTAGTTCTTCAGAACGTACCTCTGTTTATGAGCTCAGTCACTTTCTGCTTCTCTCTTTCGTACACCTACCGAGTACATATACACAGAGAGACATATACAGGCATGCACTTATACGGATATACATACACGTACACATGTATAGTTACATACAGACATTAATATATGATATCCTATGGATGAGTTTCTTTTTCCAGCTCTCCTCTTTGCTCAGTGGGCAAAATTGGGAGTGGAGAACCTTCTTGAACAATGACGATGAAATTCTAATAATAGTGACAGTAGTTAAAATCAACAAAAATAACGATTAATAATAATAATAGTAATAATAATAACGATGATGGCGATGATAACAAAGCAGTATTAATAGAGATCATAAGAACAAGAACAACAATAATAATGACAGTAATTTATAAAAAAAAAAAAATGAAAGAAACGAATTGAAAAACTCTAATAGATCGCGTGGTACAATTGGTTAGGGGTATATATACACCCGCAATTGGTCAATTTTCATTGGACACAGTGACAATTTTTGTAACAAAATTTTTTTGGGAAAATCGGTAGGCTTAAAAATTTGTTTACAGGAGAACACACGATCCGTGTACGCCGGTTTCCTATATTGTGAAGACTCGAGCGACAAAGCGCATGCCACTTTCTCGCTTTCCATTGGAAATATATCCACGTCATGTTGATCAATCTTTTTTTCTTTTGTTTCCACTAAATTGCACATTTCGAACGAAAAGAGAAAAAAAAAACAAAACAAAATTTATTTTTCGCCTAAATTTTTCATGTTTCTCGCAATTACGTACCAAAGAAAAAAAACAACCAAAAACAAAAAATCACAAAGTACCTCATTGGAACAATATTAGGCATGTGTCTGTTTTCTTCATCCCACAGCTCGATAATCACGAAATAAAACCCGGCAAGAATCTGAAAGTAAACATTAGCGTTCCTAATCTACGACTTTTCGTGGGGAACATACCAAAGTCAAAAGGCAAAGAGGAGATCTTGGAGGAATTTGGTAAATTATCAGGTAAAGTGAATTCGAGGCGTGTGTACCTACCTCTCTACCTATACCTACCTGTCTACCTGTATTGTAACTTAAGAGTGGTAGCTTTAAGTAGTGGTTGTAGATGGTATGGAATTATGGAGCATCCAAGAACAGTTTTTAAAAAAAAGAAATACCTATATATATATATATATAATTATTAATGAAACAACACGATGATCCGCGCGTGCAGATCGTGCGATCTACGATATATATTATTATATAATTATAACCTGTGGCACCTTCAGTTCTGGTCAGTCTCCTTGCCTCTCGGTTTATTAGTGAACAGTAACACCTCTCTGGTCCAAGTCTTCTTTTCCTCGCATAATTTAGGTTGAGTTATGAGTTTACATGCTTCCCGCTGTCATTCGTCGTTTAACCCTCCTCCCCTTCCACCCTGATCCTCCAACCCTTGTTTTTCATCACTTTCATTTAACCCCCACCACTGATTCCATTGTTGTCATCGTCACCGTTGCAGCCGCCGTCTTCATTGTTCCGTTCATAATATCACACCGCTTCGAGAGCAGTGACCATTCATCCATTTATAATCGATGAATGCCATCCCCCATATCTATCCCCAATTCGTTTCTCTTTCTCGTCTTCGTACATGCTCGTTATTATTACTATATAATAGCGTTCTCTCTCATCTCTCTAACCTCGGCTTGCCCGACTTGTGTTTCTTCCTTCGGGGGGACGCTCTCTACATACAGGCTGTCCCAAAGTGGGTGTAAGTAATTGAAATGGGTGATTCCTAGGGTGATTTGTAACAAGTTTTTGCCGAGGAAATAGTGGTTTCAAATCACCCTAGGTATCACCTTTCAAGGACTTACACCTATTTTGGGACACTCTGTATGTATACAAGGGTGTCCCGAAAAACTGGGACAATCCTCACCATGGATATTCCTCATGCAAATACAAATTGAAAAGTCCTTTACCGTTTTGTAATCTGACGCTCCATTTCTGAGATATTAGCGGTTAAACGAACTCCAATCAGCTGAGCGGTGGGCTAGTAGCCATTCATACGCGCAGTTACAGTCGACCAGCAGAGACCGCTCAGCTGATTAGGGTTCCGTTAACCGCTAATATCTCGAAAACGGAGCTTCAGATTACAAAACGGTAAAGGACTTTTTGATTTTAATTTGCATGAGAAATATGCATATCGTGTATTGACCCGTCTTTCTGGGACACCCTGCATATGTATATATGTAATGTATGGAAAACAAAAACGCGCGGTTGTCGTTGTTTCGCGTGTGGTTACGATCGGATCGTGTCCGCTGGCGTGGCGGCAAGAGACAACGAAAGAACACGCGGACGATTCATGACCAGGCCTCGAGCATGGGGGTATGGGAGATTTGCGTGGACCGCTGGGGCGTTTGGCTCGCTAACAAACGGACAGGCACTCCCATCCACCTATCCAAAAATGATATATCCACACTTTCACGCGAATCGTCCATATTTACTATTCAATGATCCGCAACAAAAAAAAAAATGATTCCTGTATCCGTCCCCCGTTTATCCTGCGACAACCCCTGCCCGTTCAGTGTCCTCTCTCACACATACACACACACGATCTCCTTAAGTTGCTCATCAATCAAAAACAAGAAAAAAAAGAGAACCGTAATACGCAGTTTTTTTTAGTTCTTTCTTTTCCTCCTGGTGTTTGCCTCCGCGATTCACTTTCCACGATATATAAATTGTGCATATATTATATATCACGATCCTCGGTGAACTCGCTTCCCCCGACCACCACCCCCCCACCGAAAAACCGTTAATCACGATACGATGTTCAAATTTTGTTCCCTGAAAAGAAATAAAACGAAAAGAGTATCAAGTCGCTTCACGAAACCAAAAATTAAATAAAAATAAGACAAAAACAAAAAAATATAAAACAATCCCACGTTCAGACAGCCAATAAGCAGGTGAAATTGTAAAAGGCAAGCTTAATTGGCACTCTCCTTCCACATTATTCTTACAGCTGAATGATTATGAGATTCGGCAAGGGAAAAAGATTGGTGTTACCGTATCTTATAACAATCACCGCTTGTTTGTGGGAAATATTCCAAAGAATCGAGACCGAGATGACTTGTTCGAAGAATTTACAAAACACGCACGTAAGTTGACAATTGTCCTTAAATCAGCAAAGCAGTAAATCCAAAATACGAAAAACCAAAAAAAAAAAAAAAAAAAAAAAAAAAAAAAAAAAAAAAACCAAAAAAAAAAAAAAAAACAAAAAACAAAATAAGAAACAAAACAGGAAGTTCTGTGGGGAAAGATGGCGGGGATGAAAACGAAGAAAAAAATGACACGAAAAAAAAAGAACAACTTATTGTCTCTTGAAAAACGATCGACTGCTCTTCTTTCTTTTTGCCCCATTTTCCGCGAGATCAGAGCTGTCTTAGGTGGGTTGATTTTAGCCCCCCTCGCATATACATATACATATATATCCGTTTACGAAATCAGGCGAATATTTTCCGTTCGATCAGTTTCGTTTCGTTTCGATTCGATGAGTACTATCCGCGGTCGGACGAAGACGAAAACATATCAAAAAACGCGCAATCTTCTTTCGTAACAACGGGGGTTTCGCGCACGCGTGGCTTTTCCCTTGGTGAAATACGGTTTTTGAAAATTTTTCCACCAAAATTATTTACATTCTTGTTCCGTTGTTTCGAATTTTTTTTGTTAATTATTTTCTTTTTCTTTAATTTTTTTTTTTTTTTTTTTTTTTTTTTTTTTTTTTTTTTGTACGAAACACGTATCACACGAGAATCGAGGAAAAAGTCGCAACGATGCCGATACCAGACAACAGTGTCCCAAAATCGAATAAAATCGATCGTATTCTGATGTTTCACTTCGAAACGTAGCTTGTGTTTGCATTCGGCTGAGGCGATTCCGCGAATTAGGCAAATATAGAAATTTAATCAAAATTATAGAAAAAAAAAAACAAAAAAGGGAAGAGTATTTGTTTCATTTTATTTCAATGTTGATCTATAGTCGAATCCCGGATTTTGGGACGCGTGTTAAAAAAAACTGCAAATCCGGTCGTGAAGGCTGATAAACCGAAAAATTGCGAGAGCATCTATGATAGAGATAACAGGTTAAACGCGAAGCTTTTCCTATTAAATCGAACCAGAAATTTAGCATACGTGTACATGTAACCTCGTGTAAATCGCTTTAAGGCATCGATCGGCGGTCGAATTATGCTTGCGAAAAAAGAAGTCTCTTAATCCTCTTTTTTTTTTTCTTTTTTATATGTATATTTATTGCGAACGTTATCACGTTTTCACATTTTCAGATAAACGCACACACACTTGTTGGTCGACGAGTGGGTCGGTGTATTCGAACGGATCGAAAAGAATTGCGTTTCTCGACTTGTCCGCATTTTTTTTTTTTTGTTCTTTTACCTTTGTGTGATGATACAATATATAATCGTGTGAGAGCGTGTTTATCGGTGCGTGTGTGACGGCGCGTACGTTTACGTGTGTGTTTGTATCTCGCATTCTCGCATGCCACAATCAAAGTCTGGACACAGAGAGGAGAGGAGAGGAGATACAGGAACGATTAAAGAAATTTCAAATAGAACCACGTTTTTTGCTCGGAATTCACGAGGCAGAACACGCTGTTACGGTCGAATTTCGATGATTTGATCGATGAAAGCTCGTAGATACGAAGGCAACGACGACAAGACATCCGATTTGTGAGGGGAGACGTGATTCCACTAGATTCGACTCGACTTCACTCGAATTCCCTTTGGACTTTCAACTTCCATTTGGACTCTCGAATTCCCTTGGACTCGACTACACTCGATTTGATTTCCCTTGACTTGAATTCCTTTGATTCGACTTCCCTTTACTCGAATTGCTTTTACTCAAATTCCTTGGACTTGAATTCCCTTTGGGCTCCATTTCCCCTTGGACTCAATTTCTCTTGACTCGACGTGACTCGACGTGACTCGACGTGAGATCCAACGAGACAATTGCGTCGGATGGCCTGTCGTCCGTGCGTTAACTCACACGTATACGTATACTCGGCTTTTAAACTGAGAGGAAGGAGAGGAGAACTTATACTTTTATAATAGTAAACAGGGGTGGAATGGGCGAAAGGACTGATTAACGCCTTTAAAGTCGAACAACCATTCGCGCGTGTTCAACTTACTATATTATACTTATAAGAGGGGTGGGGCTTCTCTCGTTCGGGGGAAAAAAAAACGAGAATCTGCTTGTGAATCTCGCACACGCCCCTTGCTCTGGTGATCGAGAGAGAGAGAGAGGGGGGGGGGGAAGAGTTGGAACGGTAATTTTTAGACGGTTTTCTGGGCGGCGCTATCGCGTTTGATCTCGCGTGACTTCCCCGATTCTGCTGTAATGCATGCGAAATTCTAATAGCATGGCAACTGTTTTTTACATTCACAGAGATATTCTTCTTATTCTATTCCTATTATATCGTAACACCGATATATCTCCGATACTTGGATTCTTTGACGAACAAAGAAAAGAAAAAAGAAAAGTACAAAAAACACCGATTTCGAACGCTTTCGACAGTATTCGAATTGAAACGAACCCCCACACGTTCCTCGACACGATTGAGGTTGTGTGTTGGAGCGTCTGTTTTTTTTTTCATTCGTGCCATCAACTCGACAAATCTTTCTCTTCTCCGTATTTTGTTAATTATCTTCAACACATTTTCACACACATATACATATACATATATATACACACACACGCACACACACACGCACACACACACTCCGAACACACCGTTACTGGTGTGGTAGAACGTTCCACGCGAGGCACACACAGTTCAGTCGTTCTGATGTTTCTATATTCCATTTTTTCTCCCCTATTCTTCTTTTGTTTTCTCTCTTTAGTTTATACTCGACAGAAAGCTATCCGAACATATATATATATATATATATATGCCAGTACGAATACATTCCCCGATCACGATAATACCATATTGTAAACCGGAATTTACAAAGAATCACACCTTTTGCGCGGGAGTATGACAGTTCTGCGTGTATATGCGTGTGTCTCTCGATGGGCTTGAGCGTGTGTGTCAGAGATATGCGATATTAGTTCCAATATAAAAGTATTGAGAAATTATTTTATTTAAATTGAGATCTAAAGTATCGAAATTAAAACAAATAATTTACTTTTCAAATGATACTTAGTATTAGAAAATGTACATAAAAAAAAAACTTTTAAATTCCAATCTTCTGAAGACAAACAGGTTAGAAATAATCATTGTTGAACGTGTTGGACTGATTTGTCGCAATTATTCGTTGTATTTATTCTTTCTCCAAGCAGCTTTCTTTTTTGACAAAAATCATCGATACCTGTAATTATCGATTTATTAAAATATCGTTTAAAAAATACCGATATATCAATCGGTAAATAGCGATATATCGATGGGCAAATAGCGGTATATCGATGGGCAAATATCGATATACAAAGTTACTCGATAAATATTGTCCATCACCAGTGTGAAAACAGTGTGCATGCCTCCCGTCGTGTGCGTGTGTGTGTATGATAACGGGGCGATATGCGGTTGTGTATGTGTTGGGTTTCGCTTGACTCTCTCAATAACCGTACATATATATATATATAATTTGAGCACTTTTTTTTTGTCACGCAACGAAACCCCGAGTAGCGGTGAACGCGCGTGTATGTAAACAATCTTTTCCAAAATTCCAATCGAACACCATCTCTCGTTTTTTTTTACGTGCGTGCGCGCGAAACTTTCGGGAAGAAGAGAAGCAAAAAAACACCGAATCAAAAATCATGTTTGCCCGGGAGTGTAGCCAGTTTTTCACAACTTTGGAAGCACAGTTTTTGAAACGGTAATCGACGGAGTTGGGAGGGGGGGGGAGGTTTTCAGATAATTTTCGTTCGTGTTCTGTGTGTCGCGTAGTTTTGATCTCTGGGTACCGTATTTTGTGTATGGGGGTTTAGAAAGGGAATGCTTTTTGTTTTCTTCAGGTAAAGGCGATCCCATTCTATCTTTAACGCAGAAACGCACAATGAATGGGATTTCGTGTTCTTTGCTATTGTATGATATATATCGTTTATTGTGTTCCTTGTCGAGTTGGCGTTTCTTTTTTTTCCCACTTGTTTTCAACCGGCGGGACGAGTGTCACTCGATTAATAGTGTTTCGCTGTTTCTCTGTTTTTTTCACGCGGTGTAGTCGGCAAATATTGTCGAATTCGGATGATTTGAAAATTTTTATCGGCGGTTCATTTTTCTTATATATATATTCTATCTCTCTGCCTCTGTCTCTCTGTTTGTCTTTGTTTCTCTATCTCTTTGCTCTCTCTCTGTCACTTTTTAAATCCTTTTCTTTATTCCTGATATTGTTTTTTTGCAATTTCTGTCTTCCGGTTTTTTTTATTCTGTAATTTCTTCTCTTCTGCTCTTATGATTTCCACTTTTTCGTTCTGTTTCTCTCTCTCTCTCTCTCTCTCTCTCTCTCTCTTCCACTTTCTCCTTTATTCTTTAGTTTCAATTCTTCAAGTGTCTCTCGGTAACGCCGACCAAATATATATATGTATGATTGCGTATACAGTTCAATCCATTTTTACAGACTTCTTTACCACGGATCGAAGGGAAGCGAGAATTCGATAACCAAACACGGCCGTGTAATTAAATCTATATCGAATTTGCGCGCGAGAGGATTTGTTGTTTTCCATTCGCATCCGTTTGAGATAATCACGCAGAGCGCGCGGGCGATTGCTTCCATTTATTCTGTACATTTTTTTTTGTCGGCGATGTTTGTTTTTATTTTCTTTCTTTTATTATTGTTTTTTCTATTTTTACATTTTTATTTTATTTTTTTACTATTTTTTTTTTCAATTTGGTTCCTTTAACCGTAGAATGTAAATACTCGTTAAAAAAAAATTAAAACGCGCTGGGACGCTCCTGGATGAAAATCGATTGATCCTGTTTTTTGTATAATTTTTCGTCGTACAGCTGGCCTGACCGAAGTGATTATCTACAGTTCACCGGACGATAAGAAGAAAAATAGGGGTTTTTGCTTCTTAGAATACGAATCTCACAAAGCAGCTTCCTTAGCGAAACGAAGGCTGAGCACCGGTCGGCTCAAGGTGTGGAGCTGCGACATTATAGTCGATTGGGCTGACCCGCAGGAGGAGCCCGACGAGCAAACGATGTCGAAGGTTAGAACAAAGAACATGCTTTTCTCCCCCTCCAAGGAAATAAATCGACTAAAGACGTTATTGCGTTAGATGTATACGATTTTCACTTATCGAGCTCTGTATTTCAGGTGCGCGTATTGTACGTAAAGAACCTAACGCAAGATTGCTCGGAGGAAAAACTGAAGGAGTGTTTCGAACAGTACGGCAACATCGAGAGAGTGAAAAAGATCAAGGACTACGCCTTCGTGCATTTCGAGGAACGAGACAACGCCGTTAAAGTAAGAAATATGTGGAGTATAAGGGATATGTGACAGGATATGCGGTGGTATATACTGCCTAGCCGAGCTAATAGTGATTTTGATACAGTTATATATGCATCTACCGCATATACTTCCCTCTTTCTCGAGCCGCTTCCCACCCGACAGTTCGTTCTCCACTTAGTATGTAGCTCAATGGTATTAAGACGCATATTTTTTCATCGTACAGCCCTCAACGAAGCTCTAGCCCCTAATCTGTACCCTAATTGTTGTTTAATTTAACTTCCGACCGATTTTACTGTATGTTCCATCGTGTATACATTGTTGATCGTTCCAGGCGATGAACGAGTTGAACGGCAAGGAGATCGGTGGCTCCCATATAGAGGTATCCCTCGCGAAACCGCCGTCCGACAAGAAGAAGAAAGAAGAGATGCTACGTGCCAGGGAACGAAGAATGATGCAAATGATGCAAGTTCGGAGCGGGTGAGTTGTGTTTACCGATTACCATTCGAATTGAAATACATTCCATGGTGACCGGAAACCCGGTCGAAGTAGCGAAGCATCGCATCCCTGGTAATCGACACGTCTGCGAAAAGTATATTACGTTTGTTACACGAGGTAATTGTTTGATTCAGTGGCTCTCCGTCGCATCCGAGCATGATGGGAGGACCGATGCAAGTACGCGGACCTGGCCAAGGTCCTCGCGGAACTGGCGCAGGTATGCGAGGACAAATGGGACGTGGCGATTACGGTAAGTACTACCGATTAAGCTGTTCGTTGTTCGTCGTCGCGATTTCTTCACATTTTCCCGTAACCGAGAGTACAAAAGCATTTTGTTTTCGCACTTGGTCGCCCAGTTTAACAAAAACGCTTCCGTACAGAGCGCAACACACAGTGTTTATAATCTTTCTTATCGAACGGAGCGATGTTATTTTCTCATTTGTCTTGTCGTTGCCCCATTTCAATGCTCATTTCGCGTACGACACGGTTTTCTTTTTATTTCGTTCACTCTAGGCTTAGACCCTCACGTTTGGTATTTTGTTACTTTTACGGGTAAAATTTTATCGTGGTCTATATACGTATATAGCAAAGTTGCCAGGCATAGCTACTCTAAACTATGAAGTTGACGGAATTTTTTGGAGATCTAGGGATCTTGTCTCACTAGAGCACAGCGGGTTTTCTAGTTTATGCGCAAATGTATACATGTGTACAAATTTATATATTTATGTTATGATATATATTTGTATCCAGTTGTTATGTATATATTTATTTAACTATGCCGCCGCGGATCTACAAACTTTCACCAATTTCATCGTTTAGAGTAGCTATAATAGTTGGTAACTCTGACCACTAGTGCCACGACCCGCCGTTTTGCCGTTTTGCAAGGTCGTGTTACAAAAATAAAAATCAAAGTTTATTATTTGAGTCTTTTGCCTTTGTTGATCGATGTTTGGTTTGAGCCTAGCGTTTATTTATGCCGTGTTCGTACCTTTTCCATAAGTAAATAATCAAATCAAAATTACCGTCGCGGATGCTGGAATCTAACGGCTTAGTTTTGCACAAGTTTCGCGTACCCGTGAATATGAAATGTGCCCAGTTTATTTTCTCATAAATTTTCGTCGACCTCCGTACGATTGAAAATAATTAATTAACTTCTTGCTGTGATGTCACTTTTTCGCGTAAATGTACGTCTCCACGTATGTACACCGTATGTGGCTTAACGATGTAACGAGAGCATCTTGCCTTACCACTACCACTTCCTGTTACACCTGTTCTCTCTTTCTTTTACTCGTGTGTACACACATACGATACGATGTGTGTGTACATACGCATATGTATTAAGTATACACACGCGCGTACACGGGCGTGTTTGCGCGTGGACCCTGTATACGAAGGTTGTTTTTTTTTTTCGCTGGATTCACGTTTCCCTCGTGCACTCGCGCTAAATGGAAAACGGGCTGAAACGCTAGTCCCGGACGGAGAGAGCCGTCGTTTGTGTACGAATACACGTGTGCACACGTATGCGCAACTGTGCATACGTGTGCGCATGCGTATATTTATATAACTATACATATGGTTGTTAGTGTGATATCGTTACTACTATCATTAATGATACAAATCATTTGCATGCGTATATCGTTTGTTATTTTTTTCTGTATTTACGTATTTATGGTGCCGAAGCGAGACACATCCTTCTTTTTTTTTACGATTACTTTCATTTCCGACATTTTAAATCCCGTATTGTTTCTTTTTTTTTCCCGCTACCCCCGCCCTGTTGTTCTTGTTTTCCTCCCTGTGTTTTGGTTTTATTTTACGTTTGTTTGGTCGATCGGATTTTTCACGTAAGCGTGTGCGTGTTTCGTTGATTTTTTTGTATGCATCATAAACTGAAAAATTTGTTTACAGCTCTCGTGGAAATAGGTAAGGTATCGCGAGATGTCGTGTCGATGAGAGTGGAGAACGTAGTAGAGTATTACCAACCGTAGATAATTGTGTATTTTTTTCCCCCCCTTTTTTCAATTCTCTACTGAACGTATGAAAGTATCGTCGTGTGCGTTCTTTCGGATCATCGAAAAATTATATCGAATTATTTAATGTACGATGTTACATATATATGCATGTATATATACGAAGAACAAATTGTACCGCACGTAGAATTTTCAATGATCCGTGGAATGCATAGAGACTCTGTCAGGATACGTGATGGTGGTAGGGTAATTGTTGCGGAGTTGTTTTTTTTTTGAATTCTTAATTGTTTCGATGTAAATGGAAAAAAGATATTTTTTCCAGGATGATTTCGCTCTGAATCCGTTTTCAATTGGTTTTATTTACAAGATGTAATGTTTGTTGAAACGCGGTTTCTCGGATCTGTACGAATTTTTCCTTTTCTTTTCTTTTTTTTTCTCTTATTGGAGTTCAAAGAACCATCTTTTCCCGGCATGCTTTTTCTCATTACGAGAGACACGAGTAAATTAGTAATTTTTTTTTCTTTTTTTTTCCTCTTTGAATAAGTTGCCAATTGGATTTTTATAATATCGTGGCTAAATTTGGGTCTATTTGTAATGTGTGTTTTTATAGATTATGATTACGACTATTACGGTTATGGGGATTATCGAGGTGGCTACAGTGATCCATATTACGATGACTATTATCGATACGAAGATTACTATTTCGATTACGCGCCGCCTCCGCCACCTGCCAGAGGGAGAGGCAGGCAGCCTCAACCGGTGGGTCGCCTTTTTTAATCGTTCTAAAAAGTCGTTCCTTTCAATTTTTTTATTATTTTTTTTTTCAATCGTTATTACTATTTAATATGATTCGTGTATGTATGTGTGTGTGTCTGTATATGTATATATACAGTACCGTATTACATATGTATATATCGATATACATATATACGCACACATCAGCGGCAGTTTGACTGTGGCACAGTGTTTCCTGCTGGCTCGCTGATCCAATAAGAGTGCTTAAATTTTCTTGCTAACTCAACCAATGTAAGTACACGTTGGGTGTGTTCTATCATCACCGTATGTATATAGAATTCGAAAATGTGTACATGTGTTGTTGTTCGTGCGCCGCGTACATTGGCATCGCATCTGACTACCTGAAACCGATACACGGAATGTTTGTTGTGCGTGTGTGTACGTTTTTTTTTCTTCTCTTTCCGGTCCAGTCGAATGCACAAAACACCACACGCACCATTCACATTTGTTTTTCTCAATTCTCTCTGCGTGGTTATACTCGTGTGAACATAGCAGCGAGACTGCAAAATACGTCTGACTGTTTTACCGATCGGTAACGAAAGGTGATGCGTGTGCAGGTGTACCGACCGAGGACCGACATCACTCATTGGAATGGGAGAAATTACGAGAGACAAGGTTAGAACGATAGTGACAGAGATAGCGAGAATGAGAGAAAAGAGTGACCGATGTGACAGACAGAGACGTAAAATAAAGCTGAAAAGAAAAACAAACATTCGAAAATTTTACGGAACGCACGAACGAACGAACGACTGAAAGAAACGAAAGGAAGTGAATGAGAGATCGCGGCGGCCGATGGGAATGAGTAAGAATATTTTGACAGAGAAAAGTGGAAGGAACCGCAAGGATATATGGCGTGTATTGCGTTGTTGTTGTTGTTGTTGCTGTTGTTGAAAACCCCCATCTCTATCTTGATCCTCAATTTTACATTGTTAATCTACTACTAATTCCAACGCTTGAACTAACGTAGTCCTGTTATAATCCGAACACATTGCCACTCTCAAATTGCTTGCCAATCATATCTGAGCCATGGTAGACCCATTCTAAATTTATTTCTAAACGAAAACACAGCCGGGAAAAGCTACTAGAAAGAGGAAAGTAAGAGAGAAGTCGAAGAAAAAGAAAGAAAGTGATAAATAAAGACGGTGATATTCTCGGGGGAGAGCGAGCGAGAGAGAGAGAGAGAGAGAGAGAGAGAGAGAGAGATTGAGAGAGAGTCAGACAGAGAGACTGATTCCTCTCGACTTTTTATCGTTGTTGTGTTCTCGCTGTGAGGAATGGAAAAACAACGAGACCAGGTTGAGAACCGTCAGCCTCGTAGGTTCCCTTAACATATTATCCGCTTTGAAACCACGTGTTTAACGTTCGATAAAATTTCAGGCGTAACCTCACCGAAAGTAACAGGTTGAAAAGCTCCGAATTGTGTTGTTTGTGCGTGCTACTAGCGCGCGCGCACCCGTACGAGCTCTGGGTACATGCATATATAAATGTATGTATGTTTGTGTGTGTGTGATGTATATATAGCGACGCAAGTACACGTTACCACCGCGTCGGGACGTAATAGCGATCGACGGGTCGATGGGCGCGTTCACAAATCTATATATGCACGTACCGTAGAGGCACACACGTGGTACGTGTGCGTTCGCGCGCGCGCACACACACACGTGATTGTTTTTTCTCTTCGTAGAGAGCGGCGTGCGTCTCGTGGCTCGGATATGATACGCATAGATAGATAATATATATATACATATATATATTTGTATGTCAAGTTGCAGAGGTTTCTAAATACGTACCCGGTAAGACCAACCAATTGGGCACCGTGCGAACATCGTTACGACAGTGCCATCTATTCGTGTAATTTTGTACCTGACACGACAGACAGACTGGTTCGACCAATCGAATAGATCGACCAATCGATACACAGAGACGAATCGATAGGTAGATAAATGGATAGTATGTTGATACAGAGAGTGAGATAGAGGTAAAACGTTAGGTTAGATCAGTCGAACACACGTATATCGCGTTTTTCTCGACGTATTTTTTTTTCTGCTATAACGTGTGTACACGATTATGTGTTTACCTTAGTCGTCGTCGTCGTTGTTATTGTGTGTAATCGCTTGCATCGTGGTAGTTGTATTTTCTAGCGTTCGTGTTCGCAGAAGTACTAACTTCTTCGAATCGAGTTGTTATATTCGTTCTTTTTCTTTTCTCTTTTTTTTTTTGGGTTATTTCAAACCGATCGTTCATTCGACTTTCGTGTTTTTTTTCTCGGTTCTGTTTTCTTTTTATCGTTGAATTGTTGTTCGCCTGCTCGAAGTATTCTTCATACGTTAGTGTTAGGCGAGTAATCGACGCATCGATGCGTATTCGTGTTCTGGTTTAGCTTTGATTTTCTTCTCGAATACATTCTTTTCCCCCAGGAATTCCCTAGGAAAGTGAAACCACGGTCTTTCCATACGTGTTTTTCGCAGATGACGATCACGTTTGGGTT